CGACCGAGCGGCGGAGAGCCAGCCGCCAGCCAGCCAGCCAAGAAGCGAGCGACGGACGAGCGAGCGAGGGCATGGCGCGTTAGGAGAGTAGGCACGGATCGTGCAGTTGGGTGTCGTGGCGTGTTATTTGGCGTAAACGGTCTTGCAGCGAGCGCCTGGATATTCATATAAAGGCTTGAGCTTTTTTTCGCGAGCTTTGCTGCGGCTTGAAGTTGTTGTGGTGGCTGCAGCACGGCTGGGAACGCATGAAGTGCTGAACAATTGAATAGTTGAGCTGACATGGGCTTGCAGTCATGCGAGGACATTATCCTGCAGCGATTCCCAGCTCTACATGCACAGTACACTGTAGATTGCCCATGTCTTTTGACTGAAAGCGAATCCTGGGCGAGGTGGTGCAGAGATACCAAGCTCTAGATTGTCCAAGTCATGTGACTGGAAGCGAATGACTGTCGATAGGTGGCAGCGTTTCTTTCGTGTTGGCGAGCAGGTGCTATCAGCATCGGGATGACGGCACGGTATCTCCGCCAGAGCAAGCATGCGATACCTGCGCTAGCGTTAAATGTATGTTGGCCCAATTGTTCAGGATTGACGCAGGAAACCGTCTCGGGTCAGTGTTGACCCCGAGCGTTTCTTGCGCGCGACTTGCTGATCGAGGGTGTGCTGAAAAATATCGCTAAAATGTCCAACCATAGCATTGCTGCTGGAACTCGCACTGCAAGCCCAACCTGCCGGCTTCCCGGTGCTTTTGCAGCGGATCTCTTTCAAGAATCTTGAGCCAAGATTACACCGTGCAGCACAGTGAAAACTTCAGCTCTAACCATAAGTCAGCCGCAGCAAAGCTCACGAAAAAAAAGCTCAAGCCTTTATATGAATATCCAGGCGCTCGCTGCAAGACCGTTTACGCCAAATAACACGCCACGACACCCAACTGCACGATCCGTGCCTACTCTCCTAACGCGCCATGCCCTCGCTCGCTCGTCCGTCGCTCGCTTCTTGGCTGGCTGGCTGGCGGCTGGCTCTCCGCCGCTCGGTCGGCTTGCTCCGACAACTTGCAGGCGCGCTGCTCTCCTGCCGCTTTGCTCCTGCTCCGCGGGCCTGCAGGCCGGCCTCGTCACCACGCGCCGCCCGACGCGCGCAGGTGCGGCTCCGTCAGGAAGTCGCTCAGCAGCCTCGACACCACCTCGAACCGCCCGCACGGACTGCAGCCGGAGCGGTACGAAACGTCCTTGGCAGCGCGCAGCAGCAAGTTCACGAACGTCTCTAGACGCGCCTCGCGACTGCGCACCACGTAGTCGTGCAGACCCACGGCGACGGCCACGCGCCCGCGGCTCGGGAACCGCGACGGGAACACGCCCGAGCTCACCAGTTCCCGCACGCGCGTGCAGTACGGACACCACTGCGGGTGCGACTTGTCCTTGGGCGCCGCCACCGCCGCCCCGATGCGCTCGCGCAGCGCGCGGAACGTCGAGTAGCGGTGCTCCACCTGGTAGTCGGCGCGCAGCTCGTCCTCCTCGCGCAACCCCCGCCGCACGCGCTCGCTCCTGCTATGCTTCTGAGTGTGTTTGCTCTTGCTCCTGCCGGTCGCGGCCGACGCCACGGGCAGACCTCTGGGTGCCGCCTGCAGGAACACGTCCAGCACGTAGGCCGTCACGTGGCCCTCGCGGTCGTACGCCGTGCACATCTGCACGTGGTGGACGCTGTTGAGCGCCACGGCCACCTTGGCGCGGGAGAGCTGCGAGAGGCGCGCGCCCAGCAGCTCCACCGTGTCCAGGCTCGAGCGCTCGCTCGCCGTGTCCGTGCACACGTCCATCTCGTCCAAGTCGCTGGCGGCCACCATCGCGCGGCTGAGGTTGGGAATTTCGCTTGCGCTGTCGACGGCGCTTTCGGTTGTGAGCCAGTGCTGTGTGTAGCTCGGCGTACTGTGTTGGCTTGTCGGTGATCTTGAAGAGGTACGCAACGTGGCCGTGTTTACTGTAGGGAGTAGGGTGGGAGTATGAAGGAAGACTGGTTGTCACATCGAGCGCGGCAGTTTTTTCACGGGTGAGATACCGGTGTGGGGACGGTAAATGGAAGGCGACTGAGGAGAAGGGGGATGCCTCGCGCCGCGGTTTGACATGCGCGTCGAAGTGGCGGCTCGCAGTGGCTTCCAGCCGCCGGTCGCTGGAATGGCGCTGCTGCAAGCAGGCTGTCGTGCGGCAAGACAGCAGGCGGCGCCGAATTGCGGGCGGGTTTCGAGCCGAGCCGAGCCGAGACGAGCGCAGTCCGGGGCCAAGTCTTCTGCCGCTTGTGTCGGATATGGGTTCAGCAGTGTGTAATCATGGCGCGGCAGAGCCGGGCCCATCTCACAAAGAGGGTGTAACCCAGTGTAACCCCTCGTTCCGACCCATGTAAAACGGAGCCATTGGCCGAAAAGGGGTTCACGCCACCACGATACTCCATCAGCCAACAGTGTCGTCGCTAGGCCAGCAGCATCGACCCACTACACCACTGTAGTGGGTGACGTCTACCATGCCACGATAGAGGGCCGGCACCTGTTATCATACATGTACAGTGTAGCGGTGTTATGCCGGCGCGCTTCGCCCGGGGGTGCAAATCGCGCTGGCACCCGTACCACCGACACCGGCGCGTCGCACAAGTGCATTGAGGCCACCGACGCTGATCGACTTGAGCCTCAAGCGAGAAGAACTTCCACCACCACAACAGTATCGGCAAAGCCTCCGGCCCCCCAATGTTCTAAAACAGTCGACTGCGGTTGCCTCGACGGCGCTTACGACGGCGGAGCTGCTCAAACTGGAGCACCTGTATTTGCAAATGGGCGTCTTCTAACGACTGAAGCGGGGCTGAAGCGGGCACGCGATCCCCATCGAAAAGATGCGATTGCACTCGGCACCGCAAAAGCGAAGCTCGACCATGACGGACCTTGGCGCACCGCAGCATATACAGCAGGATACTTTGTATTAATCGCTGCCTGCTACAGTCAGGGGCTCATATCAAGGCTGATACCTGTAATAAATATCGATACTGTATGGCCGGATACTTGTATCAGTATCACCTGATATTGGTGGTGGTGCTGTATCGAGATCCAATGATACTTCGGCATATAAATATCGATATCCTGCGGCCTAGTGTAGATTTCACCAACCAGGTTATTTCCATGTGCGCTACCGCACATAGTTACTTGCATATAGCCACTTCTCCCAACAAGCCCACGGCAAGTACAAGTCTACTACTACCATCTCGGTTCGGTTGCGTGCGCGCTCTCTAGAGAATGGCCGACGAGGATACGTCGCCCAGTGATCGTGACCGTAGAGATAAAGAAGGCGAAGTTGGAGTCGAGTTGGTATTCCACTATCTGTGCGTCACTCAAACCAGAACATGTTTGTTCTTGTCTGGGAGTTCATCCATGTACTTGCTACTCCGATTCCTGACACAAAGAAGAAAAGCAGCTCGTTCACCCACATCTGTCTCGTGTGCGCAGCACACAAAAAAGCACGGACCCGACCTCTTCTGGACGGAGATCATGCTTAATGCGGCAACAGACGACTGCTAACCCCAGGAAGCACATGCTCAGAGCTCCCAAGGATCATCCCTTTTCGGTTGAAAATAAGCTTGAGAATCTGTCTCGCCAAACCACTATCTACCGTGTGCCAAGAGCGATGTTTCAGTCTTAGTGGCTATGTGGAGAACGAGTTGGGAACCCAGCTTGATGACGACCGGGCGGAGACGATGTGCTTGATGAAGGCTAATTGGTCCGAGTACAAGGAAGTGCTGCAAAAGAATAAGAGACGGCGACATTAGCCAAATTACTGCAGGTACAATTTTTATCAATATATGTATCATTATATTGATATGATATTGATATTAGTATCAGTATCGCCGATATCAGCTTCGTCAGAAGGACGAGATACCCGATACCAGCTAAACTCGAGCTGGTATGAACCCCTGTGCACAGTACGTGATTACCTGCAACTTGCAGCCATGTTGCTTATCGGTGAAGAGCATGCCCGCGACCGAGAGCGTGGGGTGATCGCCAGCGTGCGCGTATAATGAGGCGGATGGGACGTATGCGTCGAGCGCACGCCCATCATGATTAAACAACTAGCTCAGCCAGCTTGGTGCTGATAAGCAAAATAAATGTTAAAGTGAGCGTGATCATACTGAATGTTTGGCTGCCTCGGCACCAAGAGAAAATATACAGACGCGTGGACGGCTCCGGAGAGCGCACTACCCTCCTGGTCACGGGTCTCGTCAAGCGGTCGGAGGGGGAACAAGCTTTGATGACGTGTGTTCGCGGTGATACAGTTTTGGTAGGTTGTCTTTCTTAACGCTTGTGTGTTGCCTGGCTACCCAGCGGCGTGTCTTACTGGCATCACCTCCTGGGAAATCCACATTACCTTGCATGTGTATGATACTAGACGCGACACACTTCTACAAGTATGACCCTTAGCGAGTTATAAAATACACTTCGGTAGCGAAATCTGGGATTGCGGCTCAACAAAACTATTATCCAGCTCGAAGTTCGGCGGGGCTAACCCCAACACCGCAATGTAATGACGATGTTGCACCGCTGAAATTGTCTGCGACGCGCCAACGTGAACGTGTTCAGTGTGGTGCAGATAAACACACATCATTGTCACCTTATGAACCCACGCAGATCCACGCCAGCAAAGGTACAATAGAATTAAATTTTAATCTGCACATGCCAGCCGATCGTCATCAATTATGCCCCTCGACTTCAACACTCCCCTCCTTACTCGTGGGAGCTGGGCCCAGGCTAACTAAAGCACACCGGTATTAGCAAAACTGCCATCAGAAGCTCAAACGACAAACAACCAACAGTGATGAGGCCTACCAACGACTACCCCGATATCAACATCCCCACCATTACGTCGGACTCCGACACAGAGCGCACAAGCGAGAGCTCCAGCCTCGGCCAGGACGGGCAGCTCTCGCAGCTCTCTCGGGCGAAGATGGCTGTTGCACTGAACAGCATTCACCACGTGCGAATGTTTAAGACCTACGGCCAAGAAGAGCGCGTGACGGTGTACGCGCTGGACGTGTTCGTGCAGAGTACACTGACGGGTGTTGTTAGCAAGAGCAAGAAACTCATCAAGGGCGAATCGGACAGCGGTCGTATTGCGTACCAAGTGGCTTATCGTTACTCGTCGTTTCGAACGCTACGCCAGCGCATCGGCGAGGTGGTGAAGGAGCCCAAAGACAAATCACACTCGAAGTGGTGCCCGTACTGCTCGCGAGTGCGAGGTATCACCAAGTCAAGCGTGTTCCCACCGCGTTTTCCGAGTGGCGGGGCTGTGGGAATCGTCACTGGTTTTCGTGATCTTGTGGCACACAGTCGCGAGAAGCGCTTGGAGATGTTCGTGAACCTCTTGCTGCGTGCTGCTAAGGACATATCGTATCGCTCTGGATGCACTCCTTGTGGACGATTCGAGGCCGTCTCCAGGCTGCTGAACGACTTCCTGACGCAAACGGCTCCCAGCACAGTGCCCAAGTTAGCATACACCTTTGCATGCATTCCCATAAGTGCCTTTGCAGTTAGTTAACCAAGATCACTTGTGCTTGAGTGAACCTCTGTCCTTCGTGCATGTTGATTGGTTCATGCACTTCAACATACATATGTAAGTATCGGCTCAAAGGCATTTTTGTATCGATGATGTTCACGCGTTGGCAGCGATGCAAACACCAGCATTAATAGTGGAGACTTGCTTCATTGCGGCGAGACGAATTTTTCTCGCGTTGTGCATATGGCTCGACTCGCACTGCTGTCAGCGGCTTCCTCCAACCACAAGCGCGTCTTGCCATCTGATGGCCCTGGGGCTCACGGCTCAGCCCCGACGCAGTTCCTGCTTGTCTCGGGGCGGAGAGTAGAGCAGCCGTCGTGGTTCGTGCAGGTGTTTTGACATTTCTCTACAATGGTGGCTCCCTGGGCGTCCTAACCTTTATGCTAGAAATGCAGCGCCTGCAACTCGGTGTGCTTTCACCGTCCTATCCAGCGAGACATCCCACTGACAGCCGATAGTGTAGAACTCACTGGTCGTGGATGCACTGCAGGACAGAAGGGGTCAGCTGGACACTTGCTCTCTCGGTGTGCTGCTGCGATACACGACCATCCGCGCACAATTAAACTTTCCTGGTACCGCTCGCACTCGGCTAGAAATGCCGCTCGCTAGCATTGCCCGGTTCTTCAGCTCATTTCGTCGCAACCGCCGCGACCGACACCGTCGTGACAATGGAACACAGCGGCGACTCCGGCGACGTCGATCCTCAAGACGCGTGCAGGCAGCACCGGTGGCCGACGGGGTTGTCCGGGTCCCCTCTACGGAGACATCTCCTGTTGAGTTCGAAATGCGCAGCAACCGATCAATGTCGTCGTCGTTCCACTTCACAAGCAGCGGAGCACGCACAGATCGCCTCGGGCGTGACCCCGCCGAGATGTCAATGAGCTCAGCCCGATCTTTTCGCGCGGTGGATCCCGTGGAACTCGCCAAGGCCGAGCAGAAGAAGCTCCGCAAGGCATTGGAGCGCGCGGTGCGGCAAGAGCGGAAGGAAGCGCAAAAATGAAGAAGCTCGTCAACAATGTCGATATTTCCGCGACGAATCGAGGTGGCAGCGGCAGGATAGCCGTCTTGTCCCCTGGTACTGTGAGCGATTGCAGTGCCACGTCGGATGAGGACATTTTGGCCGAAATCTGGGCCATGCGGTCGCCACGTTTGGACGGCGCGAGCGGTGACGATCTGCCTGAGGTGGACGATGAGTTATCCGAGACAGCGCCCATGGAGTTCCTGTTTTTCTCGGGCTGCCCGGACGACAAGAACCTGCGCGTGTTGGATGTCGGATACCGACGCCTACGATCGAACCCGCGGGCGACCCGGTACCCGGTCACACCGTCCTACGCGACATCCGTCCCCATCAAGCCCACGCTCGTTTCCAACATGCCGCCGCTGTTTGCACCGCGCTTCGGCTAGAGACGCTTGTAGGAGAACGCCAACTCTCTTGTTGTATAAAGGTTCCCACCGCTGGCAGTGGACTAGAGATAATATAAGGTGCCCTCGCTCAAAGGGCAAAGTAAACATTGCGTTTTGGCGCTCGTTTGCGGTATGTACACATTTCAAACATGGCTATAAAAGCAAAGTGTAGGCTACGCCTCGATGCGACTGCAAATTAGGTGCATTGGTATTGCCTCACTCTCTACTGTTTCACCGCTGTGGACGATCGAAAAGGCTCGCGCTTGCTAGATCGATTGAGCGGTGTGAGGCAACGCAGTCCGGAGCGAGGCAGCGTGCAGTTGGCACTTCGTGGCCGGATCGCACGCGGCGCGCTGCAATATTTGGCACTCCGCCGATGGTCAGTGCCGCCTCAAGCCGTGACTCGGTGCCGAGACGTCTTCTACGCGAGCGGCCATCGTCTCCTCGCTGGCACCAGGCGTTCTGAGCGCCGAGCGTCCTTGTCCGTCCCCGACTTTTCTGCCCCAGGCTCACGTTCCGACCTGCTGCAGCAGCGCGATACATGTACTAAAAGCTGCACGGCTCTATCTCGAGCCTGCAGGTTGTACTGTAGAGTCCAAGTCCCCAGCTTCGAGGCAGCTTGCATCGCACTGCACCACGACGTTGAAGCCAATTTGGTCCGAAAGCTCAGCAATTAGGGGTCGTCATATGACACTTGTTGCGGAACAACCAGCGCGACATCGCGAACCAGCCGAAGAAGCCGATCTGGGCGAGTGAAAGCAGGTGGGGGACGGATACACCAGCCCACCCGAAATGCAGGTGGCCGATAGAGCGCGGTGGTTGCCACTGGCTGCTTTTTAGCTGGCAAGTTGCCAGCCAAAAAGCAGCAAGCTCGCCACCAGTGGCGAAGGTCTGCAAGCCCTGCAAACCATTTCGAGCGAGAAATCAGCCCTCTAGACGTACTCGAAAGACAGCACCACTCGTCCACGCTTCCCAGGTATCAAGGCATGCTATCTTTTAACGTGCACGACGGAAGTGATCCCTTTGCGACCCGTCTCTGCAAAAAGTTGCACTTGTGAACCGTTCTGCCTCGAATAAGTACACGCCCATCTCCCCTCTACGCAGACAACCGTCGCTTAATATACTTAAACGGGAGTCCGCGCGACATGCGACGCCCAGAGCAGGTCCATTTGCGCACAAAAAACCGCACCCTCAACCAAACTGAAAGACGACGCGACGCGAACCCATGTGAGAACGCATCTTCCCTGAAAGCTCCCGCTCGGACGCCCATTCCCGAAGTGAAGCCCCAGCAGCTCGAAGCCGCCATGCCCCCAACAGAAGCCCTCTCGTCGGCGCCGGCAGTGCCGGCACGCGCGCCTCCCCCGCCGGTGCCCATGTCGGCGCCGGAGCCGGCCCCCGAGGCCGAGCCGGCGCTCGCTTCCGCCCCCGCCGCCGCTGCGCCGCCCAACAAGCGCAAGCACCGCGGACTCATGCGCGCCATCGGAGGGCTCTTCAAGCGCAAGAGCATCGACGCGGACGACCCCATGGCGCCCAGCGACAGCGAGGCCTCGCAGCGACCGTCTACCTCGCGCTGGTCCCGCTGGTCGCAGTCGCACCGCCAGTCGCTGCCTGAGGCGCCGATGGAGGTGACGGCCGTGGCCGTACCGGAAGCCGCCCCCATCCAGGAGAACGAGCCGCCGGCGCCCTCCTCCGTCATGTCGGCGGCTTCGGCATCGGCATCGGCATCGGCATCGGCATCGGCATCGGCATCGGCATCGGCATCGGCATCGGCATCGGCATCGGCATCGGCATCGGCATCGGCATCGGCATCGGCATCGGCATCGGCATCGGCATCGGCATCGGCATCGGCATCGGCATCGGCGTCGGCTCGGTCGGTGTCGGTAGCCTCCGCCTCGCGCGCGTCCTCCTCGCACCACGCGGAGGGGGAGCCGCCGGCCAAGAAGGCCAAGAAGGTCTGGGAGATGTCCCGGAGAGACAAGAAGCCCAAGCAGCCGGTCAAGCAGTCGCCCACTGACCCGTCGGCGCTGCTGCTGGCCGGCGTCGATTCGGACGACGAAATGCCGGCCGAGCCGGCGCGCGTGTCGTTCCTGTTCTTCGGGGGCAGCGACGTGGACAGCACCTTCCAGCCGGAGCTCCGGCCCTCGGAGCTCGACGACCTGCACGAGAACGAGATCCGCCCGTCGCTGCAGGTCAAGATGCCGCTCTTCTTCTCCCCGCCGCTCGTGGAGAACATGCGGCGCAGCAGCATCCTGCCCGACCCGAAGGAGTACGAGTTTTAAAGCACTGGGGAGTTATATGAAGAGGGGAGGGAGGGTGGAGGAGGTGAGTGAGGTCCGGGCGGACGGCGTCGGATGATTTAAATATTTTTGGTGAGTACATAGCAGTAGAGTAGCGTTAGCGTATCGAGGATAGAGGCCGAGGGAGGGAAACTAGGAGATAAATTCAAGACACCACAGACACCAAACGGATGCGTGAGCTCGTTGACGGGGGGAGGAAATTGACGAATGCAGCGGCGAGCACGAAAGCAAGGAGCGGAGGTGGTTAGAGACAGTTATCCAGCGTACTCTCTGCTGTGTTCTGTAGAGTCTGCAGGGCGAAGGCCTTTACGACTTGCCTTCGCCCTCGCCAGCCCGACTGCCATTTAGCCGAGCACTTCCTTCGCGTCCGCTCATGCTCTCTTCTGGGGACGACGCGGCGACGCTATTGCCACAGTCTTACTCGACGCGCTCTGTGACAGCGGCGAAATTCGTGACGACTGCGGCTCTCGCCCCCGGGGCCCGGCACCCCTACCCGTACCTATCGATACCAAGCGTGACGAAATGGAAGCCGCAGCATATCAACAGCGCAACGAGCTCAACAATGTCGTCGCTGAGGTTTGGTTTTGCTGCTTATGCTGAGTCAGATGGTATACAGATGGGCTTTGGAATCGCGTGGATGTCCTCGGCGGCTCGGTTATCCACTGGACGACAGTTGCAGACACCACAGGCAAGGTGAGATTCAAGCGAAGCACGAGGCTACAACAGCAACGTGAACCCGCATCCATCGCCCATCCAGTACCTGCACAAAGATACATGTAGAACTATTGTAGGCTCGTTGCTATTGATGCAGCCCTTGCATGTAGGACCCACAAGCGGTACACTGTACATGTACATGTACGCCCCAGACCCACAGTTTCCGCGTGTCCGCGTGTCCGCTCGCGGGCATGCTGCGTTGCTTCACCTCGAGTGCCCGCTGTGCGGGACGTGGTGCAGCATTACCTTCACTTCCATTCCGTGTCGTTAGACAGATAGTCAGCGCAAAAGACTGTGCACGTATTCGTTTATCAGAATTTAGAACATCTGACCGCTATGCGTACACAAGTAGTCAGTCCGCAAGTGTCCGTTCCGAAGGGGCCTTTTATTTGCCGGTCCGACAGGTGCAAGTGCACTAGGGGGGAATGTGTCGCTCTGGAGCGACGCGCGCTCTCTTGCTCTCGTCTTCGTCTTCGTCCTCTATCGGATGGCGACACGCCGAGGGTCCGTCCTGCAAACCAAACCAACCGAGGCTCCAGTCAGAAAAGACGCAGCGAAGTGACGGACGGACCTTTCGATCGACTCTTGCTCGGGTCCCCCCTCCACCGCTGTCATCGCTGTGTTGTCATTGATCATCAGAGCTCCCGCAACGCAGGACACGCAGCAAAACGGATCACTTTCGCGCCTTGGAGCGAAACTACAGGAACAGGAACAGGAGCGGCATTGTAGCTGACGTAAGGAGATCTGATGGGGCTGTCCGAGTTCTTCCGCGACCTGTGGGATCTCGTGCGCAGTCCGTTCGAGGACTGCACGAGCTGCTGCGATGTCCTGGACCCCGATTACTACCGCAAGACGTCGCCCGGAGTGCGCAGGACGCCGCAAATGTTCAACCGCTGGGACCACGACGTCAAGTTCGACGTCGGTAGCAACCCGCCGTCGCGACTGCCGCCGTCGTTCTCTTTTTCGCCAGTGATTTCCAGCAGTCACGCCGGTAGAACGCAACGCTCCTTCACGTCGCCAGCTTCACTTTCAGGTTCAAGCCCAAGCTCCGGCTCCGGCTCGGCGTCACGTTCCCAGTCACCGTCGAGTTATTCGTACGAGGAGGAGGACGAGAGGCAGGTGCAGTTCTTGTTCTACGGAGGAAGCGATCCGCCCACGCCCACAGGAGGAGGGGCCTACCCGAGCGGGTACCGGAGCGATATGATCTCCAAGTACATACAGCCGACAGAACCGATCAGCCCGGCATCGATCGCGTCGCCGCGCATCAGCCACGAGATGCCGTGCTTCTTCTCGCCTCGAACGACCCCAACGTCTCCGATGTCGGCGCCGATCTACTCGCCCCACCTCTTCAAAATCACCGAGCAGCGAACGCGCAACGCCGAGTACTACAGGCGCTACACGTCCAGGTAAAACGAGGTCGCTCGCTGTGTGTGTGCGTACGTGCGTGCATCTCGTCGTCAACCCAACCTATCTATCTGGGCACGCGCGCGTTCGGAACGGGTAACGTAGAACAAGTTGCCCCACCCGTGCGTCAAGAGTGCCCTCCCTATGAGGTGTTCCAATAAAGCTGTAAACCTTTGAGTCTCTTCATTCCAGTGGTCTCGACGAACGATACAATAAGGCGCAGTCGAGCATAGCATAGCATTGCTCAACGTGCCGCCTTCTACACTTCCAATTGCTGCAAGAAAAGCAGGCGGCGTCCGTATCCAAGCGTTTGGTGCCCGTCAACGAACGTCTTAGCCAGCCGGAGGCGACAATTCGCTAATGTGAAGCCCAAACTCCATCGGTTCAGCCGACGACTCCACCGACAACCACGTCGTTCGTGGAGACTTGCCGGTCGTGCCTTTGGCATCGACAGACGGGTGGCCGCCGCCGCCAGCCACCGACACCGCCGTCATCCCCACGCGCGCGCGCTGGATTCTCCCTTTAACTTTCATTCGTGTCGTTCCTGTCGGCCATGTGTCTGTGGCTCGAAGCTTGGGCACTTCGACAGGTGGACGCGCACTGTCCAAACATGAGTCCCATTGCCGTCTGCCAGACGCGCGCAATTGGAGACAAGTTGCGCGGAACGGCGCGAGTGCTCGGTCCTCTACGGCTTCGGTCCAGCTGCACCCAAGTCTTGAAGCGAGCACCGACCAGGTGACCCACGCAGCTTCTCTTGGCTCATCGACAGCTTCCGGACCAGCAGCACACATGGCTGCCATCAGCCTGGTTATCTTACCCATGGATTCTCGCTTGCCAGCATTGCACTGCACTGTGCACTGCTCTGCAGCAAGCCACCCCCCATCGATCCTTCATTCATTCCCCAATTCGACTCGAACTCCACCGACTCGAATCACGCTCCGCTGTAGCGTAGAAGAACACCACCAAACAAAGACTAAGTGATACCATGCGAGGATTCATGCGCGCCATCGGCCTGGGCGGCCTCTTCCGTCGCTCCGCCGCGTCCTCCACCGCCAAGCGCCCGGCCTCGAGCCTCAGCACCGCCGGCAGCTTCCGCGTCATCTCGCTCGAGCAGTTCGAGAAGATGACGACGGTGGAGAACGCCGTCGCCTTCGAGGCACGTCGCAGCCGCCGCATCAGCTCCACGAACGAGCGCCCGCAGTTCCTCTTCTTCTGCGGCACCGACTCGTCCGGATCCCCGTCGGCCGAGCTGACGGCCGCCAACGGCACCACGCTCGCCTCTCGCATCGCCAGCATGAACGCCCCCGCCCCCGCACAGCCGGCCATCGACCACCACATGCCCGTGTTCTTCATGCCGCCGCTGTCCCCCGTGGCCCCAGAGCTCGGGGCCGGCTACTCCGGCTGCTAAGTCGACTCCAGAGTCGACAGCCTTCACTTGGTGTCACCCAACGTCTCCGTCTTGCCTACTCTCCAGCACCAGAACACACCACAAGAAGGAGACAGTGGTGACTATTGCAGACAAGTGAAGATGCAGCCACCCACTGGACGAGAACTTCTACTTGTCACCACGAAACGATGCAGAGCTCCACTCCATCTTCGTCTACCGACACATCATCTGGTTGGTCGCAGCGCTGGCGATCGAAGCCACAGCCTCTACGCGACCGAGCAGGTGATCCAAGAACCACCATTCCTGAACCTGACAGCGTGGTCGTGGCTTGCATTCCTCAATTGGGGATGCGAGGCGCGGCCACACCCATGGATCCATCCCACACTATCTCATTCCGATGGACTCCGAACGAAGGAGTCGACACGATTATTTTCAACCATCCTGAAAGCCTCAGCGAACGCAGCTCCGGCAGATTATTCCAAAGGACCCCCAACGCTGATTTCTTGCAACCAGCTTCATGTCGTTCGGGGAGTTTAAGTTTGCAGACGTGCAACTTTCTCCCCCTGGCCCGGCGACCGAAGCGAACAGCAGCGGAATCTCAAACCAACTCTTACACCAGCATTTTTCATTGGAAGGAAATGCGACTGCACCGCGTGATGCTGCCAAAGGCAGTGTGCGACTTGTATTGCAACGAGGTCTTTCTGCGTAGCTAACAGATTAATCCTAGAGTGGCAATGTAAAGTCAACTTCACCACCTAAAAATACTGCGTTGCTCGAGTCTGATCCTGGTCGAATTCTAAGACGTTGTTAGCAGAGCTCAAAGCTGGCATTTGTCTTGAGTGAGTCGAACGCGATGGTGTCAGGTGCAAAGGCCCATGTAATTGGCGACCCTCGACGCAGACGGTTGACCCAGCTCTTGAGCTGCGAAGGCGAGAAAGTATCCTCGTACGTATTTCCAGAGAGATAACCTTGCTTGTTGTTGCACGAGTTCTCACGGCACCAATGATAGGCGTTCAGGGCTTTCGAGTCGGACTGTCCGTGGTGCCAAAAGTCTCCCGGCCTTGCCGAGCATTCACTCCACCAAAAGCGCCACGTTCACCGACTTGGACCTCGGCGTAGCATTAGTGCCTCCTTCTGAGCAAGGATCACTGCTCTCGCCCCTGAAAATTACCCGGCGATCTGGCGTAGACAGCGCAGATAAAGCGTTTGTATATCCTGAGCAGCCACCCTCCTCGGTCGAAGCGCTACACACCCCGAACACCGCAATGTCAAGCAAGATACTTCCAGCGGGGGCAAGCAGTACTCGCCCTTCGACACGAGATGTCCTCACGTATACTTCGATTGGCTTCGTTATTGCAGAACTTCGAGTTATGGGGCACTGACCACTCACTTATGACACTTCTGTTGAAATGTGCGAACCGAAAGTGATGCTGCTCTTCTCCACCAGCGACGAGAAGCTGCACGTGAACAATATGCCCGACGTCTGGAGGTCACTCGACGACGCGCAAGTGTTGCCGCCGCCTCGCAAAGTTTCTTCGACCGGCTAGCTTCGTTGCCTATACGTGAAGCTATCCAGGTGCGAAATTAATGTGGTTTGCTGCCATTTAAGAGTGCTGACGTCTGCATTGTACTGGTAGTTGTTTGAGGATCAACGCGAAGCTCTTCTGGAGTTTTGTCTTCAGCAATTTCGCGGTCAGGTTGACGATGACGAGTTGAAAACAATCCACGTACGTATATGTACTGACCGTGACGGAACTTCACAATTGACGCGATATAAACTTTGTATGATTCATGCGGGTAGACGGACTTGCAGAAAATGATGGCGAAGGCGCATAAGGACCTGCAAATTAGACTCAGCAAGCAACAGGCAGAAAACGTAAGACCAGGGACTCTAGGTTGCCTGCAAGCAAATAACTTCACTCCTTGTATCGTAGCTACAAGCAGCGCAAAAGAAGCAGGCGCTGCAAAGTTTGAAAAAATCGCACCAAGATCAAATTGAGCGGCATCTCTTCACTGCCAAAGAGCAACGCAAGCAAGAACTGGCTGCTCGCGAGCTTATCGTGAAGGAGCAGGAGCGTTTTGACAGGAGCTACGAAGCCCGTGAAGTGGAGATAAAGCGACACACAGAAACTCACAGCGAGGTTTGTAAATTTGGCTGTAACCTCATTGTCGCCAAGCGCTTGACAGTATCAATACTTCTCTGTGAACTATCAGAAACTTGCCGAGCAAATCAAGAACAACGCTGTCTCCCGGAGCTCGTTCAAGGTAGCAGTCCAAGGATCCAGCCCGGTTCGTTAGCAGCTTTTGATATCTTGTCCAGTTTCCTTCATTACTGAAGTGCTGTGTTCTATCGCAGTTGTATCGAACTCCATGGTGGTCTGACGAGTCCAATCAAAGACTTGTGGGGTTCCAACGTCCCATGACAGTCCAAGCGCCAATGCAGTCGCCAGTAATTCACAGCAAGCAGAGGTGCCAATGGTACGACTAGCATCAATGTTCAGAGACTGAGAGATCAAAACGACGACCGCGGAATGCCCTGTCAAGAAGCACTTGTACAATACACAAAGCCAAAACACGTCAATAATATCGAGCCGTCTATCGCATAATCACCGTGTTACCACCATCAACATTACTGTTCTTGCTTCTGCTTGCATGAACTGATGCTAAGGGCAGCAGGATAGTTGCCAGACTACTGGAAAAGCTCCGGGGTCTGCTCCTCCACGTACAGCAAAGTCGAGTTCACCTTCTTCTCCCAGCCGTCCAGACGAGTCACGAGCTCCTGCAGCTGCGAGTTGTCGAGCACGCGCGGCTGCACCCACGTGACCCGTACGATGCCGTCGACCTGATCAATAGAGCCCTTGATAAGCTTGCACGACAGCGCGCGCATCACCAGCCACTCCACCTGCTCCAGCGGCAGTCGCGTAGCCTCGGCGATCTCGTGGAACGGGATGTTACGCTCGTGTGACGGGCGCTGGAACACCAAAACCATCAACGCCAGCAGCGCCACCTTCTCCTTCACGTACTCCTGCTTGCTCACGAGCGCCGGCTGTGCGTTGAACTCCTTGCTGTTCTGTCCCACAATCTCGTTGAAGCGGTCGATATCACCCTTGTTGAACGCGTGCAGGAGGTCCGAGAGCCACTGTTTGTCCGTGCCTTCCAGCGCGCGCAGGATCGGGGTCGCCAGCTATTAAAAAAAAATAATGCCACCGTCAGCTAATCAGATAAACCAATTATGCTCCAAAGCAGCTCAGACTTACCACTTCACCAAAGTTGAAGACACCGTCGCCCGTCAGTGCAGCGATGCTGATGTTCACAGCCAAATCGAAGCGCTCGTTGGGGCGCATCTCGTCGTACTGCGTGTAGGCCAGGAACATGAGCGCGTTCTTGTAGAACTTGTCGGCGGGCCCCAGAGCTCCGTAGTAGTCGCAGGCCACGCGGTAGTAGGACGCGTGCACCACGGGCTCCGCGCCCACGAGGCTCTCGATCAGCTGCTTGTCGTCGTCCACCGTGGCCTTCACCTCAGCCAGGAACTCGGCTCCGCGACGGAACTTGAGCTGCGCGATCTGCATCTTGCACAGCAGCACGGCCTCGTGGGCCGTCTTGGTGCTGAGCTGGCCCAGCAGCTGCTCCATGAACTCCTGCGCCTTGGCCGGATCTGAAGCCACGATGAGGTCAGTACATGGCTACATTGCTAGGTAAAAATAATAAAAAGAATAAATAAAAAAATAACCTGCGAACTGCGTGCTGATCTCCGTGCAGATGACGACGAGGCGGATCTGGTTGAGCTTGTCCTGGAAGCTGCGGATGAACTCCTGGTACAGCTTGGGCAGGTTCAGCGGGTACTTGTGGCACGCGGGGTCGCGCACGAAGGCCTCGAGCTCGCCGGTGAGTTCATGGTACAGCCTGCGAGAAATAATAATAAAAAAGTTAATCGATCTATAAAAACAGGATGGAAAATCTTTGGCATCTCTCAATGGGCGGATGGCAGCGCGAGGAGGCGGAGGATACAGAGAGGGAGAGAGCGAAGACTGACTAGGACGTACTTGCGCACGTGCAGGTCCTTGAGCCTCTGGTAGCGCTGCGCGATGTCCGGGTACGCGGCCTGCTCCGTGGCGATGAAGTCCGTCATCGTGTCCGTCGTTCTGCTCCTCGGCGCTGTTGGGGAATTGGATCCTTGCGATGAAGAGGGAGGCTCGGAAACCTGTGGAAATGGATACGATATCCTTAAGGATAGGATATACGAACACGAGGATTTATATATGCTGTTTGATAGGTCATAACTTCAAGGAGGGCTTGTTGGAGGGCCTAGCTCATGGGGACGAAGGTAGCGCGCCTTGTGTCTAGCCTCGTGCGGCGGCTACAATATCAGAGCTTGCTAACAGCGACTATGACTAGACCAAGTGGTTGGGGCCAGTGCTGGTTGTGGCAACGGGTTTTCCGGCTGGACGACATCTTTTTGGCTGTGGGTGGTACTGTACATTGGTGCACTGCTTTTATTGTAGGATAAGGAAGCTTTCTCCCAACTTGGCATTCCTTGCGCTTCTCTGTCATTGCATCTATCCAATCAGGACAAGTTCTTCAATGAATTTAGCCAATCACGATCGATTCGTGTGTATCCCAACATTTTCCCAATTATTTTGGGAATTTACAGTCTTGCTAGAATAATATCCAATACAAAAGTTTAGTGTAATTGTTGCATTACTCATATTTGACCGCAAATTCCCAATACAAATCATGATTGTATCGTTGGTGGCTGTGACTCGTCTGCTTTCTCTCCTCTCCCATTTGAAAAGATGCAGCGAGCGCCGAGAGGGCTTGACATCCCGCAAGGGACAGCAGGGCAGGAGGCAGCGGCGATGAAGTGCTTCAGCGAATTCTTAGCTCTTGCTAACATGAATGAGGAGTCAATTGCTAGTAGTGCGAAGTCGCTGTCTATTCCTGATGCTCTACCAAGTCAAAACTTTTACTCTTTGCTAACCGCCTTCTCCATTTTCTTGCAAACTAAGCCAAGTGCTCGAGGAGGCCGTCTTGCTAAGGCTACTGCTGTGGGCTATATGTCCCAAGTTGTGAACCTGCTCCGAGAGCGGTACCCTCTGTACTTGTCAGACAGCAAGCGAATTGCGAAAATACGCGACAAAATGGGTTCAACTATTGAGGAGCGAAATTTGCTAGCTGGCGTGCAGACTGGTGAAGCTCCAGGCTGCACGCTCGGCGACTTGCGTGTTCTGGTGCAGGAAACTGCGATTAAGGGGGTTGGCTCAGGTTATAAGAGCTTACATGACGCTGCTGTACTAACGTTAATGTGGCACACGTTTGGTCGAGCGATCGATACCTGTTTTGCTAGGAAGAGCCAGCTATCTATGGCGGCATCGGGGGAGCTCTTTCTGCATCTAGCTCGAATCAAGACTTCGGTGGTTCAAGGCATCTCAATTTACAAGGCCGCGACTCACTGGGAGCAGTGTATGCTGCACGGCCTCGGAATGCTGTTCGTCGGAGCGTCGGAGCCTTCCAGCTATGTGTTCCCGCTAGTGCCGCACGCGGCGGCATCGGATTTGCCAGGGGAGAAGACCTACAGCCAAGACGAAGCTATACTCTACTGGGAGAACCTTGAAGAGAAATCTGAACCAAGGAACGAGCCACCAACAAAGCGCGTGAGAGGAAGGCCCAACGTGTCCAAGTATATTAACGACGTCATCACCATGGTCTGCGAGCGCCAAGCCCAGGCCTCTGCCCCGCTGCCCCCGACGCTCACCGCAGGGCTGAGCAGCCACTCCTTGCGCCGCGGCTCCGCAGCGTATGCAAACGCCTCACCGCAGCTTGCGATCCAGTGGATCTCGACCCGGGGAGCTTGGCTGCTAGACTCGCTCACGAAGGCGTTCGCGTACGTGGGTACCACGACACGCGAGGACCAGAGTGTCGGCAAAGTCCTCGCTGGATACCGAGACCCGCACCTGCCATGCGTCACGCCCACGATTGCCACCTTGAGCGAGCTTCTTCCTGCGCTCGAGTACGCCCAGCTGCTAACCCTGCGCGGCCAGCTCTTCAAGAACGTCAGCGGCTTCACGGACACCACGCTCAACGTTGACGCCTTAGTCCTGGATGCGGCGCTTGCGTCCCTGCTCATCCATCTTGACGACGTCGCGACGGCAGTCCAGCAGGAGCAGGCTGCCACAGGCTTCACATCGCATTACCTGTAACGCTTCCACGAAGCTCTGGACGCAACCAACGTAGCGCTGGGAGCTCGGCTCTCGCTGGACACGTGCATTGGTTGGGGTCAGCAGCTTCGCACGGCTTGGCAAACGGAGAACTTCGGACAGCTGGGTGAACGCAGCAATGGAAACACCACCATACTTGCCGCAGCCGTCACCCAGATGCTATCGTCCATCGCAGCAATGCAGCGCACACTTCAGAAGCTCGTCGCGGCCCACGAGAGCAAGGCCACCAGCGCTGACGGTCCTGCTCCTTGTCGCTGTGCTGGCCAGGCCCCGCAGGCGAGCACTGACACCGTCGTTGAAGCGCACTCTCTTGCTGGCTGCTTCTACAACTGGTACACACAGGAGCTGTGGCACACGGCAACCCAAAGAAACAACAGTTTGTTCGCGCTGACCTCAAGGCAGGCGTCAACGTCATGATCATAGCAGCAGGGCGAGAGGTAGACGTACCAACGGCGCCACTGGACCGGGACGGCGTCGCGTATCGGCTGTGGAAGCAGCGTGTCTGGACGCTAGCGGAAGACTTGGACAAGAAGGTCAACGCTGCGCTTGGGAGTATCGACGGTAAAGGCCGATCCAAAACCGCGGGGTCGCTACGGAAGCGCTGGAGAAAGCTGCGCGCTGACCACCGCTCTGCGTACGACGCGCTCTGCTCAGCATTTATCACCCGCAAAGCGAACGGTGGCATCGTCGACCGCTGCACACCAGCTAGTCACCAATGGAAGCAAAAAGACTTGGAGTCGTAGGATCACGCAGCTTGTATTAACTCTTAATACATTCCTATTCATACAACATGGATAATCGAATTCAAGGCGCAAATGCACACGTCATCGCCATCCCACAACTTAAGCACAGCGCATGGATTCCCGTCAGTCCCGATACAAAGTCGTACACAATAGAAAAACGCTCACATACCGTCAGCGAGCGCGCACGACCTCGTGCTTGGCCGACAGCTACCAAAACCGGCAGCACAACACCCGCCCTGCCGGGTTTTGTAGCTGCTTTCGACGGGTCCTTGCGTGGGGCGCGTGGGGCGCGCCTGGGGGCACTCGGGTCTGGGGTGGTCGGCGGGGGAGGCGTGCGGCACGCTCGGAGCGCGCTGTCGTGTTGGAGATGCGGGGCGGAAAGTGTGAAGGCGGAGAAGGCTGCGCAGCCGGCCAAAAATAAAACCTTAAGGTTTTTTCTTGGCTTTGGAGCCGATAAACCAGTCCATACTTTGTTGAAGTCATTTGGAATCTCACTTATGATTGGCTCTCCTCATTGGGAGCGGCGTTTGGGACCTGGTCGATTAATGTATGTCTGTGCGAGTCGTTCGTCGAATCTGCGGAGTACTAATTGAGCCAGAACACGCTCATCATATTCACCGTCCGACTTCGAGGACCGACCTAACCTATAGTGTCCTTCTCAAATTCATTCGATTCGATACACGCCATAAATTCCACCCCCACGCGTTATACAACCATCACGGCGTCGCTGTCCCCCTCCGAGCGCGCCCGAGGCCCCTCGAAATACATCCGATCATTCAACAACGCGCCGTTGCTTCCCACCGGCCCACTGCTCTGACCGCCAAGTCTTGACGGCGGAGCACCCAGTCGACTGGGTGGCACGAATAGTGACTTCTGTGCAGCAGCCGCCATCGCAGCTGCAGTCACTGTGCTATTGCTTGCGGCCCCTGCCGACCTCGAGCGGAGAATGACTGGAGCCTTCGGCCCGAAGTCAAAGCCTGGGTGTTCCAGGTACGGCTGATGCTGCTGACTCCCACTTTCACCTGGACCTGCTGGGCGTGGGGGAGGCCAGTCTACAATAATGTGCCGGATTGAGTTCTCGGTGCGCGACTGGAACCGGGTCAAAAGCTTGCGAGCAGAGTCCACCGAGATGTCCGGCAGCTTGCGCAGCGCCGCCGCCTCCACCAGCCGCATCAGCTCGTCGAACGTCATCAACACGCCCAGCTCCGCGCGGGCCACCACCACGCGCATGATGCCGGCCTCGTCGCTCGGGTGGAAGTATCCATTGCTGCCTTTGGCCTGTCCGCCCTGTGCACGCTTCTTGACGCGCCGATGCAGAGCCGCGAAGTGCACGCCGTACAGCTTGGCGGCCGCGCGCAGACTCATGCCCTGCTGCTCCACGGCCGCGATGGCCTTCTCCCACGTCTCGGCCGGTACCGTGTGGCTCAGCTTGTATCCCCGCTTGTCGTTCGACGAGGACGCGTTCGAGACGGAGTCCTGCGTGTCGTCGGCGCTGTTGCTCATCATACTGACGCTGTGTCGAATGTGCGGCGGGATCGCGTTCATGCTTGGTCGGACGTTGCTTGCGTCGTCGCCCCGCGGACTGTTACTAGGCCCCGTCGTTGTGCCATTCTCGCTGTCCATGCTGCCTCTGCTCCAGTCGGACCGCATCTCATCTTGATCGTGCTCTGCTGCTGCTGCTGCAAGCTCCCTCAAAGGCCACGCATCCGTCGCTCGACGACGGTCGTCCACGACCATGGCGCGGCGCTGTTGCTGCTGCAGCATTTGGCGGTGACGCTGACTGGAGCTGCGCTGGAGCTGCGTCGCCCTTTGGCTCTCGTCGTCAAACGCCGGCGGAGAACTGGGTGCATAGGGAGGAGGGGGATCGTCGTGCATGGCGTCGCTGCGGAGTTCGGACGGTGCCCCGTGGATGCTTTGGGTTTTCTCCTTGTCGCCATCGCTGCTGATACCGCTGCTCTGGCTGCTGCTCGAGACCAGCATTGGCCCTGCGCTGCTGCTGCTGCCGTTGCCATTGATTGCGGGATTGTTGCTGCTGTGCGCAGCTGGCTGACTGGCTGCTGTCGCTGAAGGTCGAGGCGACTCTCGTACAGGCGCCAGGTCGAGGCGCTCCGGCAGCCGGAAGACCCCGTGGCCGCCGCTGGGCGCCGCCGCGCCGAACGTGAAGCTGTTGAACTGCACGAAGCCGTGCACGCGCTTGAACTCGAGCACCCAGCGCGACGGCGGGAAGTCCGGCGGGATGGCCACGCTGCCGCCCTGGCTGGCCACGGCGCGCGCGGCGAGGCGCACATCGTCGGACGTGACGCGCTTGTGGCGCTGATGCTGCTCGCGCAGCACGCGCAGGACCTCCTTCTCTCCGGCCTCGTTCAGATAGCGGTGCACACTGGCGCCTGGCGCCGCGGAGGTCAGGCCGTGCCGCTGCAGCTCCATGGGCTGCGGCTTGAAGCTGCTGGCACTGCAAGTATCGACAGCTGACGTCGCAAGTCGAGCTCGACCAGCAAGTCGACCACTGCTCCTGTTCTGAAATGACAGAAAACAAATTCTTTCTGAAAAAGTCGGATTTTGCTCGACTTTTCGATTCCGATATTTGAAAAAGTTTGCCTTTAACTTTGTACATCTGCCATACTGGGCACAAATGACTGCGGTTGCGTATCTATGAGACAGAGGAACAAAAACGGAGCTTTTTCGCGATCACGAATGGCTGCAGAACACGAGCAATGCCCAAATGCCTTGCTGCCCGTGAAGCGCGCTTCGCCTTGCTTGGTGCACTGCTGGGTACATGCGCAGCACCGATTGCGCCATGTTGCACCAGCTTATAGGCACGTCGCTGTCGTCGTCGAAAACCCCTGACTGGCGCTCACACACAGGCCACTGGTCAGTTTCAAATCTTTCGAATTCGGCGCTGTTCGTCGGCGACAACCCACATGCGATCGAGCGGTCGCAGCGCTGGAGAGAGCTGGCTGGCTGCGATGGCTTGCCTGGCCTTCGCGAGCGAGGCGCATGGCACTCGGGGGGAACGCACGCACAACGACTGCAGCTGCTTGTTGGCGCTGCTGTTATTTTTGCGGGTCTGCTGTTGTTGTTGCCTGGGTGAGTCCCCGTTGGCGTCGTATACACTCTTGTCGCGTTGCACCACACACAACAGCACTGTTCACAACGTATAGGTGTTGACTCATTTCGGGGGTTAGGAAGGCCGGCTACGTACCGTTCAGCGGCTAGAGCTCCGCCCAAGGAAGGACGCCGAGATCTCCTCGCGGGTCCAGACGTGTTGCTGCAGTCGGCTGGCTTGAGCTTCTGCCACTCTGACGCTAAAAGCTGCGTGCCGGAGATCCCCAAGTAAAGGTGTAAGGATGCAATGGATCCGCACGTTTATGTCGGACCGTCCTACTTCGGTCCGGCATATACGACCACCGAATTCCGGTGTGGCGCACACAATACAGAGCAAGACGAGTTTTCATCATCTAACCGTCGCTCCGCAATCCGCCGCTGTCCATGACGGACCCCCGCCGCCTCCACGCGTCGTCGGCCGGCGCCCCCGTCCCCGTGCGCCGCTACCTGAGCGAGGCCGGAGAGAAGGAGGTCCTGCGCGTGCTGCGCGAGCAGCAGCAGCGCCACAAGCGCGTCACGTCCGACGATGTGCGCCTCGCAGTGCGCGCCGTGGCCAGCCAGGGCGGCAGCGTGGCCATCCCGCCGGACTTCCCGCCGTCGCGCTGGGTGCTCGAGTTCAAGCGCGTGCACGGCTTCGTGCAGTTCAGCAGCTTCACGTTCGGCGCGGCGGCGCCCAGCGGCGGCCACGGAGTCTTCAGGCTGCCTGAGCGCCAAGAGGAGCCGCAACGGGTCACGCCTCGGCCAATAGCTGCAGGACAAGACAGTCACAGCGTCAGCGTCAACACAGGCAATGGCAAGCGTAACAGCGGTACTGTTGTTGATGTGGCTGACGCGAGCCAGAGTAGCGGAAACAGCAGCGACGACGAGAAGGAGAGGAGCACCAGCGAGGAGAATTATCACGAAGACATGCATGATACTTCATCGTCTTCTTTGTCTCCGTCTCCGACTGGCCCCCTCCCGACGTGTGACGACGAGAGGAAGAGAGTGGTGCAGCTCCAGCACAGCTTCAGCCAGCGTCACCGCCAAATGCTGCAGCAGCAACAGCGCCGCGCCATGGTCGTGGACGACCGTCGTCGAGCGACGGATGCGTGGCCTTTGAGGGAGCTTGCAGCAGCAGCAGAGCACGATCAAGATGAGATGCGGTCCGACTGGAGCAGAGGCAGCATGGACAGTGAGAATGGCACAACGACGGGGCCTAGTAACAGTCCGCGGGGCGACGACGCAAGCAACGTCCGACCAAGCATGAACGCGATCCCGCCGCACATTCGACACAGCGCCAGTATGATGAGCAACAGCGCCGACGACACGCAGGACTCCGTCTCGAACGCGTCCTCGTCGAACGACAAGCGGGGATACAAGCTGAGCCACACGGTACCGGCCGAGACGTGGGAGAAGGCCATCGCGGCCGTGGAGCAGCAGGGCATGAGTCTGCGCGCGGCCGCCAAGCTGTACGGCGTGCACTTCGCGGCTCTGCATCGGCGCGTCAAGAAGCGTGCACAGGGCGGACAGGCCAAAGGCAGCAACGGATACTTCCACCCGAGCGACGAGGCCGGCATCATGCGCGTGGTGGTGGCCCGCGCGGAGCTGGGCGTGTTGATGACGTTCGACGAGCTGATGCGGCTGGTGGAGGCGGCGGCGCTGCGCAAGCTGCCGGACATCTCGGTGGAGGGGGCCCGGAACCTGCTTACTCGGTTCCAGTCGCGGAATGAGAACTCGATTCGCCATATCATCGACGATTGGCCTCCGCCGCGGCTTGCAACGAATACGTCTCTGGCGTCTCATAACTACGCAAGGCACCAGCCTTACTTACAGCACCCGGGCTTTGACTTCGGCTCGAATGCACAGGGGGGAGCCGCTACCGCTGCAGCAGTAGCAGCGGCAGCGTCGACAACGCTTTTCGTCCCCCCTCACCATCTAGCATCGAGCATCATCAGCTACCGAGACGAGTCGAGGAAGCCTGCCGCGCGGCTCGTTGATACGATGAGGGCAATGGATTTAGGAGCAAGGCCTTCGTCTTCTTATGTCGGATGTTCGACATATTCAGTATCTGAGCGTCCTCGTCCTCCTTGTGATGTCTGCATTGAGGAAAGCGGGTAGCGCGGCTTGCAATTGAACAGCGAGGCCGTGGGGATGTATAAAGCAAAATACAGTAAAACTTGTATGGCTAAGTGTGCGTACAGTACCTACCTTCGCAAGAATTAACAGCAAAACGTTCGGCACATGTCCTCGCCATTGTCATGGGCGCGTGCCCGACGTTACTCTGACTCAACAAAACAGAACAAGGTAGGCTGGTATTCATTCACTATATCCCCTCGAAGCGGATAATGTACCCCAGAGATGAAAACACTCGTATATGATGGAGATGAATACCCTCATTTCCATCGTATGCGAGTTGTTCAGGTGGTACATCTTGAATCTCCCGTGAATTTACGTCCACAAGCAGTGTATTTCGTTTCTCTCACAATTCTTGTGTTCCGAATAATTAGCCCTTGTGATTTAGTTGCTCGACACGGTGCCCAGATGCATCACTTCTTGAACACGTTCGTTGTATTTCCCTTCAGCACCATTCGTCTCAGCTGAACATTCCCCAGCCAAATGCTGATCGTCTTTGTCCCGGACAAGATCGCACGACTGATCCTACCTTCTATTAATAGCCATTATACATATTACTAAATCCAGGTTTTTTCGCCGTTTGTGGGGGTCGACGATGATCAAAATTGCGGATTTAAAAAGCGGCTATTGCAATTCTTGCAGTCACAGTGACACACGTTTCAATGTCTCATGCGTTTCTCGCTGCTATCAATTTATGCGTGAGGTGGGTAGTCAATCTTAACCATCTTTCTTTTCGGTTTTTGTTTTGTCTCAATATTTCTATCATTTACTCAACCCAACCGGGTCGTTCATGCCCAAAGAACCGTAGTGAAGAATAAGCTGGAGTTGATGACGACGGTGAACTTTGTGTGTCGGAGCCAGCCGTGCATCCAAGCTTTGGACCGCGGGAAGTGGAGCATCGACGAGTATGCAGATTTTAGCAACACATTGACACTACCAGGCGCTCTTACGAGGGATCTACCACTTTTAAAGTTGATTTTGGGATAGTCAGCCGACTGTATTTCATCACGAGGAGGTTTGGGTGGAGCAAGAAGCGTTCAATGTTGCCGCCGAACGGGGCGACCTCGAGACCGTTCGATGGCTCGTGGCTACATTTCCGGACAGCACGTGGTCCTTGGGTCCTGCTGCAGTTGGAGGCCAGCTCGACGTGGTAATATGGCTACACCAGAACGCGAATCTTTGTGATGGCCCACCTGAAATTGTGTTTACAAACAGTAGCTTGAACGCAGCGAATGCTTTTCATCACTGGCAAGAGTATGTGGAAAAGAATTCAGTCAATCGACGAGAGAGGTTTCTTCAGTGGAGATATGGGGGCTCGTATTTTGTTAGGGCGGAGGCAATGGATTGGGCTGCACAAAGCGGAAATCTGGAGCTCTTGCAGTGGTTGAATGATAACCGGAGAGGAGGTTGTTCTCCCATGGCAGTTGTGCTTCCAGCAGAAGCAGGAAATTTGGAGATTTTACGTTGGTTACACGAACACTATAGCGGTATGTAAGCTTCTACTAGAGCCATGGAGCTAGCAGCAGAGCAAGGACATGTTGAGGTTGTGCAGTGGATTCACACGAATCGGAGCGAGGGCTGCAGCACGAAGCCGGTGGATTGGGCTGCGAAGGATGGGCGGCTAGAAATGATCAAATGGCTCCACAATAATTGCTCAGAAGGTTGCACAGTAGCAGCAATGAACGCGGCTGCGAATAATGGCCACCTTGATGTCGTGCAATGGCTGCACGAGTTTCGGACGGAGGGGTGCACTGTGGTGGCTATGGACAGCGCGGCCGGCAAGGGGGATTTTGAAATGGTAAAGTGGTTGCACTACAATTGCACTGAAGGCTGCACTACATTTGCCGTCGATGGGGCTGCGGCAGGTGGACACCTGGACGTGATTAAATTCTTGATTGAGAACCGCACGGAGGGCGGGACAGTTGATGCTTACGAGTTCGAGAGGGACATGTCGAGGTCGTGAACTGGTTTGACAAACACCATTCAAGCCTCAGATTTTAGGCGAAAGGGTGAATATGCCGCCATCTAGTTCGGTAGTAAACCACCGCAGTCAATCAAGCCTTATTTTTCTTATCGCGCACACTAAAAATGCAGATTGGATAAATTATCATTGTTTTTTTAAAGTCGAGAATCGGCACTATGTACGTAAAATTTCATAGTCCCCACTTCTTGAGTTCAACAATATATAGACAATATTTTGCATAGTACAAAACCGTCTATCGCCTACCGTGGACTCCAGTTTGCCCTCTCATCCACACAGGAATCTGCTCCCGAAAGATGGTGGAGGTATTCTACGCGCTCACGCTGAGCCTGTTTACCCCGAGATACGTCAAGATGAAGACGCCCGAGCCGCTGCTCACCCTGAAGAAAGCGGTCAAGGCCGAATACGAAGACTTGGTCTGGTGCAACGCCGAGGACCTGGAGTTGTATCTGACGAGGCTCGGAGGGAAGTGGCTGACATACAACGAGATGCAGAAGATCACGATCACACCTTTGGGGCTTGAATACGAGGGCCAAGCTCTAACTCAACTTCCTCAAGATCCACAGTTGTCGCTCGAGCACGCTGGGCTGAGTGATACTGACTTCATTCAACCAAGCGACGAGGACTGCGCTGTGGGCAACGGGTTCGTCCACGTGATTGTGGTCGCCCCTCAGGCTCGCCAGCTCCCCGCTCTGAGGGAGCACCTGCAGATGCTGGTTCAGGAACAACACAGGACCATCAAAGAGTACCGTAACACGTATCCCATCGCGGACTTTCCTCCAGAGGTATTGGAGGAGCTGAAAGAATCTTAGAGTTGATTGAGGTCGAAGAAGAGCTGGATGACTCTGTGAATGGCTTCACTTGGAGTGACAGTATCACCGTCACGCCTGACGAGCGGCGTGAATGCATGGAGTACGTGAAGGAGCATTTAGCTAGCGCGTTTGTGCGCGATGGGAAACAGCGATTCTTTCTGGAGGACACCGCCGACAAGGAAAATCTGCTCTCGGTTGACGATACGTACCGGATGGATTTTGCCTTGACAGGGACGGCTGATATGGTGATTGTCGACCGAGTGGCGCACCAGTATCACGAGGAGTTCGCAGGCCTTCACTTTGTCATTGAGGTGAAGAAGGATATTGCCTCAAATTTGGAGCGACTTCGGCGTGAGACGCTCCTGGAGTTAATTGCGGCAGACTTGAAGAGCGACAAGCGGCGAGCCCCGATAGGACTTCTGACGGATCTAAACGAGACGTGGTATTTCTTGTGGTTTACAGCGAACTCGAGAATCGCCACGCTATCTCTACAATGCCCAGGGGACGGCTTCCAGTTCATTACGGAGGTTTTGAACGAGGACGCGAGCCCATCGAGCGATGGCGTCTACTGGGTGCGTAGTCGCTTCGTCAACGAAACAAGCGCTTTGAAAAGACGAAGACTGGCCGATCTTATCACTGAAACCATCCTATGACACGGACATTGCTTGGCAGTCTGCATTTCTTTAGTTCGCGTCAATACGACAGCTACCTTTTCGCAGTCACCGAAAATTAATGATCGCATACTTTCTCACTTCGATATCAAAGCAATGACCAGCATACGAAGAGGCCGATGAAGACTATGTCGGTCGTCCCCGCCGTGACTTCTACCCTATCTGGCCACGCCGACTCTGCAGCAGACAATTGCTGTTGTGGCGAGTTGCGAGGGAGGTGTGCATCACCTCCGACCAAAATCCGTGACCTGAACCCAGAAAAGGAGCTGTCGACGAAGCTGATCGGAGTCGGCGGAGGCCTCTACATAGAGTGCCCTAGACAACATGAACTAGGGTGAACAAGCGGAATGGATGAAGAACATGGAGAAACACCTTGTCAACGCTTTCGCCCGAGATGAAAAAAATATGTTCTGACGCGCCTAATTAAGTGCAGGAATACTGGGCCGCTAACTTAAACTGTGCAGCAAGCCCCGGGAAAGTTGTTCGCTCGGCTAACGGGTGGCCGTATCAAGTTGCCAAAGTTCAACGATACAGTTGAGTTGAGCATGTCTCGGACAAGTTCGTGGTAGATTTTGACTACCGCTTGGGTGAGATCTGACCTCACTTTTGGATTTGCATCTCGCAGGACATGGCAACCATCAACCATGACAGCAGTCGAGCTGGCGAGTGGCTACACAGCGTTCGATTCGCCGCCGGCGCCGACATATCGGTTTGTGATCTCGTCCAAGGCAGAGAAGATCAGCATTTGGCTGGAGAACCTGCAGTCCAAGAAGCAGTGGTGCGTAAGGATAAAGTTATCCGTATCTCCCGAGCGATACTAATGTTGTTGTTATTAGGCGCACAAGCTATCTGGACGCGAAGGACTATGTGACGGGAATGAACAGCATTCCGGGCGCCTCTATGGTGGACTACGTCTCGGTAAGGGAGAGATCTGTAGATTCTCTGGGGCAAATTATCACACTTACATTCGTTGTTGTGCATTGGCAACAGCTTTTCAAGGACACGCTGGTATATCTGATGGGCGAAGCTAATCAGCGCAAAGCCGTCGCGGATGCCGACAAGGCGAAGATTCGACGCAACTTGATTGAGCATGTGGTAGGCGAGCTGACGCTCGAGTTGTTGGTGAAATTCGAGCCCTTGAATCGGCGTGGACTGCGAAGTACCTATTCCAGCTGAAGCCTGTTTCGCTGGACCGCATTGACATCGTGGAGGCTAAACTCCGTGATGCGGAAGAGCGATTGGCGAGGACGGAGTCGAAGCTTTGTTGCGTGCAAGAACAAGCGGCTGCGACGGAGATTAAACTCCAGGAAGCGGAAGACAAGTTGGCGAAAACCCCCAAAGAGGTGGTGCACCTGTATGTTGCGTCAAGCAACGTGAAGATGCTGAATGACAAAGGCCTGATCATCTGGAACGACAATAAGCTCGAACATTTCGAGTTCACGAACGAGCGAGAAGGAATACGCATTCTCGTCCCTGGGTGGTACATTTTGAACCTGAAGGTGCATTTACGTCCGCAATCGGATGGGGGAATCGTGGATCTGCGTAAAAACAGCGGCAGGATCCAATGCAGCCAAGTTCCGTGTGGTGGTGGCGAATAGGTGAACGCGAGTGCTTCGCTGGGGTGTACTATTCGCTTCGATAAGGACGACATAATCGATGTCATCCTCACCAAGTCTCCCACGCGTGTGGGTGCCAGTTTGACCCTGTCGAAATTTGCCGATTGAGGTGCAGCGCGGACAGCTTTCAACAACTAGCACGGGTCGTTTAAGTTAAAATGGACATTACCAAGTAGTTTTGGTTAGCGTCTTCCGGTGGCAATGGTAGAAGTTGATCCAAACGCTGAATCTTGCATTCCAAACACCGGACGTATTCAATCGAGCGACGAATAATATGTACGCCTAGATGCGTAAAATATGAGATCTCAAAATATATTAAAAAAAACAAAGAAGAAAAAAAATACAACTGTAAAGTCGACGTGGGGTCGCTCCGGACCCAATGCACGTGAAGTTGCGACGACTAGCAGACGACTAGCAGACCTCAACGATGACGCACTACTAGCGCTTCAAATCAACTCGTCGCAGTCTGCTCCTATCCATTCGCATATCTGAGTTCAAGCTGTAGCATGCTAACTTCAACGAGAAGTTTCATTTGATTACTTTTACCGCGCTCGTTCCTAAGTATTGTATCTCAGAAAATTAATCTGCATGAATCGCTCTTGCAACACTTCAACGGCCCCAATTGCAACAGTTGCGGTAGCATTAATTAGCAAACTTGATCATTGTCAATTCAGCTCCCACGCCCGTAGGAGCCTTGGTGGCGATGATCTGGATCTTGTCGTTCTTCTCAGCGGATATTGCACCCCAAGCCAACCGGCTTCCAAGATCCAGCTTTACCTTCAAATGGGACTAGAACACACTGGAACTCATGACCGTTCTTGTGCAAGTCGACTTTCCCCTCTTCCGCTTCAGAAGTTAAATGCGCCAACCAGTTTAACGAGTACCAACCAGGGACCTAACAACTATTCCATATCTCTCTTTCGACAGATGGAACTTCTTGTGCTTTCTGTCGTTCCAGATAATCAAACCTTTACGGTTCAGCTTCTTGACGTTGATACTGCATGAAGATGCACCACCTCTTCAGCGCCTTCATGGCATTCCCCACCAGCTCCACGATCGACGACACGAAGCTTAGTCTCCGTCGTTGCCAGTCGGTCTTCCACACCGCGAAGCTTCGTCTCCGTCTCCATCAGCTGCTCTTCCGCATCACGAAGTTTGGCCTCCAGAATGTCAATGAGGTCCAGCGAAACGGGCTTCAGCTGGAATACGTAATTCGCTGACCATTCTGACTCCAGCGCTCGAAGTTTCACCACCAGCTCCAGCCTCAACTCGTCCCCGTCAAGTTGAAGCAACTAGCGCCAAAGTTTCGTCGTGTCCGCATTTTCTGCCAATTTCCTACTGTCCTCGTCGTCCATCGAATATTGCAGTGTACCCTCAAAGAGCTGTATTCACGGTGATAACAAAGAGGTAGGTAAGCCGACGTTTTGTGTTCTACCTTTGGTCTCGAGTAGGAGATCGCTTACCCTGATGTATTCTATCAAAGAGGCACCGGGAATTCGATTCGCTGTCGTCACGTAGTCCTTCTTGTCTAGATAACCGGTGGACTAGCGATCCAGTCCCTCCAGTCCGCTTTCTCTTCGGCCGAGGCGCCAGGCATGAAGACACCGCCGTCAACCCTAAAGACGCAGAGCAACATGTCGCCCAAACATCACAAGCACCACACAAAGAAACGGAAAACACCGAGAATGCAGGTCCGAGAGCTACAAGTGACCGTGAACGATCTCCAGACCCAAGTAAACAAGGCTGCTGCAGAGATACAGCAGATCACGAAGCTCCTATCGCTATACGTCCAGCAGCGTAAGAGACATCACGAGAGGAAGGAGCGCGAAGCAGACCAACAGCGAGTATTTAAACAGCGCGAGCTTGAAATGGACGTCGAGCAGCAGCAGCGACATCTGCAGACGCAAATTCAACGCGAGTACGAACAGCACTTGTATTACCAGCAAATCCAGCTGATACAGATCCGATATCAGCAAGAATTCTCGAAAACTCGGGTGCTTCAGCGAGAGGAAGTCACAAAATAATAATCTTCTTTTTTGACACATGCACTACTGTACTCTCCGTGCAAATGCGAAGTTGTATTGGCAACTGCCCCAATCAATCTCATGTTCAAAATAAACCGCTCCTGCTTATATTTAGCATGCTGCTATTACGAGTTCAAGGAACCAACCGTAGAAATGTGTGTGTGTTTTTCTTCAAAATTCGACACTGATCTATCAAGCAAATTTAATTGATCATGTGCTCCGTTCTACTACTCAGTACAGTCTGTACACTAAAATCTTAATTAGAAAAGCGTCATTGGACTAAAAGGTTAACCGTAGCCATGGTTGGTAAGTTTGGTCACTGAGTCCCTCCATAAAACAATGGGCTCATGAAACATGCTCGGCAATCGACTGCCGAACACTGCATTCTTCCCTCTTATACAAGTTACGCTGTATCCTGGCTTCAAGGAGTAGGCGGTATTCTGTCCGAGTGTGAGAAGTGTTACCAGAGTGACATTCATTCGGAAAAATTCTAGTACATGTACTTTAAGTAAGTACTTATCCTTTGTATCGTTGTACGAATGCCGCAGTTACAACATTGTTGATTGAAAAATGCCGCGAAAAGATGATAACGACATGTGCTGCTTGAATGGAATTGAAAACGTACTCTAATCGTGGTGATTGATAGCCGCTATCGAACTTTGCTACACTCTTAGGGTCTCCCACTTCTCAATTACCCAGGCACTGTACCGTTGCCTCTCCAACCGACGTGCGCGAAGACAACCAAGAACGGCGATGAACTTGACGACTAGCCTCGCTATCGTTCTTGCTGTTGTAATGGACACGACCGCTGCTGCAGACATGTTCCACTGTGAGGACTCAGCCTGTGGGCCGCCGTATTTGGAGCTTGCAAAACTTCAGTATGAGTAAGCCACTTCCCGCCAGCTTTGCCGTCTCACCAAATCAAGCGCTTCAAAGAGTAAACTCCGGTTGTAAAATGGTCCTGTATTCTTCTCAATCCTTACTATTATTCCATACTACATGAAGAAGGAGACCGCTTGGTTAAAATCAAGAACGAAGGCTGTTTTTTGTGTAATGTTGAGGCAGGGATTGAACAACCTGCCTCGCCTAACATCCTCGTAAAGTTAGAAGACTTTCTTTAGTTCATCCTGAAGCCCATAAAGGAGTTCGGGTTTTCTGTTACCAATACTTACTTCTTGAAATATCAGAATGCTATCATGCTGTTCGCCTCCTCAGTTGAATCGTATAGTGAATCGTACAGTGATTCGACTGAGGAGGCCATTTTCGCGTGAACAGCAGACAGATTTGGAGAGTACGATAGGATTGGAAAGAAAAAAATACGATCAGCTTGTAAGGATATAGTGAAATTCACAACCAACTTTTGCGGAGTCCTGAGGTAGCTTCGATACGATACCAGGGTGGTATTATTTAATAATACTGTCGTCCAGCTGAGTGTGTAGGAAGATTTGACTCTGACTACAATCGCTGGTGAAAATATTGTTATCAAAAGTGGGAAAGCTGTTCCCTTTTATTAAACTTTACCTAAGTGTTTGGATTCTGAAGCCCACCCATTCCTCCATAGAAGCCTGATCAACCCGAAAGGCGGGTGAGTCCAAGAAGGGACGAGTCGGAAGTGGAAATGATCTAGAACAGTATTTGTCATGAACTGTTGGTGCGTGCGCCGGCAGGATCGGGTTCAACTCCCAGTCTAGTGACCGACGTGAATGACGCCTTACATGTATACATCGTGTGCATACGGTGAAACTACAGCACAACATCTTAACGAAATAACTAAAATGGGGTTGTGTAGAAAATAGCATTTCCCTATGATAGTAACGTACATGTACATTTTCGTGTATACTTTTTTTCATCAGTTGTCGATGAATTTATCCCTATTCCAATTCATTTACCCCCTCCCCCGCGATGTCTACGGCTGTACATTGCGTGCCGTCTTGAAGTTGAGTACTGGCTCGGGCAAAGCGTGAGAGCTTGGTCGCATCTAACAGCCAGACTTCTTGCTCGTACAAAATCGCTAAGGTTTTCACGCGCTTCGAGCACACTGCAGCCAAGGGCAACGTGCCGGTTGCTGAGTCGAACACGAGACTCCTGAGCCTCGTGTTCACTCAGGTATGCTGCATTCATACCAGCTGGAAAGGAGTCGTTCAGCACCAGCCATTCAAGGCGAAGTATTTCGTAAAAATACTACTTCGAAGTATATGTAACAACGCACAGCACGAATATCCCATACAACATGTGCAAAGATCGTCTCCGCGTTTTGAAACGTTCGCTACCAGGACCAAACGATAAGGGTATGACGTGGAGCTGTCCGCTGTAGAGCTTCTTCAATGCAATACTATTTTCCAGAAAGCAATAGCTTGCACCAGCTCGAGGTCTGGATATATTGTAAGGGATACGATGCTCATCTATAGTTTGCGAACAATCAGGAATTCAAGGACTAATCATCCTTATCGTACTAGTAGTTCCGAAGAATCCGGCCTTGGCCTTGATCGGCAAAAGCCACGCAAGATTTCACACGACGTTGAAAAACAAATGTACTCCTACAATGCTTTATTAGTATGGACTAAGAGAAAAGATTAAAAGCTAGTGTAAAAGGGATGACGACCGTGTATGATTCAAAAACGGATGGGAGCCTTGTGCAAATCAATCAAAGGATGAATGCCTCGTGTGCGTCCAGTACAGGCAAGCTGCGCTCGCTGATACGAAGCATTTGGATGCCATTATGCTTTCCCCTTGTGTAATAAGACTTCACTGACCCGCAGGGGTTCCACCGAACCCATTTACAACGTTGGAGGCCTCCCTAGGAGGCTTTCACCTGTGGAGTCTCGTGGGACGAATTATCGAGCTAATCGCTAAAATCAGCTAGAGGAAAAGGCTATCAGCTCTCCTGAGAAGGAAATAGCCGTATTAGAAGAAAACGCAATGACATTCGCTTGCATTCCGTGTGTCCTAAGGCCCATTTTGGATTCATCACAACACGTTCAATAAAATACACGTAAAAAAAGCACTAAGCAAGCCATCCCTCTTCATAAAAACACACACGGAAGTCCACCGTTTGAAGGTCCGCACTAGGACTTCAGCCTTTTCACACTAGATTTTAATCCGCACCCATGGACTAAAAGTGTAGTCGTGCTGGTCGTTAGCCGCTGTATTGTACCACCACCTTTAATGTCGCTCAGTTCTCGATTACTATCCAGGCACTGCACACTCGCCTCTCTGACCAACATACCTGAAGACAACCAAGTACCGACCATGAACTTCAAAACTTGCTTCTCTGTCGCCCTCGCCACTGTGATGGCCACGACCGCGGCTGCGGACTTCCAGTACTGCACGGACCCAGTCTGTGGTCCGGTCAACTCAGCAAATACTGCCAGCAGAAAGGTGGTAATGACCGCCGTTCCTTCGCTCGGTGCTGCTGTAGCAGTTGCACTTTGGGCGGCCGTTGCCAGCAGTAAGACATGACGACGTCCATCCGAACCGACAAAGAGACTAGAGAACACACGGACCGATAGTTTGGGTCTGGATGACCAGCTTGACTGAGTCACAATAGAGAAAATTCTTCTTCTTCTTTTCACCACGACGCGCGGTGTTTTCGTGAATGCGTACAGGGTATAGCGCATTTGTACGCGATGGCATCATTGCAGCAGTATTGACTTTTTTCTTTGCTCTTCTTTTGTGGAGGTCCAAGGCTAAAACAGTCGATGCTCGATGCGTTTGTATACGTGCACTGGAATGGGAAAATTGGGAAATGACTGGTCACCCTTTTCATAAAAAAATTGCAGCGTATCTTTGGCAAGAAAGATACAAACAACCGAGTCGCAAGTGCCAGTGTCCAAGAGCACCCCGTAGCGATGATGGACTTGTTGACGGGTGTGCGTGTCGTGTGTCGAGAAGACCTCCGCGTTCAGGCTCTGGGTCATGTGGTGACCATGACCGACGACTTCGCAGACAAATCCATCCACTGGACGCTCCCGAAAGCCGTCAAGGCGAGGGGTTTTCGAGCGCGTTCTGAGTCACATTCGCAATCTAAACGACGAGGCCAAGCGGAAACAGTTCGAGCTTGTTTGGGGTACGCAGCATGTGGAAACATCCTCGGGAATAGAGGTACAAGGTCTCAGCATCTGAGTCAACTTCTACAATCATCGCTGGAGGAAGGACACGTCATGATAAATGGAAATGGTAATTAAAACACTAAAACTGCGTTGCTGTTGTTGAAGTTTGTACCGTAGCCAGTTAGCTAGAGCAGCGAACACATCCGCGTCTTAATCGGCAAGCTTTGCGAGACTCATGTTGGCCCCCACATGCGTGGGCGACTTGGTCAGGGTGACATCAATCGTGTCTCCCTTATCGAAGCGAATAGTGCGTCCAAAGGAAGCACTCGTGTTCACCTTTGCGCCGCTTGGAACTTGGCTGCATTGGATCCTGCAGTTGTTGTTGCGCAGATTTACAGTTCCCCCATTCGATTGCGGTCGCAAGTGCACTGTCAGGTTCAAAACGTACCACCCAGGGACGAGAATGCGTATGCCGCCCCTGTCACCTGTGAACTGAAAGTGCTCGAGCTTGTCGTCATCCCAAATAATCAGACCTTTGTCGTTCAGCTTCTTCACGTTGGTTGACACAACATACAGGTGCATCACTTCTTTGGGGCCTTCAGCCAGTTTCTCTTCCATTTGCCGGAGCTTAGCCTCCGCCATCACCACTTGCTCTTCCAAACCGCGCAGCTTAGTCTTCATCTCCGCCACTTGATCTTCCGCATCACGTAGTTGAGCGCCCACAATGTCAATGCGGTCGAGCGGCACAGGCTTCAGAAGAAACACGTATTGCGCTAGCCATGCTGATCCCAGCGCTCGGAGCTTCACTGACAGTTCAAGCTGCACTGCGCCCCCTTCTTGGTCAGTTAAGCGGCGCCCAATCTTGCCAGCATCATCAGCATTTTTCAGACACTCCTTGTCCATCAAATATCGCAGCGTGCCCTCGAAAAGCTGTCCATAGCGACATAGGGGTGAGACGATGTTTTGTTCTACTTTTGATCTTACATGCATACGGAGGTTGCTTACTGAAATGTAGTCACCACTAGAGGCGCCGGGAATTCTATTCGTCACCGTCACGTAGTCATTTTCGACCAGATAACCAGTGCTCCTGGAGACAATAGGAACTGGTTAAACACACACCATCACGACATCTGCTCCCAACATACGCACCATTGCTGCTTGGACTGCAGATTCTCCAGCCAGATACTGATCTTGTTGGTCTTGGACGAGGTCTTGAAACGATACGTAGGCGATGGTGCAGAGCCAAACGCGGTATAGCCACGGGCGTCCTCAACTGCCTCCATGGTAAGAATTAGAATTGTGTTTCATGCCTAGAAAAGGTTTTCCTAGAAAATAGGATTGATGGAATTGGACGACCCAAAATGGAGCCAAAACAGAATTTACCTCGGCGAAGAAACATGTCCAAGGTATGCTACGCATTATCGCTACCGCACTCTACGCCGAGCTGGAAACTACCGAGCTGCTACTTGCCCTGAAGAAAACGACCAAGCTTGGGAGTGGCGGTTGGATTCTTTGCGACGCCGAGGATCTGGAGTTGGATCTGGCGATAATGGGCGGGAAATGGTTAACTCAAAACGAAGTGCAGAAGCTTACGAACACACCAATAGGCTTGCAATACAAGGGACAGCCTCTGGCCCGACTACCCCAATACGCGCAATTACCGCTGGAGTACGCTGGGATGAAAGCATCCGCTGTCATTCAACCGAATCGCGAAGAATGCGCCATGTGCAACGGGTTCATTCACGTGATCGTGGTCGTCCTGTGGCGTGCCATCCCCTTTGGAAGACATCGGTTTATTGAATCAATCCCGATTTATCATGACTTGAGGAGAAAGCTCCAAGTCAAAACGACATACATGAAACGTTTCCAACCACTTCGTGAACGTACTAACCAGCACCTAAGGACTGGCACCGCATACTTTATACTGAAGTAGTCAGGTATTGAAGCTTGTGTGTTGTTCGTGATTAGTATCTCTTACTAGGGACTTTTTATTGCAATGCTCTTACTTAGCTGACTACAGTAGCTGTACAGCAATACTATCTCCCCGTGGCAAATACCAACGCCCATCAATGGTAGATGAAAACAGAGGCCGGTTATAGGATTTTTTACGGCAGTTCTCAATGCAGAGATCATTTATCGTTCGCGTGCTACGAAAGGCGACTCCTCCCTTCCCTTTATCACAATTTACATTGTGTCCTGACATTCAGGGATAGATACAGTGTTCTGTGCTAGCGCAGATGGTGATACGTGTACCAGAGTAAACATTCAAGTATAGGACTTATCCGTCGCTTTGAATCTTTGTAATAATACCGTAGTTATAACATCGGCGATTGGAGATGTCGTGTGAAGCTTCAAATGCATGTGTTACTACTGTTCGTGAATAGTATGGACTACTCTAATCGTTGTGATTGGTAGCCGCTATCTATGCCAGCACGCTTAGCATCTCCCAGGGCTCAATTATCCAGGCACTGGGCACTTGCCTCTTCAACCGACGTACGTGAAGACAACCAAGAAACGACGATGAACTTCAAAGCAAGCCTCGCTGTCGTCCTTGCCGCTGTGGTGGCCACGATCGCTGCTGCAGACATGTTCCACTGTGAGGACTCAGCCTGTGGACCGCCCTTCGTGGAAGACTTCGAACTGACCGCGTGCTGCAAGCGCCAAAATGGTAATGACCTCCGTGCCTTCAAACGGTGCTGCTACGTCAGCTGCAGGCTCGGTAGTCGTTGCAAGTGAGCTCTAACCAAGGCGTGACACCCTTTCAGCCGCACATGCATCGGTAGTCGCGAGGAGCATAATGAATACTAGTACACGGAGCCGAATTTTAGAGAGACCAGCATTGACTGTATCCTTATAGAAGCGACACTTTTACAAAGGTGCCACGAATCATTTTAATGCTAGCTAAGTCGAGTGTTTCAGTTGTAATCGACTGCTCATAGGAAATAAACAAAAAAATATTCTGCGGTACTGCGCAATAAGGAAGATCTTACAGCCAGGGCCGCTCATAGGAAATATTTTTTTTTGCAGTACTGCGCAATAAGGTAGATCTTACAGCCAGGACGACATGCATGTGTCACCGAGTTAGCTCATAGATGCGATTGTGAGCTTGTGAGCTTTAAACTTCATTACAAGCCAGCCATTTCCCGCCAGCTTTCGCCAATAATCGCGGCTCCTAGATGTGTCACCAAAGTCGGATATCCTCAAGGAAATTGAGCCAAGTCGGCGAGAATGTTGAGGCAGTGTGTAATCAGCCGGGTACCGCTCTAACTTAAGAAAGAAAGGGTATTAGTCGAGGAGGTTGCCCAATCCCTGCCTCGACATTTACACAATTAGTCGAGGAGGTTGCCCAATCCCTGCCTCGACATTTACACAAGATCCTGTTCGCTCTAAATCATGGCTAGATGGTTTTCTTCTTTGCATAGCACGGAGTAGTGAGATGAGGGGCTAACTTTTATGCGCTGAGCACTGCCTACAGCTTGCGCCAAAAGCGTAATAGCTATCGTGCCATTTTGTTAGTAACCTATCGTTGTGGTCAGATACAGAACGGACCTGATCTGTGGTCGGGTTTCATGCATTCTAGGCATTCTGGGGGTTGCACCCCCAGACCCCCGCATAAAGAAAACTAACTCCGAGTTGCGGCAACGTGTCCGCTAGAACATGTGTTTTCATCTGACCAAAAGCATTCAAAAACTCATACAAAATACCAGGTCCGTTCTGTATACGACCCATTTGCAGGGCTGTGGAAAATATGATTGCGATTGTAATATTGTCAAGATTGTCAATCACAATAATTGATTGTTCCGTGATCTCAATCGACAATCCCGTTCCCATATTGTCCCTTTACTGATTTTGAGCCTTTGCCAGTGATCCGGTAGAGCAATATGCAACACCAAGCCCATCGAACCGATCCTAGACTCATCAAAGCCTTTCTGTGTCTTCTGCTACTTCGAAATGCGGAAATGAGGGGTCATTGGGTGCCCGAACGGGGTACACTCTCAACATGATGAATACAAGACCCAACATTGCTTTTTGCCAAGGCTTTTGAAGGTTAACACGTATGCAATCGAATAAGCAAAGATCTTAGGGCGATAACGCCGCCAAACGAGTAAAGATATGAACCTAGCAGAGGAAATACAAGCGAGAACTTAGATTGCAATCTTTTGTTTTTGGGATTGTCAAGATTCCAATAATTGATTGTTTCAGATCTGAGTCGCCAATCAATAAACAATCTATATTTCCACAGGCCTGCCCCATTTGAGATTCTACCATTTTGTTAGGAGTCGAATCGAGAAGTGCTTTTTGGACCAGGATGGAAATTCATGAGGCTAGCATTCGGTCCGATTACATATCAACTTGGTTTTCATTACGGGATGTTTCTTCTCTCTGTACTACCGTGAATTTAATTTCGTCGTTCTCCATAGCATAAATACATATGCTGTTGTACAGCGATTGCTGCCTTGTACCTCCGCCAAGTTAACGATTTTTGCGGTTTTGCCTTCAAGCAACAAGATGAACTGAGCTCACACACTTAGTTTTAAATTTCGTCGAAAACTGGAGAATGACTGGTCACTTTTAACAATAAAATATCTGCAGCGTATCTTTGGCTAGAAAGATACAACCAAGAAGTGCCGAGTCGCAAGTGCCAGTGTCCAAGAGCGGTGATGATGGAGTTGTTGACGGGTGTGCGTGTCGCGTGTCGGGAAGACCTTCGCATTCAGGCTCTGGATCATGTCGTGGCCATGATCGACGACTTCGCAGACAGCTCCCGTGAAAGCGAGAAGTTCTCGCCTGCTCGAGCGCGTTCTGAGTCACATTCGCGATCTAACCTACGAGGCCAAGCGGCAGCAGTTCGAACGTGCATTGGGGTACGCAGCAGCCATGGGGAGCTTGCAGCTCATGCAGCAACTGCACGAGAACCTGTCGTTCGCGTTGGATTACGAGGTGGCGGTCGCTGCCGCTTTGAGTGGAGATCTGCCGTTGCTCAAGTGGATCAAAGCTACGGAGCCGTCGCTGTTTGGTCGCCAGAACTCGTGGGCGGAGCTCGTGGCTTTCACCGCCGCAGCCGAGCGAGGCTGTCTTGAGACGGTGCAATGGCTCGTGGAGACGTTCCCCAACGCGGTGTGGTCACTGGGTCCTGCCGCACTTGGTGGACATCTGGACGTGGTCAAGCGGCTGCATGTGCACGCGAATCTCGACGGGGCGCAGCTGAACTTCCCCATGGGACTCTTTGACGAGCTCACGTTCGCGCTTTGCTCTCAGTATGTGGAGGAGTGCTCTGGCAACAAAGTGAAATTGGACGCGGTGACCTGGAGGTTTTCGGACCGAAGAGCGTCGAGGGGCTCCGACGCCATGGACTGGGCTGCACGTAGGGGTCAACTGGAGGTGCTGCAATGGCTGCAAGCTAATCGTAGTGAAAGATGCTCGACGGATGCGGTGCTAAGCGCCGCTGAAGCAGGACACATGGAGATATTGGTGTGGCTTCATGAATATCACAGTGATATGTGGCTGCCTAAGGCGATGGATTGTGCCGCTAGGGGAGGGAAACTTGATGTGATCAAGTGGTTATACGCTAACCGGAGTGAGGGTTGCACCACTTCAGCGATTGACTGGGCGGCGGAGAAGGGTCTTCTTGAGATAGTCAAGTGGCTTCACGAGAATCGCTCCGAAGGGTGTACGCCTGCTGCTATGGACGGCGCAGCGAGGAACGGACATCTCAATGTGGTTTAGTGGTTGCACGACAATCGCACGGAAGGCTGCACGACCCGCGCGATGAACGGGGCGGCTGAGAATGGGCATCTTGATGTGGTAAAATGGCTGCATGAGCACCGACGCGAAGGCTGCACCACTGAAGCTGTGGATATGGCTGCTGGGTATGGCCATTTAGAGGTGCTTCAGTTCCTATACGCGAATCGCACGGAAGGCGGGACAGCTCAGGCTCTTGTGTTGGCGGAACAAGGAGAGATGCACCACGTACTACGATGGTTTGAGGAGCACCACATTGATCTCCCAATTCCTGGAGAAATGGAGGATTAGAAGTACAGACCTTATCACTGCGGTTTATTGATTAAGTTGCAAGTGTATTTTTCCTGGGGCCTCTAGCGTCTACCAGCAAAGTTTCGAATAAACCTTCCTTACACAGAGTTGAAAAAAAAATAACATCTCGTTCCTCAGTCACCATTTCAGCAAGAAAAAACAGTGCTTCGATCCATAACTCGGAGCCTGTTTGCTGGCAGCTTAGCCTTGCGGATTCGCGACTCGTTTTAGAGAAACAGCAATGCTACATTCGGGAGTATCAGGTTTAACGAAAGGCTGCCAGTTTACGTTTTAACACTATTGATACGACTAGCACAGATGCATTCCGTACTCAACATAGCTGAGACTAGTTTTCTAGCGCATACCTACTAGCAGCAACGAACACAAACGTCTCAAAACCATTACTCAACTGTAGCGCTTGCAGATTCGCGATCAATGCTGACCAGGAATAATGATTCTAAGCATGATGGGCTAATAATATCGTAAATATTACTTTTTGGCCAAAGTGACAACGACTTCTACACGTAATGTTAGCACACCTCCATCAGTAAATGCAGCACCTTTTTAGTTTCCGATCTCGCATGTTATCACGGCTTGCTCGCCAATTTCCACAGACCTCACGCCGCAAAATTCACCGACAGAACGACTTTCTTTTGCAAACTTCTCGCATCGCCGACAGTTGATCAAGGGCCAGCCCTCCCCAGACAAGACGTCATGTATGTCCGAGCACTCTTCGCCCTCCTTGCTACCGCCGTCTGCACTGCCAAACCTATCGACTACGACAAAGTTGTGCCGTTCGCTCAACCTCAGCCAGTTACGATCTCGGAGAAAATCGCCGTTCGCTTCAACCCGACACTCGACATCGATGGGGGCTGCTATCCGTATCCTGCTGTGAACGCCGCCGGTGAGATCACGGGCGGTCTCAAGCCGACTATGGGGAAGCAAGGCTGCTTAGACCCTCCAGCGGGATCGCAGGTGTACGGCCGAGCAACGTGGCATAATGACCGGTACGCCATCATGTTTGCCTGGTACTTCCCGAAGGCGTTCACGAGACGCAAACCGAGTAAGCGCCACGACTGGGCGAATGTTGTGATCTGGATCGATAACCCGACTGTGGAACTGCCGTCAGTACTTCAAATCACGGTCCCGGATGATCTTGGGCGGATGGTGTCTGGTGACTCTGGTCAATGCTTCGATGGCCTGAAGCCGACACTCAAATCGACAACGCCCCACTTCGTTCTCACTCTCCAATTCATCAACACGCGCACAGTGACCTACTGCCACGCGCCCGGCAGCAGCGCTCCCCTGAATCTCATCATGTGGGACCAACTGACCGAAGCCGCGCGAAACCCGCTGAATACGGCGAGCTTCGACGGCTCCCAGGTCCCCTTCAACGAACCAAACTTTGCTGCAAAATTGGACGAAGCTGCGGGTAAAAGGCCCATGGCTAGATAACTGAAATCATGTTTATCCCTCACTATTGGAGACAATATTGAGCTCTAGGCAGAACTCCGTTTTCGCTGAGATATACGCCCCCATTTCATTACTACTCAATGACTTTTCTTGCAGTTCTCCTCGTCCCACGCAATAAAAAAACGCTCTTGTGGATCTGGTTGGAGATCTTGCGATACATTACCCTCGCTATTCTTTTTATTTTTTGAAACATGCTATACGAGCGCTTCCCCAACGAGAAGTTTGTAATTACGCCGATATAAATGTCTCTCTTTTATCCATGCATCAGCAAACCCGGACAGCGTCGGCATGCCGTGTATAATAGCTTCAAGTTCGACCGAAAGGCTGTGTTAATTTGAGGCAGCTCAATGATTTGGACGCAGTGAAAGCAGTTACCGACACCTACAACGGACTGCCCCAGACAACAATATCGTGTTATAGGCCTAGCAGCAGGGCTGGTAAAACCTGTCGATTTTTTGAAATGGAATTAGGTTTTTGGTTTTACCTTGGTTTAAACCAATAGAACCTAGTTTTAATGCAAATACTACTCTTCACTACTGAGTTCTTGGTCATTCTCGTAACTATCGCCGTTTTCGCGCTTGTAGTTGTGGTTGGCCTTGATGTAAAGAAGCTTTTCGATTTTCGGTGCACTCAGCGCATTTCTAAGCTTGTTGTGGATGAAGCTTCTAGTCGAAAACGAGCGCTCGGATGTCACCCAAAAGTCGTATACGCTTTTCACTTCTTCGAGCTCCATATAACGTCGATCTTGATTCGTCTTCATCTTATTGCAGTACACTTGGAAAGCAGTCAGCTCCACGCTCATATTTTTGCTTCGTGTGGTGTCACGAGTGATGGAGCTGGTATCAGACGCAGGAAAGTCGACGATAATATCTTCATATCGATCGTATGTGTCAGGAACCATTCCGCATCCGACATACCGAGGATCAAGCCAAACTTCTCTGCAAGACGCTCAACATACGCCCTCTGACACAGGATCACCATGCGTCCAGGCAAGTACTTCACTTCCATGCCAAGCAGGTGCCGCACTCGCCCCAGGTTCTTCAACTTGAAGTGCTTTGCTAGGTCCTTCACCACGCCAGCAATGTCACCAGGTGTCCCTGCGACGAGAATGTCATCGACATACACGGTAAGGTACACGACACGTCCGTTCCGGCGTCTCCAGTACACCCCAGAGTCATGCGTACACGGCGTGAAACCAAGCTTGACAAGTATCTTGTGAAGGGTATCATTCCATATCTTCGATGCTTGCTTCAAGCCATAGAGTCCCTTGCGTAACTTACAGACTCGATCCGTTCCGTCTTCATATCCTTCAGGCTGCTCCATGTTTATGGTCACATCAGTCAACTCGCCATTCAAGAATGCGGTGACGAAGTCAACGTGCACGCAGTCCAGGCCCAAGAACATCGCAATCAGCATCACAAGCCGAACAGACTCAATTCGCACAACTGGGAAGCAAGTTGCGAGATAATCTATCCCGAACTTCTGCATGAATCCTCGTATAGCAAGCCTGGCCTTCAGTCTGTCAACTTCTCCTCGCTCGTTTCGCTTTACCACCAAAACCCATACGGAAGTCAAAATGTTTGCGCGCTGCCGCCCTCTTCCTCTCTTAGGCCTTTGCACGAGCTCCCAAGTCATGTTGTTCATCAGCGCTTCATACTCTGCGTCCATAGCATGTTGCCAGCCTGCTGCATGCTCCGACTCCAAGGCAGCCTTACGAGACGTGGGGTTCAGCATCTCATTCACCACGCCGATCATCATACACTGCATGAGAGTCATTGTCATCAACCACGTGCTTGGATCAAACCGGCTATTCGGTCGGCGTTGGCGGCCGGACCGACAGGCGGCGTCTGGTTGTTGCTAGCAGAAGATGGCACTTGGCCTAAGGTTGCGGTGCTTCTGCCACCAGTGTTTCCACTAACACGACCACTGGGACTCGCAGTGCTTGCGCTTGACGCAGCAGTCCCAGCCGAACTAACACTCCCACTCGTTCCAACAACCTGCGGGTTTGAGCTCCCACTTGATCTAAATGCCGTAGCAGGACGTGCATTCACCCGGCACTCTGTTCCGGCACAAGCTCCACCGTGGTCACCTCCTTCATCGGTGGTGTCAATGAATTCCCACTCACTCTCATCACTGCTACGCATGTCCACATTATCTTCACCTGGAGCGGGGGCCTTCTCTTCAAGCAGGTCTGCGGCTTCAACCTCAGGTTCACGCATTTGCACTTCTTCATTGTGAACAGCAACCTGCTTCACAGGCAGCAAGACATAAGGTACATCACTTGGCACCACTGTCTGCTTTCCGTAGTAGCAATTGGCCAACAATTCTCCACATAGTCGCTCCCAACAGCTACATCCTCTCGAAAACGAACAGATCGCCGCTCCACTATGGCGCCAGTCTCGAGGTCCAGCAGGCGATAACCCAGTGATAATTCAGCCATACCGAGGAACACAGCCGGCCTGGTCCGCATCTCCAACTGGTTGCCTCTTTTCACCTTCGGTACGTGGTAAAAGGCTAAACAGCCACACACTTTCAGGTTCTTGAGGTCGGGTTTCTTGCCCCGCAGCTTCTGATACGGCGTCATGCCTCCGACAGCTTTAGTTGAGCTCATGTTGTCAATATGAACAACATAGTGCAGGACCTCACCCCACAGACACTCCGGCAAGTTAGCTGCCTCTCGGATTGCGCGGACTTTGCCAAGCAGCGTGCCATTCTGCTTCTCGACCAAGCAGTTTTCTTCGGGTGTTTAAGAGTTTGTAGGCAGCGTCCCAATACCATGTTCCTTGAAGAAATCATTCAACTTATTGTTCAGGAACTCACCACCGCGATCAGATCTAAACAACTTGATCTTGATGTCCTTCACAAGTCGGTGGAACAGATTCAGAATGTTCTCTTCAGCATCGCTCTTCTTTTGAACCAGAAAGACCCACTTAAACCGTGACGCCTCATCCTGCACGAGCTGGAAGGACTTTGCCCCACCCGGAGTCGTAATACCAACGGAGCAGATGTCGGAGCTGATGCAGGCTCCACACTCAGTAGCACGCTTCCCTTGTTGGCGCTTGAACGACATTCTCTTGTCCTTTGCTTCTTGACAGGCAATGCAGTTGAGCGGCGTCCGCCTAAAGTCATTCAAAGTCAACCCGCCCAAGCCATCAGCCAAGCCTTCCCTCACCATTCTCATCATGGCATCCTCATTCAGATGGGCCAGCTTCAAGTGCCATTTCATGACGATGTTGTTCTCCAACGTCTCCACTTGACGGTTCATCATCAGCGCGGCTTCCAACATAGGGCTCGCCTTCATCCAATAGAAACCGTCCACTTTCTTAGAGAACTCGAGTCGAATATCGTCCTTGTCAAAGTACTTGAGACGCTGCTCTTCATCATCGGTGTCCAGGTACGATGGCTTCCACCCGGTACGCTCCAGCGTGCGCTGGCTAATGAGATTGATGACACCTCTGGGCTCGTAGCGAACGCCAGTCAGCTCAAGGATCGATCCATTCGAAACTTGCAGTCGAATCGTCCCCGATCGCTCATTAACATCCACTCCTCCTTTCCAGTCAAGTGTCAGAAGTGGGTCTCTGTTCATCTTCACGAAGGACCCACCTTCAACACACACATGAGCCCCTGCACCACCATCTAGCATCCAGTCGTGCACTCTGTCTGCAGTGCAACGAATGTCACCCAGCGCCATGCGAATCGGAGCTGGTGGGTTATTAGAGTCTCCAAGCTCTCCACTCCATACCATGCTCATTGGTGTTGGGTTGCTGTTGTCCTCAGACTCGTCAGCGTTCTGCTCCTTCTTCTTCAGAGTTTTTCAGCCATAGCGATCAGCGCGTAGATGCCCCTTCTTCTTACAAAAGAAGCACTTTCGGTTCTCCTGCTTCACCTTCTTGCCGTTACCCCCTTTCTTCTTGAACTTGCTTTTCAGGTTCTGCAGAACAGGACGCTGGGCCATCACCCTTGTTGCTTCATCACCCCGAGTAGTAGTTGCTGCACACGCCTTGTCCGTCTCTGCTTCACCAAGCAGCGTGTTGGTCACGGTAGCCAAGTCAGGTGCTGCACCACCAGCATCTCGGTTGAATAAAAGAACGACATTGCGGTGAGAATCCGCCATACCTTGCAGTATTATCCTCGCCATCTCCTCATCAGTGATGGCTGCATTCATATTAGCCAATTGACGCCTCATGTCCTCCAACTTCTCCAAATACTTCTCCATGTCCTCACCGGAGGAGAACTTGGTGGTGTACAACTTACTGCGTAGTCGAATTTCACTGGCGTATGCTCGCTTGGTCTTGTCTTGCTCGAAAGACCTCCACATCTCGCGCGCGTTTGCCATTCTGCACACCATCTTCGAGTCCTTGGGGAGCATGCCGTACAGTAATGCGCACCGCGCGAACTGGTTTCGCTCTGCCCACTGCGGATTAGCGGGATCAGCAGCGGCGTTGCCTTCGACAACGTCCCAGCATTCGTGCTGACGCAGATAGCCTTCGACTAGCAAACAGAATTACATTTCATGTTAAAAAGAGTTAATGCAACCGAGAATTTCATCGAAAAGTTCGTGAGGTTGATCTATGGATTTTAAATCGGCAAGCTACTAGCCCAGGTTTTGCAAAACAGGTATTATTCAGGTCTGGCGACAGGTATTGTCCAGGGATAATTTATCCCGTTTTTTATTACCGTCATTTCAGCTTTTGCCTCACCGCCACCAATTCGAGGGGGCCAGCTCCAGCCACGTGGCATTCGACGTGCGGCGGCTGCTCGGCCCTGGAGACCCCAGCATCATGGTGCGCACCCCCAAGACGGCCCATATCAAGGCGCAGATGGCCGAGCGGGCGCGGCAGGAGGAGGAGGCACGCAGGAAGGTGACCAGCGCGCGCACCAGATCGCAGCGATCACAGGCGCTTCAGGATGCCCGCGACTCACGGGTCACGCAGTTCGGCCCTCATGCGACTGTAGAAGGCGACTCATCCACTGGCGATGAAGAGGAGAAAACGGCCAAAGAGGAAGAAGATGTCGCAGAAGAAGAGGAAGAAGAAGATGATGAAGAGGAAGAAGACGCTGAAGATGCAGACGAAGAGGAAGAAGATGCAGGCGAAGAGGAAGACGGAGATGAAGAGGTTGAAGAAGATGAAGAAGAGGGCGCGCAGAAGAAGAAAAAGAAGAAAGGAGCTACCAAGGGCGGGTAGCGCCAAGGGAAGAAGCGCACCGTTTCCGACGTTGAAGACGAGGACCTGGTGCACGTTTTAGCGTTCAAGGCCCAGCATGACTCGTGGCCCCTGCTTGATGTCAGCCTACAGGAGTACATGGATGCGACGCGACAGAAGATCGTCATCGCGGAGGTCATCAACGTGGCTCGCCGCAACGCAGACTTGCGTAAGCAGGTCCGCTTCCGAGGGCTTCCTGACACAGAAATTCCTCTCGTGCCCGACGAGTGGGAGCCCTATCAGCGGAAGTACATCTGCACCCACGGCTGGAAGGAGCGTGAGAGATCGACGGGGAAGAGGACGTCGCACAAGCTCCGCCGCACTGAGTGTCCGTTCCAGATGCTTGCACAAGTCGTCCTTCGCCGAGATGGAAAGTTGGGCATCGTCATGAAGCGAGATATCTACAGCCACAACCACCCCATTTCCGACGACATCTACAGGTCTTACCCAGGTATTCGCCAGGTTCCTGCCGAGTCTCCGCTCATGCCCGGAATCGAGCTCCTGGTCGACGCCCAAGCCAGCACTTCCAGCGTGTACAAGTACATCAGGGAGAACTCGAACCACCGCGTCGCGATGGACGACGTGTGAAGCATGATCAGGCGAATGAAGACGCAAGGCAAGTGGTTATGCTGCTGTTCTATATTATATGTGTGCTGATGCTTATACTACTTATGACTGCAGGCGTGGAACTGTCCGATGGCGACGCGGTTGCGGAGATGATCCTGAACTTCAATGGAGAGTCGCCCGCTAACGTAGCTTCCGTTCACGAAAGCCAACGAGGAGATACTGGTGTTATATCGTTTACCAGTGGACACATGCGCGCGATGGTAGACAACTTTCCCGAGGTTCTGCAGATGGACTGCACACATCAGACAAATCAGTGAGTCCCCCAACTTTGTTATGCATATCATCCAGGTTTACACCAGGTATTAACCATGTTTTCATATCAATTGTGGATAGATACAACTACCAGCTTTTCACGATTGTAGCTATGGATCAATATGGCCAAGGGCAACCGGTGCAGTACTCCCTCATTGAAACGAATGGCGATTGGCATATGTCAAAGTGCCTCGACCACTTCAAGCGTGCAAATGAGCACTGGCGGTTCGTGCGGATAGTCATCGTCGACAAGGACATGCGCGAGATCGATGTGATTCGCAAGAAATTTCCGGAGACGCGGATTCTTTTCTGCCACTTTCATGTCATCAAGCGGCTTCATGAAACCATCAAGAAATCGCAGGCCTATGGAGCGTACGAAGCAGACGTTTTGACGCAGATGAAGCACACCATCACGAACATGACATACTCCAGAACTGAGGAAGACTATGTGCGGTATCGGGATGAGTTCAAGAGTCTGGCCTCGCGGAATGGTCGTGTGGAGCCTATGGGAGTATTTCGACAAGAACTGGAATGCGTGCCGAGAGATGTGGGTGATGGCTTACCGTGTCGATTTGCCACACTTCGGCAATCACACGAATAATCGTGTCGAGAGCCTATTCGGTAAGCTGAAGCGAAAGCTGAAAGGCCATCTAACTATGCGCGCTAGTCTGGAGGTGCTTCTGGAATATCAGCGCCGCAAAGAAGAAGCCTATCGGTCCAAGGTCGGGATGCCGGGTACCCTGAGAGACGCCTCGTACCCTGAGGAGTTGAACGTCGCTCTGGGCATGACCACGAGGTGGGTAGCAGCTGCTCTGAAGACACGAAGATGAAATACCACTGGAGGAACCTTGTGGTGTGTCGACCGACGCTTCAGCAGCGCCGGAAGGTACTGGAGACGCGGTCACAGGTGCCGTTTGTACCGGTACCGTATTATCAGCGTCAACAGGAGCGCCGATGGGTAATGAAAGATCTTGCGGCCCTAGCTAGCGTTGCAAAGGGTCGGTAACTACATTGACAGCACCCTGGGATGCCGGAGAACAAACTGGCTTCATTAACGAGGATCCAACCGATGGCGAAGAGCAGCAAGAACGTCGAGCGTACCGGCCCAGAACACTGAAGGTCCAGGAGAGCGGCGGTCGCAGCGGTCAGGCGCAAGCACGATGAATGAGCCATGAAGTTTACGGACTGGAGGCGCCTAGACGCTCACCTGTTGCGCAGGCTCGTGTCCAGGCGGGGGCAGTTGTGGTATCGGAAAATGGAGATTACCGGAGCGATTGCCCGTCGCCCAAGAATCAAAGTACAATCAAGGACAGTTAAGTGCGAGATGGAAGTGGCTGCTTTGGTTAAGCTGACGACATTATCCTCGTTAGAGTGACGGTTAGTGGCCGGAGCCACGTCGGGTCCTAATACAACCCCGAACGAGGCTTCATGGTGCCTACTTTTTGGTACAGATGCATTTAGTTACGTACTTCGGCCGCACTTATTAGTGTAGCCGCGGTCGTCATTTGATGTGTCCGGGATCGCCTCATTGCGATCGTTTACACTAGATATTTGCATAGGGACATAGGACTCATCATAGGATGACCAGAACGAGGCCCCCAAGGCCTCAGAAACTCAGTAATAAAAAGACAGTCTTCCCCCAAAGCAACAAGGGTCAAGTCCGACTTCGGTAAGTGTAGCTAGCTTATTGTAGTGCCTGGACACGCTCGGCTGCGTGTGGATGCCTGTCGGGGAGCTTATCGTGCATTGACCGAGAGTTTCCTTGGTAGCGCCAAGAGTTGGCGTGGCCGGAGAGGCAGGAACGGTATTAGAGTATCGTTCGGTATATATTTGTGGGATTAGAGGGTCCCTGAGTGTATTAGTCTACCTACCGAGGTTTTACCTTGGTCCCCCTGTATAAGGCCTAACACGCCGGTATCCTTCCTTTCTGAGGGGCTGCAGTGGGGTTGCGCGAAAGCGCTACATAGTATCCTAGCCTAAGCTCGTGGCTAGTGGTACAGGTTTTTGGGTTGACCGAAGACAACCTAAGGTGCACAGAGGCGCGTGCAACCGACCCGGTGTAAGGGATCGTTCCTGGTCTTCAGGTTTTGATCAAATAAGCGCTTACCTTTGCGGGTTAGCGTGTTGTTGGTGTCTCTAATACCTTTTGGTAGAGGAGAATTTTAGTGGTATTACCACACCACAGTCATCGCATCGGACAAGCTCGCTGCTGATTCGACCAAACGCCTGCTGCGAACGCCGATACTTCTCGGCTTCACTCAAACTGCCAGCGCTCGCAGCTGGATGCCCTTTGTAGTGCTTAGCAACGAACGGATTTTCCACCTCCATCAAGTCCTGTTGCGAGATGCGATTCTGTCCAAACCACCTATTCATGCACATCAATAACAAAACATGGTTAAACTTGGTCAATACATGGGTAAAACGATATACCTAGATAACACCTGGTCAATACTCATACATACCTGGGCGAAATGGAAGAGAATGGGATGATGAAGGGGCTTCCACACACTTTTCTGTAGACCATTGCATGTCTGCACGGAAGTTTCATAGCTGTGAAACTCGCTGTCGCACACCCAGCCTTCCTTCTCGCGGAGATACTCGTTCTCCTCGCTTTGTACGGTGATCGTAGCGCCATTGGCCTTGAAAGCGTAGGTATCGACATCCCCGGGGTTCGTAGCAATGTCAAATTGGCGTATGCTTTAGAAAGTGCTGCATCATTTGAGGGTCAAACTGAGCAGCATGCCCTGCCACTCTTCTGGCCGCAATACCAACCTACCAGAGTTCCGGTGGTCGTAAAGGAGGCAGGAATGGTTGCCCCAGCCTGATGCTCGCGAATCGCTGCGTCACCAACGTCGGTCACACATTCACTTGCTTCGTTATCACTCGGAGATAGTGTAGCTGTGTCGACCGTGGTTTCGTTGCCTTCGTTCCACAGTTCCATCCGGATTTTCCGGTGGTCGTAACCAAATCGGGTTTAGATGCCTCAGTCTGCGGCTCGGGAACCACCGCACCAGAAACGTCGGTCGTGCCTTCAGCTTCTTCCTATTTGGCGCGAGAAACCGTACCAGTGTTGACCATGGTTCGTGATGCACTTACAGCAAATACTTGGTGGTCGTAACGTAAGGTCTGGGTGCCCCAGTCTCCATCAAGCGACCCGCTGTGTTGCAATCACATCTTTTCGAGCCGCACCAATTTTCGTTCAGGGTTCCCACAGTTTCCGCGCAGGCTACATCAGGTACCACCGCCTTGAACGAATCGTAGTTGTCGGCCGTAGCGGTCCCAGATCCACTCGTATCTCTACTTCATCATCAAATCCATATATCGTCGCAAGTCGAGGTCCGGCACATTCTTTCACGTTAATATCGGCACCCGAAGCCTCGGTCACCCTTCCTTGAGCTTCATCCTTGTTCGTTTCATCTGCTGGGGTGTTGACCAAGGCATTCCGACATGCCACTCCATCGTGACTCATTCACATCACATGTAATATGCAAATTCCAGTAATTCCTTCGTCTGTCACTGCGAGCTGGAAAGCCCTCGCAGGCAGTTCAATCATCATCTCCAGTAGCTTCTTTCGTCTGTCGTCGCGAGCTGGGTTACCCTCGCGAGCAGGTCAGTCGTCGTTAGCATATGGAACTCGTCAACGACTTGGGCCACGTGCAAACATCGTGCTGCGTTCGCCACGCGTGCAGGTCATCACCCAAACGAACAAACGAACGGTGTTCATCTGCGCATAGGTACGTGATCTCAGGTCCGTTTCACTTCCAAACCTCTGTCAGCCCACCACTGAGAATCAACACTCGTGCCTTGGTTTACCTCGTTCCATGTAGGCCAAATCCGAGTGGTAGGCTTCAGCCGAGGTGTCGGTAGAGACTCCTGCGCGTAGTCGCTGAGCTTAATCTCGTTCGCAGTGTCATCGTCCTCAGTGAACCCTTCTGCAACCACCGCATGCACGACCGAGGTATAATTCGCCTCCGTAGCCTTTCAGGGTCCTCTTTGTCCGGGCCATCGACACAATTTTCTCCATCGGTACTAACCTCGGTCGTGGCTGTTCCTGCTTCAGTTAAGATGTCGTTCGGTCCAGGATCATGTTCGCCCCAGTCGATAGTGGCGTTGCCCCACGCGACCGACGTTTGATCTGGTTCAAGGCGGGCTTGCGTATCAGTCGCTGTTCCGGCCATTCGCGGGGCGGGTTCCACCGCTGCTGTTACATCTGGCGCGTCATGATCTTCTCCCGAATCGTCGTTCAGCTCTCCAACACCATCGTCACGCTTGTCTCCGGCTCCTGACACCTCGGCCGGGGCTTTCTGTGCCCCATGTTCGATGCTATCGGCGTTATGATCGGTGCGCTTGGATGCATAGGCCGCTCGGTGAAGCGACGACCATTCCAGTGCGTCGGAGTCGGTCCGTGCAATCGCCTCGTCGTCCAAACCGTCGTTCGATATACCATCACGTTCTTTGGCGTCTGCACCAGGCTCAGTAACCTTAACCGAGCCTTGGGAGACCCTAAGGTCGTTGTCATGATCCGATATACCGAGCGAAGAATAATCGTCGTTAGGACGACCTTGAAGATGACCTCTCGGCCATGTTGGAGCGCCGAGCGGTCTCCGTAAGATCTTCTGCGGCGTCGAGTAAATCCTGCGCTCAACTGCGGGTGGCTGTTTGGCCATCAATTGGTCATAGAGACATCGCTCCCTTCCATACAGAGTCTCGTCACGGCTCGTTGAGTATGCCAGCACCTGCCACTCATTGTACTTATTAGAGCCCAACCTCGCGTAGCCGGTCTCTCGCGGTAGTTCACCGTGCGGTACCCAGAGCACCACGGAGTCGTGCTTGGCACACTGTGCCGTTGTGGTCGTAATATTGGTGAGTCGTACCCTTGTCGGCTGCACCCGTCGAAGCCTCGTAACGGTCGGCACAAGCTTGTCCGTGCACCGTACCCACACATCGTACTCCGAACGAGATAGCCGCTGGCGCGGCAGTCGAAACTCTCGCCACTCGCGACCGGGGACGTATAAATCCTCGGTCGGCCCACTCGAAGGCTGCGTGCCGTAAGGTTCGTCATCCCCAACACTCTGCGACTTCAGAAGTGGTACCATGACCTCGTCTGGAAGGCGTGCGGTGCCATGGAACAGATCCAGCCGGATTCTAGCCGGGATCATAAAGTCCATCCCAAGGACTACATCCACTCCGGCACTGTGGTCCATTATCCACATTTCAAACTCGTAGGCCTGCTCCCACCCGAGGGTGATCTTGACGAGCGCCCGTCGCCGGGTCTTTATCACCCCTGGGTTGATGCCGCGGACTTCGAGACTCTGTCCGTGGCCCCGGACTTCTCGCACGCGTAGCCGCTTGGCGAAGCTGGCAGAAATCACGCTAACATTCGCTCCAGTGTCAAGGAGTATCCTCGTTCGCGCATCGTCCACAGCGCCATTGACCAAAGCTCTCATTCGCTTCCTCTTGTCGTATCGTTGGGACGACCACCACCCCGGTCTCTCACCGGGCAGTAATTTCACCGCCCGAACGAGGCTCCGAGGTGGCCCCCTGATCTGGGCTAGACTTGTGATCAAAGCCTCGGTCGGGCGTCCATCACGTTCGTCATCATCATCTTCATCAATACCAATCTCAACGAGACTTGCGTCTCGGTTCTCTCCATTTCCCGTCAGTTTCACACGTTCATTGTTCTTCCGGTCGTCAGGCCGTCTGCTTTCGCCCGTGAATGCGAACAGATAGTCCGCATCAACAGCAGGCTCAGCTAACTGTGGCAGCCCGATTGGGACCAACCCAGTTTCAGTTGGCGGGCTGCCTAGTTTAAATGACTTCCATACACCAGGCTTTGCAGCTCTGGCGACAGATCCTTCTTGTCGACCTTGGACTTCAGGAGCTTGGTGAGCTCGTGGAGCGCTTCGCACTTTCCAGCGTCGTGCACCTGTTTGCACAGTTGGCACCGCCGGTAGCAGAAGTGCACGGAGTGGGACGGGCTTCTGCACGCGGCACACGGCCCAAACTGGCGACGGCCATCTCGTTTGCGGTTGGACGGGCCTCCTCCGTTCCTGTAGCGTCGGTTGTCAGACCGGGCGAACGTTCCATCGGCTGCGGCCCTGCGCTCAGCGTCGTTAGCGGCAGCGACATGCCGAGTAGACTCGTCAGAGTCGTAATCGGCGTCTGAATCCTCGTCCGAGCGTTGGTCGTCCGAGTACTGGCGCTCATCATCGAAGTAATCCTTGTTCGCCTCAGCATCACGTCGGGGGGGCGTACGAAGCCTCGTTGCGTGCACTGACCGAGCCTCCAATGTTCCATTCTGCCATCCCATCGGGAAGGGCGTCGACCAAAGTAACCCTCGACCGGTGCGGTGACCCGTCACGTCTGTCACGGCGGCGGTCGTCATCACGACGATCGGTGAGGCGGTCGTCGCCACGGTAACGTCGTTCGCGGCGGTCCTCGTCGCGGTAACGTCGTTCACAGCGATAACCACTTCGAGAATCCTCGTTCGACCGCGCGTCGCGACGGCGACTGTCATCTTGACTGCGGGAGCGGCGGAACGAAGATTCGCGGGTCGACTTTCGGTCACGGTGACGCAGAATGTCGTTGATCATGTCTTCGAGGTCATGAATGCTCTTGACCCGAACGTGGCACAGACGGTCTTCTAAGTTTCGGTCGTCACACGTAACTAAGAAGTGTTCGACGTGGTCCTTCGCGTCACGATCCCCGTGCTCAAACTGCACCCCGGCGTTGCGAGCGTAGCCGTTGAGCCGGTTGAGGTAGTCACATATATGCTCTTTGTTCTCTCGTTTGATCGAGTAGTACCGAGTCTTTGCAGACTGGGAGAACTTCGAGCAGTAGTACTTAATGAATGCCTCGCACAGCAGTTTCCACGTGCGTCTCGTCTTGCGTGGAAGCTGGCGGCACCAATACAAAGCCCCGTCTCTGAGCTTGAGTTCGAACGGCATGCATCACTCGTTGGGCGGTGCATGTGTCCACCCTCATCTCGTAGACGAACGTACGAAGCCACTGCATGGAGTGTTCGCTCTTGTCGCGCACACCGTAGAACGAATTGATGTTGCAGAGAGGTAGATGCGTGGTAATCTCGAGCGTCGGGGTTGAGCTCTGATTATCAGTCGCGCTCAGTTCGCGTACCTGACGGGCCCATTCGCTTGGCAGGTCGCCCTCGTAACAGTCGGACCCGAGATCATCGTCACTGTCCGACGAGTCATCTCGGAGGTCGTAACGGCGGCTGGACCGGCGACCGGTTGCCCCGCGCGTGCCAGGCGTTGCGTACGAAACCTCGGTCTCCCTAGTCAGACGTTCACTACGGTCCGTAGATCGTGGGGTTACCATGTGCGAGTCTTGCATGTAAGGCGAAGCCTCGCCCTTGACTGCGACGACTTCGTCATCCGTGGCTGCCTTCCGAAGGGTCGCTGGTAGCGGGACCTTGGAGGGGTCAACCGCTCCGGGGGCCGAACGAAGCTTCGTTGAGCCTCGGTCTGCCACCCCAAAGGCCTCACGTAACTTCTTCCTCCACTTGGTAAGAGCCTTGGCGGCGGTGGTTGGCGTCCAGCTCGCGAGTGCAGCCTCCGTCGGGAGAATCTGGGGCTCGCACCCCATTGCACGCAGGAGGTCCACAGTGTTCTGAGCGACCTGCCGAGTGCTCGTTGAGTTGATCGGCGTTGCCAAAGCCCGGATCTGCTTCGGGGAGAACAACTGCATCCACTCACTTTTGGCCTTCATCAGCTCCAGGCATCGGCCTAGAACCTTGTTAGCCACCAAGTATCGCCGTTGAGGGGAGGACGAGTGCCAACCGGCTTGGAGGTTGCCCCTCCTACCGTCACCGAGGCTTTGAAACCCTCGGTCGCACCGTCATCCGCGTCGCAGGCGGGCTCGGGGCCCGGCATGTCGTTGAACGTTTCGGAGAGGTCGCGGGTGATCAACCTCGATCCTCCACTGCGGCCGGCCGACACAACCGCGGCCTTCGAAGTCTCGGACATCACAGTCCTGACATCCCAGTCATCATCTTCGTCATCTTCTTTGGCGTCCGAGGAATCAATCGCCGTGTCGCATCTCGCCGAACGCTCGTCGATCGACTCCATTCGATCCGTCGCTGGGGTCGAGAACGAGCTTCCGGAGCGCACCGAAGCCTCGTTGCGCGTTCCACTCGGCTTGACCGGCGTTGCTGGTACCGCTGACTTGACTCCCTTCGCCATCTTTTCAGTTCTTCTTCGCTTCTCTTCTTCTTCGCTTCTCTTCTTCTTCTCTTCTCCTCTTCTTCTCTTCTTCGTCTCCTCTTTGCTCGTTGGGGTAAGACCTACAACAACCCAGACACACAGAAGGTCGCACCAATCCCGGGTCGCGGCACCAGTTGTGGTGTGGTAATACCACTAAAATTCTCCTCTACCAAAAGGTATTAGAGACACCAACAACACGCTAACCCGCAAAGGTAAGCGCTTATTTGATCAAAACCTGAAGACCAGGAACGATCCCTTACACCGGGTCGGTTGCACGCGCCTCTGTGCACCTTAGGTTGTCTTCGGTCAACCCAAAAACCTGTACCACTAGCCACGAGCTTAGGCTAGGATACTATGTAGCGCTTTCGCGCAACCCCACTGCAGCCCCTCAGAAAGGAAGGATACCGGCGTGTTAGGCCTTATACAGGGGGACCAAGGTAAAACCTCGGTAGGTAGACTAATACACTCAGGGACCCTCTAATCCCACAAATATATACCGAACGATACTCTAATACCGTTCCTGCCTCTCCGGCCACGCCAACTCTTGGCGCTACCAAGGAAACTCTCGGTCAATGCACGATAAGCTCCCCGACAGGCATCCACACGCAGCCGAGCGTGTCCAGGCACTACAATAAGCTAGCTACACTTACCGAAGTCGGACTTGACCCTTGTTGCTTTGGGGGAAGACTGTCTTTTTATTACTGAGTTTCTGAGGCCTTGGGGGCCTCGTTCTGGTCATCCTATGATGAGTCCTATGTCCCTATGCAAATATCTAGTGTAAACGATCGCAATGAGGCGATCCCGGACACATCAAATGACGACCGCGGCTACACTAATAAGTGCGGCCGAAGTACGTAACTAAATGCATCTGTACCAAAAAGTAGGCACCATGAAGCCTCGTTCGGGGTTGTATTAGGACCCGACGTGGCTCCGGCCACTAACCGTCACTCTAACGAGGATAATGTCGTCAGCTTAACCAAAGCAGCCACTTCCATCTCACACTTGACTGTCCTTGATTGTACTTTGATTCTTGGGTGACGGGCAATCCCTCCGGTAATCTCCATTTTCCGATACCACATGACACTGTGTTCGAGTCTGCGATGAAACAGATTGATAAGTGGTGGTACGACTTACGTCAAGGGAAGTTTCCGCTGGTGCAAGCTGATGCAGACTTCGTCGACGATTCGGGCCCCGATCGGGTTGGCGCTAGTGGTGGCGGGGGCAAACGTATTAGCAGTGATAGCCACGGAGGCGGTGGAGGTAGCCCAGGAACGGGGGGTACGAATGCTCGTCCTAGTGCTTCTGGTGGAGAGGATGCAGCTCACGAAAAAGGACCAGATGATGACGAAGACGAACCCCCAACACAAGTGACAGCCTCCGCCCAGGAATCGGTGCAGCCAGGCAAAGGCTCAAAGGTTCGACTGACAAACAAGAGGCGTGTCGGTCGACCACGGTTGAATCGTGCTCAGATGAGAGAGAAGGCAGCATTGGCGCTGAAAGAATACAACAATGGAATGAAACTCAGAGCTCTACTACGCGATAAGGACGTGACGGAAGTGGCAGCAACGCTGGAATTGATTAAGCCAGGTGTCCGCGAGCTCAGCTCGTTTTTGACTACGCATGAAACAAAGAAGAAAGGTGACGGAAAATCAATCCAGTGGATGTCGGACACGGAATATATTTGTGAGGTTGTGCGCTTCCGACTACCGGAGTCCGTCGTTGAAGACGCTCCAGCTAAACTGAGACGTGGTTTGGCAAAAGGGGAGGAGATTGAGCTGGACAGTGATGGAGGGGTGACACGCGAAACGGAAGGTTACGTGGCCGCCATTGAGAAAGTTGGCAGATTTACCCGGGTGCAGTTAGAAGCGATGCAGTCGCTGTGGAATTGGCAGGCTACATGCCGGAATGCGGTACTGTGTTGCACATGGCTAAGCCAAGACGTGAAAGGTATCGTAGCGGACCCCGCCCCCCCCCCCTGGGCTGTTACTTGGCAAAGTACTCGAGTGCTGGCCATACATGGCTTTGGCTTCGACCTGACTTACGCAGACCTTTTCTGCTTCAGAGACTCCGCTTGGCTGAACGACAACGCCCGCAAGGCGTTGTCGTTCAGCCAAGCGGAGTCAAGAGGAGGAACCATCACCGTCACGTTGTTCTTGTAAGTGTCTACTTACAAGAACAACGTGACGGTGATGGTTCCTCCTCTTAAGAAGGGTAAGATGGGGAAGCACATACTCGCACCAACGTCGCTGGACGAGGTTGCTAGTGGTATTGAGGCGCATGCTTTTGTATTTATGCCGGTCAATTTTGGTGGAGTTCATTGGGGATGCATCGTAGTGGACCGTGAAGCGCGGCTAGTGAAGACGTATGACACATGGGTGGGAAGAGAAACAAGAAACGGCTTAAGAAGATGGCAAGCGAGCTCCTTGCAGGTCCCCTTGAGGATGAAGCTTACAGCGACATCGAAGTGACGGAGCCGAAGCAAACAGATAGCGATAGCTGCGGGGTGTTTGCGTACCGTCTATTGTGGACGTGCGTTGAAAGCGAAGTACCAAGTGATGTGTCTCCCAGTGGCGTCACCAAGCTGCGTTGGGCAATGCTGCACAAGATCACCACGATGAAGCGTAGCTAGACAGTGAGCAGCAGCGAGAAGTGCATCTTGTGGAAAATACATGGACAACTTTTGTTTGCAACCTGTAAGAAACCTGTACGAGTAGATGGGTACACAATGATTGTTTTGAAGCCATTATCATGTCGTTTGGTTCCGATCGATACCAATCAACGCCACTTCGACTTTTTTCCGAGTAGTGCACACATGAGTTTTCCAGGTTTTCATACCTGCAAACTACCTGGACACTGAAACAAGAAATGAATGGCTAGAATGCATCCGACACAGCCTGTAGACCGTCATTTTCACTTTTCCTCAAGTACTACGCACATGAGTTTTCCAGGTTTTCAACCTGGACATTAACTGTTCTGGTAATTTAACCATCCTTGTTTAAATTACTTTCATCTGATAACGCTCATAATTCATATACCTGGATATAACCTGGGGCATCACCTGGACAATACCTGCAGAATCAGAAATCTGAGTATTTTTCTAACCTGGGAAACCTGGGCGCGCAGGCTGTCCATTTTAAATCTATCAAGCCCAACGCAGTTTACGGCTTGGCCGGAGAAGAAGATTTGCGTGACTTATCTCGGAAAAAAATGTGAATTACATCTACAGTAGTGCGAACGTTTGTGCCAAGCTGCTAAGTGCGTGAAGGGAAACATGAGAGCTTACCCTGTTACCGACTCTGTGCAGACACAGAGGAGATAGCGGTGGTGCATCGGGTTTACCAACAGCTTCACGCAATAAATTTACTGTTAGATGTTTCCGTCATCCTGTGCAGCAAAAACAAAGAGATCACAAACGCTACCGCGCCAAAGAGGAGGGGTCCTCTAACGTTAGTTTTTAACAAACGCCGCTGCTGGCCACAACGCAGGGCGTTCCGCCCCTGGTCAGCGCACGCAGGCCTCATACCAGCAACCCGGGCCTGTCCGCTTCGATTCGCATAGAGAACGAGGTGCTATCCGCATCCACATCACGCAATAGCTCCACTCGCCACCCACCCACCCACCGTAGCTACACCTTCGAGGACCATGTTGAAGCCCGCCCGCCTAGTGTATCCATTTGTCGAATGTATCACTTCTCGTATCTCCGGGGTTTTGTCCAATCGCGACGCCCCACCTTCTCTTTTCCCAGCCGGTAGGGCGTCAGTCGGCAAAAGTCAACGTAACGGCAAGAGGTCCTCGCGTCCGTCCAGCAGCAGCAGTGGGTAGAGCGATAGCACCGCAAGGCAAGGCAAGCTCCCGTTCGCCCGCCATGTTCGACCCGACCGCGACCGTCAGCGGCAGCCTCGAGGCGCGCCAGCGCGTGGCGCAGCTGCAGCTGCAGGCCGCCACCAAGAACGTCATCGCGGTGGGGCGCGTCGTGCGCAGCTCGTACTGCGACCACTCGGGCTGGGGGCTCAAGCAGGGCAGCATCATCAAGAGCTGGAAGCGCCGCTACTTCGTGCTCAAGGGCCGCGAGCTCATCTACTTCGCCGAGCGCTCCCCGAGCGGCAAGGGCATCGACGAGAAGGGCCGCCTGCGCGTCAGCGGCGTCGAGTTCACGCCCGAGTTCACCAACGCGCTGGTGGTGCGCGGCGAGCTCAAGAACCAGGCGGTCAAGATGCAGGTGGACTCGAACGAGGCGAGCACCGAGTGGTTCCGCAAGATCTCGGAGGCGCTGCAGGCCGCGCGCGACGAGGCCATGGCCGGGGACAACCAGCAGGGGGACGCGGCCAACAGCGTGGCCATGAAGGGCTGGCTTATGAAGGAGGGGCAGAACTTCAAGACGTGGAAGCGCCGCTACATGACGCTCACGGGCAGAACCATCCAGTACCGAGCGCAGCCCAGTGAGAAGCCTCTGGGTGAGACCAGGGTGAACGCGGTGAACATCAACCCGTCGAAACCCTTCGCGCTGGACATTTACTCGGACAACAACCGCATCTTGAAGATCGCGGCCGACTCGTTCGCAGACATTGAGGCGTGGGACCATGCACTGGCGAAGGTGATTGGCAAGAGGCCGTGCTTCGGAGACCCGTACGCGGGTCAGGACGCGCCGTTCTTGGGGGAGACGTTCGAGGAGAGCGTGCTGTGTGAAGGCTGGCTGTACAAGAGAGGACAGCGATCAACGGAGTGGCAGCGCCGATACTTTAGGCTCAAGGGGTACAAGCTGCAGTACCAGGACGGACCGGGCGAGAGTGTGCCCAAGGGAGCGGGAACTGTCGTGGGGCTGAAGCTTGGCGAGACGGGGTCCAATTGTGTGTATGTGCAGCTTGGTTCGGGCCGCGTGCTCTGTGTCAGCGCGGACAGCCAGGCTTCGGTGGACAAGTGGGTGAAAGCGATCTGTGGACTGCTGGATAAGGACCCCAAGACTCTGGAGAAGGAAGTCCCGGCCGCAGTGATCTCCAAGGGGGCGAGCTCAAGTAATCTGCTCACGCGCGCGCTCAGTCGCGCTGGGTCTACCGCGAGTGCACCGCCAGTTCTGCCAACCAGTGGTGTTGCGTCGAGTCTTAGCGGGGCTGGTGGATATTTGGAAGGCTACGATGACACCGTGGAGAGTGACAACAACGCTGGCCTGCTGTTGCGTGAGTCCTCGGGTAGTTTCAGATCATCTTTTGGGGCTGGCAGTAATTCTGCCTCAACGACTCCGCGGGCTTCAATGAGCGGTACGACTCGCAAGTGCGGATGGCTTCGCAAGGAGGGCGCGCGAGTCCGTTCGCTCAAGCGGCGCTACTTCATGGCTGACGGCAACAAGCTCTACTACTTCGAGCAGATCGGCGAGGCTCCGCGTGGCAATGGCATCGTCAAGAGCGCCGTCCCTAACGATACGTATCCGAATTGTATGGATTTCATTCTGACGTCGGGTCGCACATTGCGCGTGGTGGCCGAGTCTCCCGATGAAATCCGTTCGTGGCTTGGGCATTTCAACGAGTGCATTCCTGGAGGTGATAACACTGAGGAACGACGAAGCGCTTTGGAGAGGCTGTCGCTTGGGGCCGGTCCGGAGGATACTGCCTCGAGCGTCGCTGAGACTGGTTCTGGCTGGCTGCTGAAGAAGGGTAAGAACTTCAAGAACTGGAAGCGCCGATTCTTCAAACTGGAGGGCAAGCAGTTCTCTTACTCGAGCGCGCCAGACGCCCCACCTCTCGGACGAGGTGTTGTCGAGCACGTTGCTATCGGAAACGCGCGACCCTTCTGTCTGGACGTGCGATTCCAGAACGGCCGAGTCATGCAGGTGGTCGCGTCCAGCGAGGGTGAAATGGTGGCCTGGAACCGCTTGCTGCAAGCTGCTGTGCTTTCAGCGCCGATCGAGAGCGACATGGAGGAGGACACGCAGTTTGATTTCGATGACGCGGAGGAGGACGCACAGCTGAGCAACATTCACACTGTGGTTACTGCCGCCACGGCTTTCAAGCGCGGGCTGTCGAAGACGTCGTCCACGGTCAGCACCTCGTCGAGTGACGATGGTGGCTCCTTCATCCAGCTCGGTGATGCATCCGATGATGCAGCCAAGATCACGACCAAACGTGCTGAGGCTCTGGTGAAGATGACGAACGAACGAGCGGAGGCGGCGGCGAAGGCTGTGGCTGCAGCAGTCGCAGGAGCAGGCCGTCGGTCGCTGCGCATGGGCACAGCTGAGACAGAGGACCCTGTCGTGTGCAGCGGCTGGCTAAGGAAGGAGGGGGGCACAGTCAAGAACTGGAAGCGGCGCTACTTCACGCTGCACGGCCCCACGCTGTGCTACTTCAAGAGCGATAACGGGGCGCTGCTGCGCAGCTTCACGGTGTGCCACGTCGTGACCTTGCGCACCAAGAAGCTGTGTCTGGAGATCACGACCGAGGTGGGGCGCAAGCTGCTGGTGGCCAGCGAGACGCAGGCGGATCTCGACCGCTGGCTCGACCACCTGCACCGCGCCATTGCCGCCGAGAAGCGCAAGAAACATGGCGGGGACGCTCCGCAGCGGAAGACGGAGACAATGGCGACTGGCATGCCGCTGGCTCTGCCGGCCACTGAAGCATTCGAGCAGGGCAACCTCGCGTACAAAGTGCTCTGACGTAGCGTCGTGAATGAAAAACTTGTGTAAAATTTGCGTGAATCTGCTCCGGTTGATAGGTGTCGTTGCGAGTTGCTCATCGTCACGTGAATCCGGTGCTGCTTCTGGCTCCTGAATCTGGAGGACCTCCAGTGCACCTTGGAGGCAGCCACGTTGCCACTGTTGAGACGAGTAGACCCACGATTGGTGATCAAGCTTCTTCGAACTCGTAGCGTCGGCCCGCGTCATGCATGGCCAGCGCAATGAGTCGTTCATATAGCTCCTTGTGGACAACTGACCAGTGACAAATACTGCTGGACGCAAGCGAAATTCCCGAGTGGCTTCTCCCCGGAAGGGATCATGGTACATACACGGGGGCTTCCTAGATGTTACGCAACAGTGGCCGGAGTGCTGGAGCGTTGCCAGCGTGGGCGCTGGCGTGGGCAAACACGCAGCTGAGGACGATCCACGCTGTGTGCGCCGCGGATCGGCAACTCACTCGAGGAATGTTGGTCCTTTAGCTAGCTGAGCTCCGGATCCGCTCTTGCCTGAAGCCTTTGCGTAGCCAAATATTTTTATCAGGATATCGATTGTCAACAGCTCGAAACAAGTCTACCTCCACAATCATAAATTCGGTACAGCAAGGGTATTAGATACCAGGCCACTTGATTAGGATACGGGTCAGAGCCAATCACATCCATGGACATCATCACGGCGATATGTAATCAGGAATGCGAGATGCGCTTTGCCCGGACTTGACTCCTTGCGACCGCAGTCCGGAATCCTCCGCGCAGGACGCAGCCAGCCAGTCAACCACTCAACCGGCCGCCATGGAGATCCCGCGCATCGTGCACGACGAGCTGCTGCACCAAGTGGACGCCCCGCAGGAGGAGCACCTGCTCGCGGTGCGGCGCGCGAGCGTGAATCCTCGTCCCAGCGGTCCGTCGGACGCTGTGGGCGAGCACACGCCGCTGCTGTCGGCCGACAAGGTGGACGCGATCCTGGACGAGGAGGAGAAGGCGGCGGCTGTGGCCGACAGCCAACTCACGACCTGGGACATCGCGCGCGTCGAGACCAAGCGGCTGCTGGCCGTGGCCTTCCCCATGATGATCGCCGTGATGCTCGAGATGTTCCCCGACTTGGCGCTGAGCATGATGATGGGCCACACGGACGTGGCGCACAGCACGCAGATCCTGGCCGCCTACCAGTTGTCCAGCCTCGTGCAGATGATGATCATCGGCGGCCTCATCATGGGTCTCTCGTCCGCCATCGACACCATGTGCTCGCACGCCTTCGGCGCCAAGAGGATGACGGAGCTCTGGCGGATCACGCAGGCGGCCACCGTCGTGTACTTGATGTGTCTGCCCTTCATCGCCGTGGTGCTCAGCAGTGGCAAGCCCATGCTGGTGGCCATGGGCCAAGACCCGGACATCGCCGACGTGGCGGGGCGTCTGCTGCTGGTCAGTATGCTGCTCGTGCCGTTCTGCATCATGTACGCGGTGGTGAAGAGCGCACTGCAGGCGCAGAATATCGTGGTCCCGTTCGTGCTGGCGTCGTTGGCGAGCTTTATTCTGAGCTCCGTTGCCGCCTACGTATTGGCGTTCCACACGTCGCTCGGGTACATTGGCGTCGCGCTGGGCAGTCCCATTGGCTGGATGTTGAAGGTAGTCATGGTGCTTCCGGTGGTGCTGCGCAACCGCGTCTTTGTCGAGTCATGGCCGGGATGGGACTGGAGCGAGGCGTGGGCGCGCGTCCCCAGCATCGGACGCCTCGGTGTGTCGAGCGTGCTCATGATGACGTTCCAGATGGTGGGCTTCTCCTTCATCTCGCTGCTGGCCGGGATGCTGCCGAACGCCGACGTCTTGATTGCAGCGAACGGCATTTTTATATCAGTCATTAGCCTTGCGTTCATGCCGCTCCTTGGTATCTGCATCGCGGGCGCCATCCGCATGGGCAACGCTCTGGGTGCTGGTCAAGCTCGTCGCGCGCGTCTCATTAGCCTCATCGTGATGAGCGCGTCGCTATCCGTCTCGGGAGTTGCAGCTGGAATTGTTGCCTACATCGCGGCTCCGTACGCTCGTGCGTTTACCCCCAATGCCGAGGCCACAAGCGTCGCCACGGATCTCATCAAGGAGCTGTTGCCGCTGCTGCCGCTTTTGGGCTTCGCCTTCGGGATGCAGTCGGTGTTTCGAGCTTGTGGGAAGCAGTTGCTCTGCGCGCAGCTGAATTTCGTGTGCTTGTTTGTGCTGGGGGTGCCGCTCGGTTTGGTGTTCGCAATCCAGTTTGACGCGGGCATTGCGGGACTCTGGGCTGGGAATATGGCGGGGACCATCATCTTTGCCGTCGCTGGTGTCTGCTGGTTGCGCTCCACGAGTTGGGAGAAAATGGCCCATGACGCCAAGCACGGTGCTCGTCCGGCTGAATTTGAGGACGGCGCCGACGTCGCTGTGGCGGCGTGAAGAGATGACGTCTACCCATCGGTCATTTCATGTATCTGAAGTACTTCATATCAATACTCGAATTATAAAGTGTCCAAGTGAACTGGTTGATCTTTTTCCTAGCCATCCGACTACGAGCTGATGCTGCCATGAAGTGCTACGGAGAACGCATTGCTCGACTACCGTTAGCTTCATGGTGAAGCGTTCTTCGACAAGCTAAATAACTTTTCAAACGTCATAGCCGACTATGTGTATGATCAAGTTGTCAGTGTCAGGAACACCGCCGCGACCATTGCGGTGGAACTTGTGGTGTAGTATCTGTCTGTGTCATCCAGCAAAGATTTTCCCAAAAGTGAAAGCTATCCTTCATATTTCGACCAGAAAATCTAGGCATTACATGTAGGGGGGGTTCATAGTTCTTTCATTTCGTAGTTCACGTTGCTCGATTCCACTCTACAGTAGATAAAAATTGTCACTTGCTTCACATTCGTGGTGCTACAGTTCACTTAGAACTTGTAGATGGCCGAAGCTCATCGGCAGAAGGCTCGTGCATTGGTTCTATCGAGTAAGAGACGTCCCGAGTAGCCATTGGAGACGGCAGGTGGCAGCCTTCGCTCCCGAGCTCATCGCTGCTTGGAGCCCCGCATGTAGTCCGCTCCACTGCCTGGTACGCCAGCATCGCCCAGTCCGCTCGGAATGCCAACCAGTACGTGCTGAAGAGCCCAGATGCGATGAAGCCAGCATTCAGCCCGAGCCAAAGTCCCAGCAGTCCCATATCAAGTGGGAAAGCCAAGAGCAACCCCAACGGTACAGCCAGCAGGATGTAGCAGACAAAGTTCACCTTCGCACCGAGCGACTGTAGCCCACATCCGCGGAAAATGCCTTGAGAAACCGACGAGATAGCGGCGAAGACTTGCAGCGGACTGGTCACGAGCAGCAGCTTCGACGTAATCGACACCACGCGCTCGTCACTTGTGAAGGCGAAGGGGAGCACGCCATGCAGCAGCAGCATCGCCACCGAGGCGACGAGGGCGCACACCGAGCTTAAGCCCAACGCCAGCTTCGCCGTGTGCCACGCACGTGCTGGGTCGTTAGCCCCCAGGGCGTTCCCGACCCGAACAGAACCCGCGAGCGAGATAGCTGCGTACCAGAGCGCACCAAGCCAGCGGAGATTGCCGTAGCTCGAGTCCGCGCTCACTACGGCGGCGGCATGAGGCAGCATCCCGGACGAGAGCCCCACTGCTGCGAACCCCCAGACTTCACACACGAACATGGCCATCCCGGAGACACCCAGACGCAGAAATTCGGGCATGAGCCGTACCGCCTCCGAGAAATGCCACCCCGGCCACTCACGCTGGTAGAGCCCACTGCGGTACAAGTACGTCGCCAACACAATGGCGTAGCAGGCCATGGTCGCTGAGATGGCTAGAGCTGAGCCGGTGAACCCCAGCGGCGTCCGGAACATGAACACGTACAGCAGCGTGGCCTGCACGACACTAGCCATGAGCCCGACACCGACAAGGGGCTCCACGCGACTCTGGCCCTGCAGTATCTTGCACATCAAGGCGTTCACTGCCGTGAAGGGCACCCCGGGCAGCGCCAGCAGCACCAAGCTGTGCACCAGCTGCGCCAGCTCACGCCTCTGACCGGCCAACTCGAGCAGCTCGACGCAGTAGAAGCTGGCGATGGCGACGGGTGGGAAGCCGATGCAGAAGACGAGCAGGCCGGTCTGGAAGAAGAGCCCCAGCTCGCGGAGCTGGCCGGCGCCGTAGGCCTGCGCGCAGAGCGTGTCCATGGCGGCGCTCATGGCGGCGATCAGCGTCGTGCTGGTGACCATGTTAAAGATGAGCGCCAGGCTGCGCGCCGCCATGAACTCGCTGCTGTGCGCGGCGCTGAGGTGGCCCGTGAGCACGCCGCTGAGGAAGTTGGGCGCGAAGTCCACGATGGCGAAGAGCAGCATCTGGAAGGCGAGACGCAGCAGCGCCTGGCACTCGCTGTTGTGGCGTCTGGAGGACGCGGGCTTGACGCACCCCGTGAGCGACGCCTCCTCGTTCTCGACGCCGCCGCTGGGCGCCACCGTCGCATCGAAGAGCAGCAGCGGCGTGCGCTCGGTCGCGACTGCAGCTCGGGGCTTGTGCGGCTCGGACGGCGTCGAGAGCTGCGCGATCTTCCTGTACAGTCCGTCCCAGAGCGCCTTGGTCGACTCGGCCGTCATGGAGAGCCGCGCGGAGGCGGCTGCGACCGCGTTGGCGGCGCTGGAGACGCGAGGAGGCACGCTGCGCATGGCGGCGACGCTGCTTGGTTCAAGAAGCTGCTGGGTGAGGCCTGGAGAGCAGAATAGGGAGTGAGCTGCGCTCTCGGGGTGCCGCACCGCTGGCCGCGTCCGCGCAGAGAGATTCGGTGACGATGGTTCTCTGCGGCCCTTCAAGATCGCGCATAGCGCCGCGTCATCTGATCCAGATGGACACTCATCACCGCCGCCGCCGGCGAACGAATGGCTGGCGAGGTGTTTAACGCGACTGGCGACAGATACACGCAGTTGGTTAGCTATGGTAAAGAAAAGAGGAAGGTGGCAATTACTTCTCGTACCTCCCCACTCACTCGTGCCGCTTCGGAATAACGACAGCGGGCGTCGGAAACCCAAGTCCAGAAGACGCTACAGCCACCGCTACCCCCGAGTCGATGAGGAATTCGATAATCAAAGTCATTGAAGGGATCCATTCGGAAATTCGAATAGATCAAGAGAGTACTGTAGTAAATGACCCTGCTCAAGTACGGTCTTGGTTTTTCCCTTTCATTTGTTGCTCACGTTGCAGACAACCATGCGGACAGGATGAGAGTGCAACCCGCACATTTCATTGGCTAACCACTTCAACATTTGCTCTGCAAATGTTGAAGTTTGCATCATTTCTCTGCCGCCCAGTATTGTTTGCCAAACCTGGGGGGCAGACAAACTTTGAACTAGCGCTGCAAATTAGGACATAACCACAGGGTCAAGAAAGTTTCTCCCGAGGCGGCGGTGGATAAGTGGATAAGTATTGAGCCACTAGTTTCCCTGACGTCATTAAATTTGCGTCGAGTTCGCGAGGCCTCAAAGCATTGCATTTTACACCGCAAATAGAGATGGAGCCTGGTCATCTGTGTGCGGTGGGCTTTCACTGAAAGGCTTTCAGCCAGTAGTGCCTACACTGGATAGTATTCAACTCAATTTTCCTTGAGCACCGTGCTGTTAGCCACAATGCTTTTGCTGTGCGATCCAGCAAAATGCAGAAGATCGCAACTTAGGATCAAGATGGAGTGGTGGCCAATGCGTGTTTAGAGCGCATTTCATACTTTCCGGTCCAGATTCGAGTTGGGTGCTGCAGTGGCCATTCCTGCCATGTTGTTCTAGAATCGAGCGCTTTGGTGTAAGGTAGGCGCGTTTACTTTTCTGTAGCAATATAATCGGCGTGTACATCGCACTTCAACTTTACTGTTTGCAAATCTGCACCACCGGAACGCAGCACAAGTCCCAGCGTCTAAACATAGGCTCTTCTTTTAGCTCGCTAGAACGAAGCAGGCCGCCAAGTACTGCATTCAATGAAATGAAGTTCATTGAGCCGAATGTCTCCTGTAACTAAAAGACAGACATCAATTCCGCGAAGTCAACGTATCGTGGGCCAAGTTCCGTGCCGGCACAGTGGAAAGCTATTGGTGTTTGCGTGGTCAACGAAATCAGTAGCCGCTGACCACGACGTAAGTACAGAGCTCGCACGCGTTGTAGAATGATGTGGGGCCGGCACCACTTTTCAAGCTGCACTTCTAAGAGCTGGTGGCGACCTGCACCCCGTGGTGCCGTCTACACCACACCACATCATGATGAGTGACTTACGCCGGCAGCACTTCCCTTTCGCCACCGCGTCTACCTCGCCGAGGTCTCCATCAGCGAACGCAGTATCCAGGAGGAGGAGGTACCGGAAGTCTCTTGCGACGGCAGGCGGCTCGTGATTGCCTGGCACGCGCCTGCGCGTGTCGGGGGCTTGCAGTTGGGGTTTCCCAATCGGGGCGGCACCCGCGCTCGCCTCAACCGTTCGTCTCCAGCTCCTGACAGATATCTGCGCTACTGCGGCTTATTCGGCGCGTGCACAGCGGACTCTTCCGGACTCGAGCAGGCGTCTGTCAGCCCACGTAGTTGAGTCATAATCTCCTTGCGACTGCCATGCCGGGGCATTGCTCTGCAGTTGAGCATCGCCCCAGCGGAGCCTCTGATCGTCATTCTCGCCCCGCTTCGTCAACAGCTGCGAATCTTGGAGTTTGTATGCTCAAGCAGCCCCGGTCTCTGGTTTAACACGCGTCTTGAGCTTCTCCAGACCCCTCTTATCGCAATGTCAGCCCAACACGCGCCGCGCTTCAGCAAATCCGTGCCGCACAATCTCTGTTATCTGATACCCAGCCTCTCTTTAACTTCATCACCGTACATCTCCGATACTATGCGTTTCCACAATGCCCACCGCCGATTGGCCGAAAGCGCGCTGCTTCATTTTATCCAACAATCGCCACTGTGGGGTGCACCACGCAAGCAATCGCCAATTATCCCTGGGGCCTGGGTGTGTGTGTGGCCTGTAAAGAAAGGGAGACCCGCAATCGCGAACCGCGCTCCGACTCGACAAGCAGCAGCGGTGGCAGCAGCAACTCAAGCACCTGAGCCGACCCATTCGACACAGACTCAAACCGATACAGACAATGGCCGCGCTGGACGAGGACTGGGAGGAGTGGTCGCCCGAGAAGGGCTCGTTCGTGCACCACATGCTGGCGGGCTCGGCCGCGGGCGTGGCGGAGCACGTGTCCATCTTCCCCATCGACACGGTCAAGACGCACATGCAGTGCCAGCGCTGCCCCGTGAACGGCAAGCCGCTGACGCTGTCGGCCACGCAGACGGCGCGCAAGCTCGTGGCGGAGGAGGGCCCGCTGCGGCTCTTCCGGGGCGTCAGCACCATGCTGGGCGCCAGTCTGCCGGCCCACGCCGTGTACTTCTCGGTGTTCGAGGCCGCCAAGAAGGCGCTGGGCGCCGACACGCAGACGCTCACGCCCATGGCCTCGGGCACGGCCGGCGTCATCGCCACCGTGTGCCACGACCTCATCATGACGCCCATGGACGTACGTGCGTGCGGCTCGCAATCGCTCCAGCTTTAGTTATACGGCATTGTGACGGGCGCACTGACACGGATACGGGGGGTTATTTATTGGTTGGTTGCAGGTGGTCAAGCAGCGTCTTCAGTTAGGATACTACAATGGCGTGGGCGACTGCTTTAAGACGGTGGTGATTATATTGCTGGGCCCCCGCGTCTCCGCCACTGGACCCGAGTTACTGGGGTTACTCACAGGGAATATGTGTGTGTGATTCGATGGATGATTGCAGGTTATGAAGCACGAAGGCTTGCGCGCGCTGTATATTAGCTTCCCCACCACGCTCCTGATGAACCTGCCGTACAGGTACGACGCTTCCGATGCTGCTATCGGTGGATTATACTGCGCATCGCACTGACGGCGTGCATTATTCGGTGACTGCCAACTTTCAGTATGATTATGGTGTCGGCGAACGAGACCTTCAAGAAGATTTTGAACCCGTCTGGAGAGATGAACGTCTCGGCTTACATCGCGTCTGGTGCTGCCGCCGGAGCTCTGGTGCGTGGTGTTGAGCGCTGAAGAGATTGCAGGTGTCATCACGCGTGGAGTCCTAACTTGATGCGCTTGACCTTCTTTGTCGGATGATAGGCTGGCGCGCTGACGAACCCGCTGGATGTGGCCAAGACCCGGTTGCAGACTCAGTCGATGATGGTCACGGAAGAAGCTTCGGTAGGAATCCGCGTTCCCTCTCGCTCGAAATCGGCTTCGATGTCGCCTCGCTTCTCGAAACCAGAGCTTCAGGTTCTTGTGCATGCCGCTCAGGGCCTTCTTTTGCTTACACTGCTCCTGTGTTTGCTGTCTTATTCACAGTGTCCATCTCGTACCCGTTGTGCGCAGCTCCAGACGCGTGGCGTTTCCATCACGGTGCCCCCATCCTGCTCGATTAACGGCCGCCCTGGAGTACGTTTGACTTGCTTGGTTAGTGCTGGAGATTGATACGCCTAGGATGCTAATTGTGAATTGATCACCCTTGAGCAGGTTGAGCGGGCAGAACCGGTTCTGCGTCGGCAGTATGCTGGCCTGATGGACGCGCTGATTCAGATTAAGGCGCAGGAGGGCTTCGCGGGCTTCTTCCGGGGCGTATATCCGCGTCTGCTGGTGCACGCGCCTTCCGTGGCAGTGTCGTGGACAACTTTTGAAGTATTAAAGAAGACCCTGGACCAGATGGGCGCCGACGACGACTAGTACCCGAGGCGAACCATCTACTGTCAAAACACGAGGTTTATATCCAGAACTGCATCGAGGAGGGACGCGCAGAAGCCCGACGACAGGGAGGCATACAAGAAGAACGACACGCATCTTGCTACTGTAGCCGCTGGGCATTTGACCAAAAAGGAAAATATATAGAGTTACTACAACGCGTAGAGTCTATTCTTGCAGGAGACATGTCAGAACGCAGCGCTGGCGCACCCACCGAAGACTGAAACGTCTCCATTAACACTCCTGCGAGTTGGTACGTGAAGGTAAAGCTCGTGCTAGCAATATCCCCCGACGCTGTTGTTTGCTGGCCCGTGTGTTTTGTTCGGACCAGCCAAGGATGGTGGAGTGCTCTCCAGGCCCGGAAGGCGGCGTAGCACCTGACTCAAGTGGCAATTCCGTGGAGACGGCTCCAGGTTCTCAAATGCTGGGGACTGGGGGTCAGTCTGACGCAGCGCATGCACCAGTAGTCAGCTCGCGCGTTATCCCCTTCCTTCGGTCGAGTTCTGAGGGTAACATCGGAGTCTCGGTCTCGCCGTTCCCGACCCCAGCCAAAGTCCACCCAGGACGCGTACGCGGTGCTGAAGAGAAGCGGAAGTTTGTGTTTGGTGGCAGCATTGCGATCCAGGAGGAGCGTGGCGATCGCAAGCCGCCAGCAGACGACAGCGACACATTCTTGAGTGCGTCGATGCAGTTGATGAACTTGAATGGCGAGGCTCGCCAGCGTGTGCGTCAGTTGTGGACTTCGGTGCAGCGCTTAGGAAGAGAGAACCAAATCACCGAGACGGGCATGGATGTGCTGTATGTGGAGCTGAGCAATATCCTCAAGAGCATCAGCGCGGAAAAGCTCGAGACTGCCAAGCCACTCAAAAGCGGGTCGTTGGTGCTGCTAGCTTCATCTCCAGCGAACGATCCAAGTACCATCAACAGTGGAGCCGCAGTGAAAGCTCTCTTCGGATCGAGACCAACCGCTCAATTGATGCAGTGCACTCTGTCTGAAGACCAGAGCAAGCTCGAAATGACACCCGTCCGACAAGAAGCTGCTCCTACGAACCGCAGTGGCAGCAACCTGCCGAATGTACAAACCTCGACGTCAAGCAGGTTTGGGCTGCCGTCCACGGCGTCATTGATGGGGATGATCTCTGAAGCCTTTCAAGAGGAGCCAACCACTCGGGTTATCAGACTGCAAGGTTGTCAGGTCCGAAGACTTGTCCCGAAACCCCCAAGCAGCGATGTCGCCGTGGATGACAATGGAGTGGCGATGAAAGCGAAGATATACCATCGTTTTCAACTACTAGTCCCTTACAAGACGCAGATGAGCGCTCCAACGGACGGAGTTCGAGCGGATGTCCTATTCCCCACCAGAGCTCCTGTGCCGTACGAATCGTTCATCTTTGAAGTTCCGGTACAAACTTCAGGCGATGGAGGAGCAGAAGCAGATCTCGACGCACAAGCGGAAGTTGACGATTGGGTCTGGGCGCTGGATCGAGTGTGCAGATTCCAGCTTCATCGCCTCGAACACGCGTTGCGAGAGGCTCCAAGCCTGGGTAAGTGGCCGTACGGCTTCTCTTCACCCGTTCAGCTGCCCTAACATCGTATTTTTTTGTTTTGCCCCCAGAACGCTACCGAGAAACCCTGCAACGCCATTTTCCCGTCTGCGTCTCGCTCAGCTGGCTCCGCAATCGAGTGGACCAGCCGACCCTGCAGCGTCGTGCCAGTGTCAACCTGAGCATGATTCAGATCGTGAAAGATCTAGGTCGGGACAAGGTGCTCTTGGACGACCAGTTGTTCAGCGCTAGTGCTGGGAACCCGTACGAATGCGACGACATGGAATCGGACAGCGTCTCGGAAGTAGTCAAGTACATGGTCAAGAAGGTCTTGCAGTTCGAGCAAGACGTGGCTTCACAAAGCAAGGACCCTGGGAAGCCTGGGGTGCCAACAACGCCATCGCACCAACCTTCCTCTCCTGCTCATCGCTTCGCTAAGAACTCTGAGGCTCGAGCACTTGCGTTCGTCGAGCGCGTGCTGCAAGGAAGTTCTCGGACTCAAAGCGGTGGCGACATCTACGACGCCATCAGCTTCTTCTGCCAGCAAGAGCACGTCTCCATTTGCCCCGTTTCGCAAGATGCACGCCCCGTGCAGATGCGGCTTATCACCGATGCCACCAAAGGCATTTTCCAAGTGGAAGTGCAGGTCTGCATGCAGTTCAAAGTGATCGAGCTAACTCCGAGGTCCCCAGCGCCAGCTCCACCGGTTGAAGATGGAGAAGCCTCCTTTGATCCAGATTCAGCGATGCCAAACTCCCCGCGCGATAGTATGCGCGAGTGGGCGGTGCTCGAGGGAACGCTGTCGCGCGAATTCACATTGGGGAAGCTCGCCGCGCCTGGCACCGTCACCATCAACTACATCTCATCCAATGACAACTGAATGCATAAACGGAAGAAAAATATGGCAGTGCCGGATGCACGATAATGTTAAGGGGATAATTGGGCTGAGCTAGCGTTGACGTACCATTTGTTCATCTACAGAAGCTGCGGCACGAGGCTAGTTCGGCCATCCAAAAATTGGGGCTTGACGTTCTCTTCTTCAGTCGGGCCTGACCCAACGCTAGCTCGGCACAGTGGGCAAGAGCGTTCATGGTCAAACCACTCAGTCACACACTCCTCACAGAACATGTGCGAGCACGCGAGCTTCACAGGCTGCCGCATAGTTTCGTAGCAGATCGAGCAGTCCGGGGACCCGGCCTCCACCAGCTCATCGTGCGTGACATACACCCCGAACTCAAGTCCCAGCGTTACGAAGGAGCGCGTCAAAATGAAGATACGCCGGCCTTGAGTTGCAAGTATTAAACCCTACTCACACATCCATCGTTAGAATTGGCATCACGCAAATGAAGGTGATCGCACATGCGTACCTTGATAAAGAGGTAGGCAAATGTGAACACATCAGCCATGAACTTGGAGGCACAGAGCTGGTAAAAACTGCACCATGGGATGCTTGCAAGCAGTGACCGCACGAAAATGGAGCACATTTCAATGATCCCGTAGAGTTTACGCTGAGACAACAAAACGCCAATTACAGTTAGAGAGTGATAACTGAAGTGGGCAAGCAAACCACTCTGCGTACCTTTCTTCGGTAGAAGGCCACCGTCGACACTGCTTGCTGGGTAAGCGGGGTGATAGTCGTGTTGTCATCCTCTTCGCCTGCAATCACTGTGGTCGGTGACTGGTCCCCGGTAGTTGTCGCTTCATCCTGATGCTTTCTTCGGCATTGAAATCGGTCCGACTTGGCACCAGCTACGAACGCTTTCACCACTATACTCCAAAGCCGCACCAGAAAATCTGTACGCAGCATAAAACCAAATAACTGAGCACAAGCTAGTCATACATGCGTCGCTGAGCGTCAACACGTACCGTTGACGAGCACTGTCCAGAGCACCTGCCAGAAGATCCCGCCGGATAAACCATCATCACCGTCGCTGCTGTGGGTTGACCTCGACTGGAGCATTTGAGAAAAGTGATGCAGCGGGTTCGGTGGGCCATCCACGGAGCATATCGCAATCATATCGATCGCGCACATCGCGACGATCCCTAGAAGATGCCAATTACTCGCTTTGTCCTTCAGCGCAACTTGCTCCCGCATCCGTTGATCAAGCCCCATGACCGCAACGGTGCCCACAACGAACACCAATATCCCTGTGGCATGCTGGTAGGCGAAGTACACCAGGAACAGCGCCACAAAAGGAAGAGAATTGTGGCATCTCCGGAACAGCGCCTGCAGCTCGTCCATCGCCGTCTGATCCTCGCTGTCATCCACTGAGTTGCGTCTTCCACGACCACCACTACCGACACGCACAGTGGGCCGCGTCGCAGAAGCACCCTCTGCATTCCCTGTACCTTGGGGCCTTGGTCCGCCGCTGTCGCTGCGTTCAAGCTCCCCGCTCGCCGACATGGAATACATGGAGGACACGGAGCTTCCTCGTCGTCGACTCCTGGGCGGCGATCCCTGTCTCTCTTCACCTGCAGAAGGCTGAGTAGGCAGCAGCCTCCCAGTCTCGCCCTCTTCCCCAGTGTTCTCCTCCGACGCCGTCGAGTCCTGCCTCCCAGCGGCTGCGAAGTTCCTCCAGGACGGCGTCTGGTTGTTGAAATCCTGCAGAAACTGACCAATCGCTAGCTGGGGAAGCGCCTGAAGTAGCCTCGAGCTCACGGCGTCCCCACTGACGGGAGTGCTCAACGCAGCGGCCAGCAGCCGCTGACGCAGCAGCTCCGCGTCCTCCGGGACGTGCTCCGGGTCGAACGACGCGCTGTTGCTGCGCCCCACGAAGCCCCGAAGCGCTGGGTCGTACGGCGTGCGACTCTCCATCTCCGTGTCGGACGTAGAGCGCTGTGCCACGCCGTGGGGCCTCGGCAGCGCGTCGTAGAGCGCGGAAGGGGGCTGTGGAACGTTAACGTCCGGGCGATTGTCACGCGGAGCTGAGGGCGCTTGAGACGATTCAACCGACACGGAGGCCATCGCCGGCGTCCGGACTACCGTAGTCTCTGTTACGGCGCTGCGCTCGCCTCTGTGGAGGCCGCTATCACTGCCCGAGTCCGCGTCGCCGTCCTGCGCCATGTTGAGAAGAATCAATCTAAATGCGGAACTGGGACGGACGAGCAACGGGTACACTACGTCAAGACGGCACTAAACCAAGGGAAAGACAACGATTGGCGGAAATTCCTTCATATGATAACCGGGCTTCATACAGTCGCTGGATCACCTCGACGCTGTCCGCGCGCCGTGTGTGAGCGCCACCCGGACGTATCCGCGCTGAACCATGTGCTACAGCTCGTAGATAGCTTTCTGTTCCCGTCTGCGCGGCTGACGCTGCCCCGCTGCGTGCAGCTCGACAGTCCTCGCCTCTTTCTGCGGGTGCTGGCGGCGCTGGACAAGGACGAAAGCCGCTGCAAGTTCGAGAAGCGGCAGCAGATGCGACTGGCGATGCAGGCGGCCGCCAAGCGCGGCCAGCTCTGGATGGTGCAGCAGCTGTACCAGCGGCACCCGGCGGCGCTGACCGGCCCAACGGCTCAGGCTGCGGGCGCCAGCGGCCACCTGCCCTTGATCCAGTGGGTGCACGAGACTAAGCGGTGCCTCATGAACGTGGACTACTACGCTGCAGTGTACAAGGCCTTTGAGGCGTCAGCTTCACGTGGCGACCTGCAGACGGTGCAGTGGCTGGTGAGGACGTACGAGAGAGTTGTGTTCGACCTCAGCATTCCAGCTAAGGCAGGGCACTTGGAAGTGACCAAGTGGGTCTGGGAGCAGGGCAGATACCGTTGTCAGAGCGGCGTTGCGGATGAAGTTGCCAAGAGGGGGGACTTGGAGATGATGAAGTTCTTGGTGGAGCACTCTATCGTGAACGAATACAGCTCCGCGCCCGATCTGGCTGCTGGGTTTGGGCACCTTGATCTGGTGAAATGGCTCGCTGAGAACGAGAAGCATCGTTGGAAGTTTACTTGGAATGCGATAAGTTGGGCCGCGGCGAATGGGTTTATTGAGGTGGTGGTTTGGCTGCATAAGAACGGATGGGCGGACAATGCTATCGATGTGGACAGTGTAGCGGAAAATGGACACCTTGATGTGCTCGAGTGGCTGTATGAGCACCAATGCTGGACATACGCTGTGCATGCGATGGATTTCGCTGCGATGAACGGGCATATGGAAGTCGTGCAGTGGCTGCACGAAAACGCCGTTAGTACGCCCACGCCGCTGGGGTTTGACTTGGCAGCAGAAGGAAACCACTTGGATGTGGTACAATGGCTGCACGAAAACCGGTATGGCGGGACGACGCAGGCAATGGACCTGGCCGCTAAAAGAGGTCACCTTGAGATGGTAAAGTGGCTTCATTCCAACCGCGATGAAGGGTGCACGGATCTGGCGATGGATCAAGCGGCAGCAAATGGACATCTGGATGTAGTTGCCTTTTTGCACAAGAACCGTACTGAAAGCTGCACCAAATTCGCCTTGAGTACTGCTGCCGGCAACGAAGACCTGAAGATGGTGCTGTGGCTACTTGATCACAAGCCTGTCACTTTCAACGCTGACGACATCGCAGAGGCGCTGGAGTTGGCTGCAAGGAGCGGCTCCCTGGATGTGATTAAATGTCTGCACATTTCCTGCTCAGATGCCTGCGGTTCTTACCCAGTAGCTGCTGCGGCAGCCAGTGGACGCTTGGAAATTGTCGAGTGGTTCCGCGAAAACTGCAGCCAGAAGTTTTCCTCCGAAGTGGTGTCTAGCGCGGCTAAAAGCTGTCAGGTGGAAGTGATGAGGTGGCTATACAGCCATTGCACACTGACGTGCCCGAGGCTTGCGATGATGAACGCTTTTGCTACCGGCAACTTCGACATGTTCCAGTTCCTGGATAGAACTGCGCAAACAGACTGCAATTTCGTCGTGGCTGCGAGAACTGTTGCAGCGAGAAACCACCAAACGGAAGTCATGCAGTGGTTGACCGAAAACTACTCCGAGGTGCGATAGCACGTCTGCATCACGACTCCAGGAAGACGCAGCAGACAACCACTTCTGCTTGGCGTGGCTGCTTCTCCGAGACGAAGGTTAAGTGCCGTTACGTGCCTCCAGTTTTCAATGCCAAACTCTTGTACATGCCAGCGTTTACACTTTACAGCTCCTTCACCTCCACCCGCCCAGACGATTTCGTCCGCACGAAGCCGACAAACTCGTCGATCTTGTGCACTGGGACACTGACCGTGAAGTTTGCGTCCCCCGCGTAGTCCTGCGTCACGAGTTCTGCTCCGAAGTGTTCGCACGCGCGCTTGACGACGTCAACGAACGAGAAGGCTGTCCGCACGTGCAGCAGTTGGGTCGGCACCTTGTCCACGATCTCGGCCTGCTCGATCACCTCCTGCGCCGCCGCTCCGTAGGCTCGGATGAGGCCTCCAGGCCCGAGCTTCACGCCGCCGAAGATCCTCGTGACCACCACGCACACGTCCACCAGCTGCGCTCGCTGCAGTGAAGCCAGGATGGGTCTCCCGGCGGTGCCGTGCGGCTCTCCGTCGTCCGAGCACAGCTCGCGACCGTCCATGGTCGTGTAGGCGTAGCAGTGGTGGTGGGCGGCCGGGAACTTGTCGCGCTGCGTCTCGACGTACTGCATCACGAGCTCCGAGGCCGCGTCGCCGCCGCCCGAGAGCGGCCATGCCGCCGAGATGAAGCGCGAGCCCTTGCGCTTGGCGATCTCGTGCTGCACGGCGCGGCGGATGGTCTTGCGCGCGGCCATCAGTGAATGATGACTGGGCAACTTTGGTGTATTGAACATCAACTTGAGTCATCAAAACGATGTCACAGCGCTGGGCTCATTTCCGCAATAGCGATGGCATCGCGAACGCCCGACGCGGCCGTGGAGCGTCTGCTGCAGTACATCCGCATCCCGACCGTCAGTGGGGACGGGCCCAGCGGGTCTTACAATGAGGTGAGGAGAAGAGGCGAGTGGCGGCAATGAGTCAGTGCTCAGATGTGTGTGGTGTATAGTGCGCAGAGTGGCTCACGGGATACTTGGACGAAGGTACCGAGCTGCAAGACTCGTGAAAGGAAGACGAAGGTGCAGTCGGTATATGGACTGATACGTGTGTGCACAGTTGGACTTGCGGCGCAGGTCTTCTCTCCTTCGGACAACAAGCCTATCGTAGTGGTGAGTGGGGTTGCCAGAGATTGAGACCGTCGAGAGTCGCCGGATGAACTGATAGTTGTTTTCCCTAGGCTACGTGGCAAGGCAAGGACCCATCTCTTCCATCAATTCTGCTCAACTCGCACTATGACGTGGTGCCCGTTGTCCGTGAGCACTGGGAGCGCGACCCTTTCAATGTTCGTGGACTTTAGTTTTGTTGCGTTGGATGCTGGTCGCAGTAGTGCTGACTTAGTGTTGTTGGTGGTGCAGCCGAAGGTTCTTGAGGATGGATTCATTTACGGGCGCGGAACGCAGGACATGAAGAGTGTCGGTGTGCAGTATGTGGAGGCTGTCTGTCGTCTGAAGACAGCGGGGTTCGTGCCGAGCAGAAACATCCACCTCCTGTTCGTGCCCGATGAGGAAATCGGGGGCGTCGATGGCATGGAAGCGTTTCTGGCGAGTGAGCAGTACAAGTCCATCCAGCCCGTGGCGTTTGCTTTCGACGAGGGGCTTGCCAATCCCAACGATGCGTTTACGGTGTTCTACGGCGAGCGGGTACCCTGGTGGTTCTACGTGAAAGCTACGGGGCCTACGGGGCACGGAAGTCGGTTCATTAAGGACACGGCAACCTCCAAGATTATCAATGTCTGCAATAAGGTTGGTAACTTTTCTGGGTCATCTTCGCCCATTTAGCGAGGCCAAGAGCATCTTGTCCTCAACTGAGCGCTACAAACATTGACACCGTTTCTTCCTCTAGGCCTTGGCGTTCCGCGCGGAGCAGGAGGCCCTGTTGAATGCTGATTCTGGTTGCAAGCACGGCGATATCAAAAAGCGGAATCTGGGTGACGTGACTACAGTGAACCTCACCATGCTGAAGAGTGGAGTACCCCAGGACGGGGGCAAGACGCACGCCCTCAACGTCATCCCTACGGAGGCTGTTGCTGGTTTTGACGTTCGCATCTCGCCCCACATGGATTTGAAGAAGTTTAAGGTGGGTCCTTGTCCGTGTATAGTATCGATTCACTGTCAGCACTTAAACATTTGCGTTTGGTCGGTCGGTTTTAGGCGATGCTTGATGAGTGGTGTTCTACTGAAGGACTATCGTGGGAGTTTGTGTCGTGGTGGAAGAATCCGCTGCATGAGCACTACACGACCTTAGTCGACGACACCAATGTGTGGTGGAAGCTGTTCAAGGAAGGATGCGAGGTAAGTCGTCTATACCTGCTCGCGCGTTTGAATATGGCCAGTGGCTAACATGGGCGCTTATATATCGTAGGAAATCGGTGTTCCTGTCGAAGCAGAGGTGTTCCCAGCGGCGACGGACAGCCGGTTCCTTCGCCAGCTCGGCATTCCTGCTTTGGGGTTCTCTCCGATGAACGAGACGGAGATCTTGCTTCACGAGCACAACGAGCGCCTTCACAAGGGCACCTTTTTGCGTGGAATTGACGTGTACGAGACGTTGTTCCGACGCATGTTCGCGTACACCAAGGCAGACTAGCTAGGTGTGAAAAGGTGCCGTCGAGCTGCAGGGCTTCACCGGTCGAGTATGACGCCATTACACGTGCGTACAGTACCGATTCCTGGCACCTTGATAACTTGGGCATCGGCGTCGTTGCGAATGACTGCATCACTTACACCGACCGTGTCAGTTAACAATCTGTTTGCGGCTGCAACTTGCAGCAACGGAGCTCCTGAAAGTTCCTCCTCGCAAGGGCAAGGTCGATCTTAGTCCGGTTTTTTCTTGAACATGTCCAAGCTACGCATGCACTTCTTGTGGACTGACCCCCACACTGAGATTGTATTTCCAGCTCAGGAGTCCTGAGCTGGAAATACGATCCTTACCTCGAGGAGTCCTGAGTCAGGACTCGAGGTAAGGATCGTTTTCATCAGTTCGCCACGCAAAACATCCCAAAACTCATCCCATCACATGATACGACGAGCCCGCACCGACTTTGAACAGCTCATCAAACAACCATCACGGCTCTCATTTAGGCAACAGGGATGGCAGCGCGAACGTCCGCCATTGAGCGTCTGCTACAGTACATCCGCATCCCGTCGATCAGTGGAGATGGCCCCAACGGGTCGTACAATGAGGTGGGGTGAAGAGTGCTTGCAGCACCTCCAGTAGCGATCATGATTCTCATCGTATCGATGTCCTTTGCTAGTGCGCAGTTTGGCTCAAGCGATACCTCGAAGAAGGTAACGTAGCAACGTGGACGAGGACGTGCTATCCGCAATAGACACTAAATGCGGCTTGTGTGTGTAGTTGGCCTTGACGTGCAGGTCTTCTCACCCGCAGAGAATAAGCCTATCGTAGTGGTGAGTGGGGTTGCTGGGCTTTGATACCGGTTAGAGTCTTCGGATGAGCTAACTCAACATTGCTATTGTGTCTTAGGCAACATGGCAAGGCAAGGACCCTTCCCTTCCATCAATTTTGCTCAACTCGCACTATGATGTGGTGCCTGTTGTCCGTGAGCACTGGAAGCACGACCCTTTCAATGTTCGTGGACTTTCGTTGCGTTGCATTGGGTACTGCTCGCAGTAGTGCTGACTGTTAGTGGTGGTGGTGGTGCAGCCAAAGGTTCTTGAGGATGGATTCATTTACGGACGTGGAACGCAAGACATGAAGAGTGTCGGTGTGCAGTATGTGGAAGCTGTTTACCGCCTGAAGACAGCGGGGTTCGTGCCGAGTAGAAACATCCACCTCCTGTTCGTGCCCGATGACTGGTGACGGCATGGAAGCGTTTCTGACAAGTGAGCAGTACAAGTCCATCCAGCCAATTGCACTTGCCTTCGATGAGGGAATTGCCAATCCGAACGATGTCTTTACCGTATTCTACGGCGAGCGAGTGGCCTGGTGGTTCTACGTGAAGGCTACGGGGCCTACTGGGCATGGGAGTCGGTTCATCGAGAACACGGCAACCTCCAAGATCATCGAAATCTGCAACAAGGTGAGAGGATTTTTCCCAAGCAGCCCTATCCAGCATGAAACGTATAAACAACATTTATTATGCAGGCCTTGGCGTTCCGCGCTGAGCAGGAGGCGCTATTGAATACGGACCCTGGCTGCAAGCACGGCGATATCAAAAAGCGAAAACTGGGTGACGTGACGACGGTGAACCTCACCATGCTGCAGAGTGGAGTTTCCCAAGATGGCGGCCAGACGCACGCCCTCAACGTCATCCCTACGGAGGCTGTTGCTGGTTTTGACGTCCGTATCTCGCCCAGTACCGACCTGAAAAAGTTCAAGGTGAGAACTTGTCCGTATTCATTGTGAGCTCAATGTTACCATGTCTAACGCTGGATTCCAGGCGATGCTGGACGAATGGTGTTCTGCTGAGGGTCTATCGTGGGAGTTTGTGTCGTGGTGGAAGAACCCGCTGCATGAGCACTACACGACGTCTATCGATGAGAGCAACGTTTGGTGGAAGCTGTTCAAGGAGGGGTGCGAGGTAAGTCGTCCTGAGCTACTGCAATGCGCCTAGGAGGTCATGACTGATACGATCGATGTTGTGCATCATAGGAGATCGGCGTTCCTGTCGAAGCAGAGGTGTTCCCAGCGGCGACCGATAGCTGCTTCCTTCGCCAGCTTGGCATTCCGGCTTTGGGGTTCTCTCCGATGAACAAGACGGAGATCCTGCTGCACGAGCACAACGAATGCCTGCATAAAGACACCTTTCTGCGTGGCATCGACGTGTACGAGACGCTGTTCCGCCGCATGTTCGCGCATCCTCAGGAGCAGTAAAGGCATGTGGAGGGGCCTTTTAGCTAGGTTAGATGATAGGCTTAACAGGTCGACCATGGCATGCAAGAGCACTTTGCAAGTTGAAACCTTGATGACTTGCTGCTTCATGTTCAAAGCCGGTGCATGCAGAGCGGATCTTTGCCGCACCATTTGCCAAGAACCGAGATAGCGGAGACCCGCTGCTGCTGAAGATGGCGGCGTGGAAAGACCCCGTGGATCGATTCGTCGAGTTCCTTCGCTTTCGCACGGTCAGTGCCGAGGGCCCCAGCGGGAGCTACCAGGAGGTAACCATACGGATGCATGCGCGAAGGAGGACGTCCTTCAACGAGAATACGTGTCTTGCTAGGCTAATCACTGCCTGGTTCGGTTGCTTAGTGTGCCCAGTGGCTGCGCGCGTACCTGGAAGAACGTATGCGCCCATTATCTTGTGTACTTATTCTAGGTCACAATGTAGTGACTCCTTTGGTGGTCTTTGTGCAGTTGGACTCCTAGTGCAGGTCTTCTCTCCTGTTGAAAACAAGCCTGTCGTTCTGGTGCGTAATTCGGACCAAGAGGCTGCTGCATCATTATCTCGGAACAGGTAATCTGACCGTCCTACTGCTGAGCAGGCAACATGGCAAGGCGAGGACCCCTCGCTTCCAGGTATCCTTCTCAACTCGCACTACGATGTCGTGCCCGCGATTCCTGAGCACTGGACCTATGACCCCTTCGAGGTGAGACGATGGGGACAGTCGTCATTCCTATTGTGTCTCGCCACGGAACTAACTGTTTGTGCTCATATCTTCCAGGCTAAGGTTCTGGACGACGGTCGCATCTACGGCCGCGGCACTCAAGACATGAAGAGCGTGTGCATCCAGTATGTGGAGGCAGTGCACGCCCTCAAGACTTCCGGCTTCACGCCTAAGCGCAACGTTTACTTACTGTCTGTACCTGACGAAGAACCGGGAGGTGCTCAGGGAATGGGGACGTTCATTGAGACGGAGCAGTTCAAGGCAATCCAGCCGCTCGCGTTTGCGTTCGACGAAGGTCTGGCAAACCCAGGAGACGCCTACACTGTCTTCTACGGTGAACGCGCGCAGTGGTGGGTGTACGTTAAGGCCGAGGGCCCCTCTGGGCACGGCAGCCGGTTCATCAAGAATACGGCCACGTCCAAGATCATCGACATCTGCAACAAGGCGCTGGCGTTCCGTGCCGAGCAGGAGAAGGCGCTCGGTGCCGCCGTTGGCTGCAAGCATGGTGATATGAAGAAGAAGAAGCTTGGCGATGTGACCAGTATCAACGTCACAGCGCTGCAGAGCGGTGTCTCTCGCGATGGCGGCAAGACCCACGCTCTCAATGTGATCCCCACGGAGGCCATCGCCGGCTTTGACATCCGCATTTCGCCTGAGATGGACATCAGTGCGATGGGGAAGAAGCTGGACGAGTGGTGCGCCGCTGAGGGCGTTTCCTGGGAGTTTGCCTCGTGGACGAAGCCCATGCACGAGCACTACACCACGTCGCTGGACAGTGGCAACGTGTGGTGGCAACTTTTCCAGAAGTCATGCGCTCGCGTTGGGGAAAAGCTGGAAACCGAGATCTTCCCTGCAGCTACGGACAGCCGCTATCTTCGCAAGGCTGGAGTCCAGGCAATCGGGTTTTCGCCTATGAAGAAGACGGAGATCCTGTTGCACGAGCACAACGAGTATCTGCACAAGGACACGTTCTTGCACGGCATCAAGGTCTACGAAACCATTTTCCGGGACATGTTCTCGCACAAGTAAGGCAGCAAGAGAGCGATTCTCAGGCAAGGGATGCAGTGAAGTGTAAAATCTCGGTTGTGTTACACCCAGACTTTACTTTGATCGTAAGAGGGGTACAGTAAAGCTTGGGAGTTGACCGTGAAGGCTTCAGCCTCGGGAGCTCTCCATCAGAAGCTGCAAGAAGCCCTAAATGCACGTCTACTGCTGACCACCATTCGAAACCAGGGGCAATGGCTCCATGCAGCCTCTACCTTCAAGATCAAACAGGGCGATGTACTAAGTATCATGAGGATGCCACAGCAACGTCTTGAAGCACGATGTGGATCCAACGACAACCACACTTAGTAAACGCCTATGTGACTTGATTCGAGTATGGTCAAAGTTGAAGTTGCAAGTTGAAGCTGTTGATGCCAACAAGACCGTCACGCGGCTGGCCTGCCTGCTCTTGAGCGAGTTGCTCGATCTCTCTCGAGCCGTTTTCACTGCGATCGCTGGTGCATGTTTTAGGGCTTGCTCGCTTGCGCGGTTGCTGGTCCGATTTCGCTGGGGCAAAGTGCGACGGTGGGGTCCCTCCCTCTGAACGGCAGCAAGAGCGACATGCGACGTCGCGGAAGGGGAGAACGTGGGGCTGCAACTCGCCGCCATTCGGTGCTGTAACAGCGCTCGGAACTCGCAGGAAACAAAAATACAGAAGAAGAAACTTGACGCAACGACGTGCAGTCGCTTGTCATTACTGGGCGCTTTTGCTATTCAAGGAAGAGGCGCAGAGCTATTGTTGCCTCGCAAGGCAATGTCTGGGACGAGTCGTCCCGGACGACTCGTGAGCAGGCGGGGCATGCGCCACATTGCGCAACGTAAGCTGCACGAACCATGAACTGCCCGCCCCGAACAAGATATTCGGTGCTGGTTCTCGCCTGCTTGCTGTCTTGCACCGTTGCGGAAGGCGGTGACGAAGTCGGAGATCCTTCAATTCATCGCCATCTCCGACCAAGACCCGAGCCCGAGTCCGCCACCTCAGAGCAGCTCGGAAACCGCGAACTCAACGTCTTCGGTCGGGATGGACGACAAGAGGTGACCGACCCAAGCGGGTATCCGTACAGCACCGTGGGCTTGTTGACCTGGAATGACGACGTCACGTGCACGGCGACGCTGGTGGCGACAAACATCGTGCTGACGGCAGCAGAATGCGTCCTCGACTCTGACGGTGAGCTGCGTGGCGATTCTTCAGACTCCTCCACTTTCAGCCTGCCTCAAGCGACGGAAGTTCGGACGTCGTTGGTGTCCCGAGTCCATAAGCAGTCGGACTACTGGACCAAGTGGACCAAAAACACGTACGTGCTGGTTGAGCTCGACGACGATCTTGGCAGTGTGAATGGTGTGCTACAGTTGCCAACGGCAAATTCGTTCGCGGAAGACGCTCCCATGAAAGTTCAGCTTGTCGGCTACGGGGGCGACTTCGAATCCGAGAGTTTCCAGCGCTGCAAAATACACTTCCCCAGTGAGTTTGACGGGCCGGATTATATGCTCCATCACGACTGCGACGTGTCCACAAAGCGTTCGCCGGGATCACCGATGCTAATTCGCTCCACAGCTCTCGACACGTACATTATGGGGATCCACACGAACGCAATCGGAGACGACCAGATCGAGGAGGGAGTCGACAACGTTTATCCGTCGTACAATGACACCGTTGCAAATCGAGGTGTACTTGGCTCGTTCGTCGAGCCTCACTTGTCATTCCTGCTAGAGCAGACCGAATCGTCGTCATCTTCATCGGAAGCATCTTCCGCGTTTGAAGGAAGTAGCTCCGAGAGCGACACCTCTACGTCTTCAAGCAGCGACTTCGTTTATAGCTCAGCGCCAAATGGTGGTAGCAGTCAAGGACAGGACAACCAAGCTGACGCAGGCGCAAGCGCAGCCCTGGCTCCACCATCCGCCTCGTCATCCTCGGCAGAAATCTCGGTGGCAGCACCACACCTCGGCATCGCAGCAACAGCTGCATACTCGTGCATTGGCCTGGTTTGTGCATCCTGGCTGGCCATCATATTTGTTGCCGCTCGCAGAATCCGGTCGAATCGCTGAGATGCCGGCGTAGCTGCACAACTTATTGAGTAATACCCCATCGAACTGTTGCAGGTCATCAGTAGCAAACACTTAATAATCCACACACTCACCATCCAACGGCCAGTTCGTACTTGTTCAGGCAAAATTCCTTTCTCCAATAACGCGAAATTGCTGGCTCCATCTCATTAGCGTTCTAAAACGTTCCCAGTGGCACCCACGGAGCTTCTCCGTCTGACGATAAATAAGCTTTGGAACGTTGCTCGCAAAGAGATAAACCGCACTTGGTTGATGCCATTGCCGCAGAGTATCAAGCGCAATCAAAGGTCCGGCGTGAGCACGGGGATGTAGCACGTGAACGATCCGAACGAGTCCACCAGAATCGAGTGCAGCACCATCGCCCTGTTCTCCGTAATACAGCACAGCACTGAATCCGTTGACTGTCCGTCCACCAGAATGGCCTTGCTCAGCACTTTGCTGTCTACCGTAACGCTCGACGAGCGTTGTTGTCTCCGTCGCTCCTCTTCCTCCTCGTCCTCCTCGTCTTCGTCGATCAAATCGTCTCGATACCTCAAGTGCGCAAACAGCGTCTGCAACGTGAGCGGGTGCGTGTCGATGCGCAGGATCAGCGTGCCGGTCTTGCTGGCCTCCACCGTCATGGTCTTGTGCATGGTCTTGAGTCTGTCCACGATGCTGCGCAGCGCTCGCAGCGGCGGCATCTCGATTGCGATCTGAGGGGCCGGCACGCTGGGCTCTCTGTAGTGCTCCACCGTGCTCATGGCCAGCACCTCGATGGGGATGCTCTGCACGATGTCGATGTCCACGGCGCGCGTCCTGAGGCACAGGAAGTTGTTGCCGTCCCGCTTGAGCAGCCGCAGCATGACGGCGCTGGCGTCCTTGCCCGAGGTCAAGGCCTGCTGGAAGTGACGCACGTCGCACACGAAGCCGATGTGGTTCTCGGCCCGAGACTGCACCACGACGTCGTGGAAGAGTCGCGCCGTCTGCAGGCGCGCGAAGCTCTGTAGCTCCTCGGCGCCGCCGCTCTTGAGCGCGATGGACAGCGTCTCCGGGGTCAGCGTGAACACGCAGTTGGCCTTGGCGCTGCTCTGGGAGCCCAGGCGCGCGAAGGACTGCGCCACGTCAAGCAGCACGGCCAACGCGTCCTTGGCCAGCGTCCCGCGGAAGCGCATGGTCCCGAGCAGCTACAGGCGATTGGGTGAAAATGATAGCGTAGCCATGTCTATAAATGGCTACACTTTTGATGGATCAACATGGAATATGCTGGCAGCCTATGTATGTATGCAAGCACTGGATCGGATTACTAAAGATTGAATAGGTAGCTCATGCCACGTGAGGAGGCGCAGAGCTAGTGAGGCTGGCGCTGAAAGGTTGATCAATGGCATGACGACGGGGGACGACGGCGCGGCGCTCCGAGGAGCTCGGTCGCGGGAGATGATGACGCACGAATACATGCAACGTAGCTGGGGTCCTCTGTCAAAAAGACCCATTCTCTCTCTGCTTCCTCGTTCTTGCCACAGAGCAACAAGCTCGAAGAGCCGAGAGATCGCTATCTGTGTGAACCCCCTTTGAGCACGAAGGTCAATCCTCCACCTTCACGACCTTGCAAGGCTCTCTCGCGCCGAGCAGCTGCACGCAGCAACCGAAGCCACCACATGCAACACGCCCAGCACGAGTGTTCTCTCTGTCCGCCCCCCCTTACAATGAGGAGGTAGTGCCTTGAATCTCCCCATCAAGATTCCGAGGGACGTTTTAGGCGTCAAAACCCCACGCAGTTGGCTCGCCAAAACCAACCGGCGACCGAAGACCGCGCCTTCCCCGCCATTGCCACGCCACAGCCATCTCCCAGACGCCATTCACCCCTCTATAGCGCCCCAAAGAGCGCTGCAAAGGACGCCCCATGCTTCCCCACCAAAAAGTGTGGACTCGACCTTGAACGTTCCTCGTCACTTCCAGTAATGAGCGGAATTGATAAGGCGATTAAATACGAAGCATTTCAACCAATCAGATTGTATAAAACTAAACTCACCGCATTTTGACTTGGAAATGGCTGGAAGCACGACGCCGGCCGGCGCGACGCCTGAAGATCAGGCGGCAGCGTCGCGCGGGAGCAAGCGAAGCATCGACGACGCCTCCGACAGTCTGCTGCGCAGCAGTCTGGAGGACCTCGTGGCCAGGAAAGATGCCCCCGTCCCCCTCGCAGTGCGTGCATCGATGGGATTCTGTCACGAAGAAAGTCGGACTTTAGCTAACGGTTTGGACGTTTGCAGGACATTCGCGATACGCTGATGGACCACTTGCTGGGCAGCATCCAGACGGACCTCAAGTACACGGTGCTGTTTGTGTGCGAGGAAGTGCCGGACTTCCGGCAGCAGCAGGAGCAAGAAAAGGGTGATGCAGACAATGAGAAGGAGGGAGCGGCCGAATCGACAGAAGAGGCTATTGCTAGCAATGGCAGTGCAGTGGATCCGGTGGAGGTTGCGTTGCTTGAAGGGCTGGGAGACGCCTACCAGTTCCGCAGTCGCCTGTCCGAGGGTGATAGTATTCCGCGGTGTGACGCTACGTTGCTGAAGATTCCGGTGTCCAAGCGTGACATTGAAAAGGAGAAACATGCGGCTAAGAAGGCCATCAAGAAGAAGATCAAGAAGTTCAAGAAGAGCTCTGGAGGTGCGTTTTAATGTGGAGAATCTGTGTTTCTGGTTGCATTGGATGCTGACTTCCTGGAATTGCTTGTCGGAACAGAAAACTCGAAGCCAAGCGCCGAATTTTACGTTTTATCGCCAGAGGAGCTTAGAGTCCACCTACCTTCGATTCCGTTCGAGGACGCTAAAGCTGCTGCAGATTTTGTTTCGACATTGCCGCTGCCGGATGGCGAAACGCGAACACCAGAGCAGCTCCTGCTTGCTCTGGACTGTGAGATGTGCCGTACCACAAAGGGTGTGGAGCTCACGCGCCTTACACTGGTAGACACCAGTGAGAAGGTCCTGTTGGACGAGTATGTGAGGCCCAAGAACCCGATTGTCGACTACTGCACGCAGTACTCGGGCATCACTTGCGACATCATGGAGGCCACAACCATGCGGCTTGCAGACATCCAAAAGCGCTTTCTGGATCTGGTGCCAGCAGAGGCTATCTTGGTGGGCCACTCGATCGAGAATGACCTGCAGGCGCTCCGAGTTCTGCACCGTCGAGTGATCGACACGGCATGCATGTATCCGCACCCGAAAGGCCCTCCGTTCCGCTCAGCCTTGCGGTTTTTGACGAGCCAGTACCTAAACCGAGCCATCCAAACCGGTACGGACGGGCACTGCAGTGTGGAGGATGCAGTGGCGACACTGCAGCTTGCGCAGCTCAAGATAAAGCACGGACCGACATTTCCGAGTATCGAGCACGAGTACAAGCAGAAGAAGGTGGTGAACGAGATGGCCCGAGCCAAGAAATCCGTGCTGATTGTGGACTCACTGCGCTCTTGTCGGTCACTGAGTGGAGGAGTGGCCTGCATTATCCCGCGCGAAGTTCCTGGCGAGGTTGTGCAGACGGTCGTCCATCAACTGACGACAGGCTTCCCGCCGCATTTAACCTGGGCGCGTGTGCGCGGAGTGAAGCGCTCCGACATCGTGGCGTACGTTCAACAGATCAAATTCAATTTACCCACGGGCTCGTGCCTCGTAACGGTGCTGAGCGGGGATACCAACGATCTGCGCGCGCTGCACAAACGCCGCACCGCGCGCACTGACCCACGAAGCTCGCTCATGTGGGACAAAAAGCAGCAAGAGGCGCTGGATGCAACAGCATTGGCCGCCCAGACAGGTCTGGTGCATATCTGTTTGCAGTAGGTAGTGACAGCGCGGCTACGATGTTGCAGCTATTTTGTTATACAACAGATCGTCCAGGCATCAAATTAGAAAGTCCTTGAAGTTGTTTGATGGTTCCTCACAAAACTTGAGCAAGCTGCGCGAGTGTGATGAATCATAATTAGGATTTAATTTATTTATAGGATGTAAAAGTGGTTTCGAGTCAGCCAACTCAATATTATCTATGACGTTCTATCGCAGCTCGAGGGTTGTTTAGACGTGGGCCACACAGTTGGCGTGCGCCACACCATGTTTAGACGAGCTCAGCAACTTCAACAGAAAAAGTCCCCGACAGACGCAGGCCCCGACCGAATGGCGAGCACGCTCTCCACGTCAGCGCAGGCTTGCACGGCTCTGCTGGGGTCTGTTTGACGGGCTCTTTCGGCTGTTGATAGTGCTGTATTGGTCGGTCGTCTTCCTTGGACGAGCTGGGCTGGGGCTGGACTGGAGTTGGCTAGGGGGCATTGAAGTTGGTCGGTCGGAGGTGGTGCAAGTCGGCTGGCGATGATAATGATGTACAGAAGTGTCGGCCGAAGGTGATAAATAGCAGCGGCGAATATATAGGCGGCGGTGCTCGAGCTCTCGCTTGCTTGCCGGCAGGCACGTGGCGCCGGGGCGTGGATGCGCGCTGGAGGGTGGCTGCGTCGAGGCCGTGCGATCGGTGTCCGATTACCACTTGAGCTCGGCGATCTCCGCGATGGCGGCGAGCACGTCGGCAGGCAGCGCCACGACGGCGCACCGACGACCGACAGCGCCGCGCCGCACGAGCTCCTTCCTGCTCTCTTCGTCGACCGGGCTGCTGTCGTAGTCGCTACTGCTGCTGCTGTCGGCTGTGCTTGGCGCGACGTGGACCTGAAGCTTGGTTGTGAGCATCTTGGACTCGCACGGGTCGATTTCGCGGGCGATGATCATGGCTTGTGGTGGTGGTGGTTGTGCTGCTGCTGTTGCGGACGCCGCGAATCGGAAAGTGATCTCTTGGCGGCTAGTGAGTTTTGTTCTGTTGTCGGCGAGCTCGTTGGGTCGTGAGAGCACTAATGACCGCTCCGTCTTCGAGTCGCGCTATGTCGTTCAGGCACGGCGACGTTGGCTGTTGTTCGAATGATGGCAAGGCAGACCGGTACGGTGGTGAGACCGAGGAAACGCTCGAGCTGTCTTCTCGTCAGGGCAGGATGTGGAATGGCTTGGAAGCTGCTCCGGCAGCTGCATTGAAGCAAGCCGAGAGTTGCTCGGCCGTTTCTGGGATAAGATGGTATCCGATTGCGACGCCGGTTGACGCTCAGGCCTGAAGGCGAGTCCCAGTGTGACACCGCGCGTGCTTGACCGAAAAAACGATCGGGGCGGCGAGGGCCCGACGACGATAGTGCTGCCCAGCGTTCGACGAAGCAGCCCGTTTAACGTTGTGGCGCCAGCGAGAACGGCATGCGTGGACGACAGGCAAGCGCACGATGCCCAGAATTTGGTCATAGTGACCAGTTCGCGCCTCTTCGCTGGCGAGCGGGTGCGGCACGTGCCAAACCGCCGAGCTCTAATGCTCACCAAGCATCGGTGGCAGTGGCACTGCTCGGCCAACGTGGCGCTGTCGATGAAACCTGCCGCAGTTGCCGCCGATGCTTGTCCGCTGTCGCCAGCGACTTGCTTGCGGCCACATAGCGCGAGAGAGAGAGAGAGCTGCTCGGTTCGTTACGGCATTTTACCTGGGCAGCATCGCGCTCAGTTGCGTTGTTACCACCGAGACGCGCGCAGAGCCTCGAAAACCACTTGCACGTATCCACATACCGGCTCACCGCGTTTTCAACAGCGAGTCTCGTGCGGCTGTCTCGACCAGCTCCCTGTTACTAGGACCCCTATGGGGATTTTCGAGCACGGATCCACGCCAACCTCCTTGGCACGGCCGCATTGGCTTCAACCCGCTGCAAATTGGGCACGAAATCTGAACGCTAGTTGCGCACGTGCGTTTAGTCAAAATTCAACTGCCCCAGCTACCAGAACTGCGACGAATAGAAAACCAAGCTTCGCTTGGGCCGTCTTAAGATAGCATGCATCTCTATCAAAATACATGTGCATGTTTCTTCACTACATTCACAATGGCTATCCTTGTCAACTTCACCAGGATGTCCCAGGCTCGCGTAGGTCTCCGCAAACTCGCAGCGTTGCGTCCGTTAGATGCGTGCTGAAGCACGCACCATTGTGGACAGCATTACTCCACACTGGTGCGAGTGATCTACAGTAGTGTACCTTGAGGATACCAAGTTAGACGGTGCCAACCGCTAGATGGGCCAATGCACGTCGGTATGAATCAGCTTAGGCCCAACTCCCCACCAATGATCACATTTCGTTTGTGTCGTGCATCAAAAGCACAAGTGCATCGGTACGCACGCATAAGGTGCCGAAGCGGCGAAATCTTTCGTCATCCGAAATCCGTAAAATGAATCTACCATTTCAAAGATACAAGTTAGATCGGACGACTAGTCAAGCCCCCGACACGTTCGCAAGAGCCTCCCCCTTCACCATTACCCAATTGCCATCGTCACTAGCAGCTCCAGCACCAGATCTACCAGCCAGCATGATCACCGCCCGCGAAATCGACCCGTGCGAGTCCAAGATGCTCACAACCAAGCTTCAGGTCCACGTCGCGCCAAGCACAGCCGACAGCAGCAGCAGTAGCGACTACGACAGCAGCCCGGTCGACGAAGAGAGCAGGAAGGAGCTCGTGCGGCGCGGCGCTGTCGGTCGTCGGTGCGCCGTCGTGGCGCTGCCTGCCGACGTGCTCGCCGCCATCGCGGAGATCGCCGAGCTCAAGTGGTAATCGGACACCGATCGCACGGCCTCGACGCAGCCACCCTCCAGCGCGCATCCACGCCCCGGCGCCACGTGCCTGCCGGCAAGCAAGCGAGAGCTCGAGCACCGCCGCCTATATATTCGCCGCTGCTATTTATCACCTTCGGCCGACACTTCTGTACATCATTATCATCGCCAGCCGACTTGCACCACCTCCGACCGACCAACTTCAATGCCCCCTAGCCAACTCCAGTCCAGCCCCAGCCCAGCTCGTCCAAGGAAGACGACCGACCAATACAGCACTATCAACAGCCGAAAGAGCCCGTCAAACAGACCCCAGCAGAGCCGTGCAAGCCTGCGCTGACGTGGAGAGCGTGCTCGCCATTCGGTCGGGGCCTGCGTCTGTCGGGGACTTTTTCTGTTGAAGTTGCTGAGCTCGTCTAAACATGGTGTGGCGCACGCCAACTGTGTGGCCCACGTCTAAACAACCCTCGAGCTGCGATAGAACGTCATAGATAATATTGAGTTGGCTGACTCGAAACCACTTTTACATCCTATAAATAAATTAAATCCTAATTATGATTCATCACACTCGCGCTGTAAAAGCCCGATCCACCCCTAACGGCCATGGTGAAGTTGCACAGATCCATTCGCTCGGTCGCAGAGCCCCACGCTCGCCTCAGCTCAATCCGGAATTCGCTCCGCCGCTCGCAGCCGTCTCGTCACCAGACAGACTCGCAGCAGACAGATCCCGGCGATGCTGCGCTCCAGCTCCCTGCGCAAGGCCTCCGCGCTCGCGTCGCGCCGCGCCATGTGCGCCACGCGCGCCGTGTCGTCGCTGCCGTCCTTCGCCACCGTCGACCCGGACTTCAGCGGCGCCAACCCCACGGACGGCTTCAACTTGGGTGCGTAGAGCGACTGGTCGCGGCTTGTTCGACTGCTCTGTGGTCTCTGACGCTTGTGCTGGCTTGTGCAGTGAACGGCAAGTGGACCAAGACGGCCAAGACCGAGACCATCCTGGACCCGCTGAACGGCGAGGCCTTCATGACCATGCCGCTGACGCAGAAGGACGAGCTCGCGCCCTTCGTGGAGAGCATGACCAGCTGCCCCAAGCACGGCCTACACAACCCGCTGAAGAACGTCGAGCGCTACGTCATGTACGGCGAGATCTGCGCCAAGGCCGGCGCCCTCTTCCGCGAGGACAAGGTGGCCGACTACTTCGCCAGGCTCGTGCAACGCACGTCGCCCAAGAGCTACTTCCAGGCTCGCAACGAGGTCAAGGTCACGGGCAAGTTCCTCGAGAACTTCTCCGGCGACCAGGTGCGCTTCCTGGCGCGCTCGTTCGGCGTGCCCGGCGACCACCAGGGCCAGGCGAGCCACGGCTACCGCTGGCCGTACGGCCCCGTGGCGCTGATCACGCCCTTCAACTTCCCCATCGAGATCCCGGTGCTGCAGATGATGGGCGCTCTGTTCATGGGCAACAAGGTGCTGCTGAAGGTGGACTCCAAGGTGTCCATCGTCATGCAGGAGACCCTGCGCCTGCTGCACGAGTGCGGCATGCCCTTGACCGACGTGGACTTCATCAACTCGGATGGCGCTGTGATGAACGACCTGCTGCTGCAGATCAAGCCGCGCAACACGCTGTTCACGGGATCGCAGGCTGTTGCTGAGAAGCTCGCGAAGGACCTGAGTGGCCGCATCAAGCTTGAGGACGCTGGCTTTGACTGGAAGGTCCTTGGCCCTGACGTTCGTGACTTCGACTACGTCGCCTGGACCGCTGACCAGGATGCGTACGCTTGCTCGGGCCAGAAGTGCTCGGCGCAGTCTGTACTCTTCATGCACAAGAACTGGGTGGATGCTGGCATTGAGAAGAAGCTGGCTGAGCTTGCTTCCCGCCGAAAGCTGTCGGACTTGACCATTGGCCCCGTACTGACGGTCACCACGAAGCGTATGCTTGACCACGCCGCGGCTCTGTTGAAGATTCCTGGCGCTCGCGTTGCGTTTGGTGCTGAGGAGCTGGAGAACCACACTATCCCCGAGAAGTATGGTGCGATTAAGCCCACCGCTATCTACGTTCCCCTGAAGGAGTTCGTGAAGCCGGAGAACTTCGAGCTCGTCACCACGGAGATTTTCGGCCCGTTCCAGGTGCTGACCGACTACGACGACAGCGAGCTGCCGCTTGTCCTCGACGCTCTTGAGCGTATGGAGGCTCACCTGACCGCCGCTGTGGTCTCGAACGACCAGCACTTCGCTAACGAGGTGCTCTCGGCCACGGTAAACGGCACGACCTACAGCGGTATCCGTGCGAGAACGACGGGTGCTCCTCAGAACCACTGGTTCGGCCCGGCCGGTGACCCGTGCGCTGGCGGTATCGGCACGCCGGAGGCGATCAAGCTCGTGTGGTCTTGCCACCGCGAGATTATCAACGACATCGGCCCCGTGCCCGCCAACTGGACGATCCCCGAGGCGACCTAAGGCGCTTGCGTTCTGACTGCTGGTGTCTCAATAAATTTGCACTGATCAACTACTTCTTCTGTCTTTACGCCTAAGGTGACTGAATGGGTAAGAACTTCTTGCCAAGAAGTTTGATGAAGATGGGTTGGTGCAATGTGCCTTCGCACATCTGAAGTATATCATGCACAAAGTGATCGACGAACGGCAAGGATAGCGACCAGAAACAACTATTCAAAGCAAACTGCGGAACCAGGCATCAAAAAGAAAATCTAGTTACTGAGTGAGAGATGGAGATGCAACACATTTACAGTTCCTCCAGCTCCCATGCGGAGGCCTGGTTGGCTTCAGCCTCGGACAAAATCTGCGGCGTGGGCTCGTCCTCCTTCATGGCCAGGTCGTCAAGCAGCTCATGCAGCTCCACAGCCGGAGCACCAACATCGTCCTCCTCCATGGCGTCGTCATCCTCCGACGGCTTCGTCTGCTTGGTTTCATCCTTGTACAGGTTGATCTGGGAACGCATCTCCTTGTCCTCCTCCAGCTCGTCCAGGAACTGCTCATAGTCCTGCTCCTCCTTGGAGAGGTCGGCCTTGCGAACAGGGCCTGCCTGCTCGACACCTTCCATCTTCTTCAGCTTCCAGTTGCGCGCACGCTTCTGGATACGACGAGGGAACATCTTCTTCACGAGAACCACGTCAGGCAACGACACGCCCGACTGCACTAGGGGCGCTAGGTCGGCATCATTGAACACAGCGGAGGTAAGGTCGTAGCCGCGAGCCGAGTCGCCAACGTGCAGAATCATGCCAAGGTGGCTCACAGTGCGGAACCGCGCGTCATTCACGCCGAAATCCGCGTCGCGAACTACCTCCATGTCGGCCAATCGCGTCTTGCGGGTCACACGAATGGCACGGCCGCCACCAGAAGGAATCGCCATGGGGTTCGAGTCCAGCACCGTGAAGTCCGTCATGGCCTTGATCGATCGCAGCGCACGGAACGGGTAGCGCCAGTACTTCTCGGAGTCAATCTCCGCAACTTGGGTCGTGAATGGGTCAACGACGTGGATCGAAGAGGTAACCGACTGCACGAGACACAGGCAAGACATGTTGCCGAGCATACGAGCGAGTTTCACCGGCAGCACAACCAAGTCGTCCTTGCACACGGGCGCAATCTCCACTGCATACGTGAACTTGTAGTTGTGCGTGTTGCTGTGGTTGTCTGCCGAAATCAGCTTCTTGGCGGTCTTGAGCTTCATGGGCACTGACTCCTGCAAGAAATCAACGAAGCGCAGCGCGTGGTTGCGCTCCGAGAAAAAAAAGTCGACACCGTCCGGGTGGGACTCGATGTTCGTGGTCTTCTCGTGGGCGCGGTGCTTGAGGATCAGCTGCTCCAGAAAGAAGAACGTGCGCTTGTGGTCCACGCGCTGGCGCACCTGCACGACCGCGCGCCACGACTGGTTGGCGAACGAGGCCTGGCAGGCGTCACACTGCTGGTTGCGCACCACGAAGGTGACGACGAACGACTGCTGCATGATCATCTTGCTCATGACCTCCTTCTGCACTGTGAGCTTGAGCTTGAGGCGGCGCGAGTGGGGCTCCGTCCAGATCCAGTTGGCATCGATGAGCTTGACGCGGTTGAGGTTGTTGATCTTCTTGAGGCACATGGCCAGCAGCTCGCGGGACTCGAGCTCGGCCGCCACCCAAGGCGGACGCGACCAGCGCATGCAGCCGCGGCACTGGTGGATGATCACCTCCTTGGGGATGCCCTCGGTCACGTCCACCTGCGACTTGAGGCAGTTCACGCACGTGTTGGCGGCGTTCGCCACGATTGGCGTCGCGCACATGCAACACAAGCTGCGGCATCACAAGACCCGACAGACGTCAGTTTGATCAGCATTGACACGCATGTGCGTGTGTGGCTATCTATGATTCTAGCTGCCATCTCTATCTCCATTTCTCTCTTTGAGGTGGGACACTATTGGCGCATTGCGGCAGAAGAAGAGGCTTACATGGTGGGCATCTGGCTCGTCATGGCGCTCATGGTTCCTGCGTCCTGCGTCCTTGCTGCGGCCTTGAGGTGCGAGCTGCTCCGGGAATGGGTGGAAGCGTTCGAACGCTTGGCGCAGGCCAATGGACACCTGGTGTCTTTTTGTCCAATTGCCAGATGGCTACACTTCTTTTCTACGAATCACGGAGATCGAGTCGACCATTGGCCAAAATCCTGTCAACGGCAGGCAGCCAAGCGATCGATCAGTTGGCGATTTTTCCCACACGAAGAAGACTCAGTCAGTATGGACGGCGGAGCGACCCCTGCAGCCGGCGCGGCCGGCACCAGCGCCAGCGCGTCCATGATCAAGGACCCGGAGATCAAGTACATCTGCGGCGACTGCGGCATCGTCAACTACCTGTCGGCGCGCGACCCCATCCGCTGCCGCGCGTGCGGCTACCGCATCATGTACAAGGCGCGCACCAAGCGCCTCATCCAGTTCGAGGCCCGGTAAGCGGCCGGCCTCGGCCCAGCGAGCGACCGCGGCCTTCAACTACAGCAGCAGCAGCAGCAACAGCAGATTCCATCGCACAGCAGTCTATTGGCCGTACGATACGGAGCAGTGGGGCTTGAAGACGGAGACGGCAGAGCTGACAGCAGCTGAAGTAGGACGGCGGCGTGCGCGCGAGCGTGGTGTTAGATGCATGGCTTTCTATAATAAATATGTTGGATCATAGACTTCAAGGGCTTTAATACTGTAGGTGGCTGGACTGCACGGAGAATGTGGTGTATTGAAGGGGATGACAGCAACTTGTGTATTAGGAAATGACGTGGATCGAGTGTTGTCTGGTGTTGCTGCAGCTGCGTACAAAATCTATCTAACCTCAACAGCGACAGCGATCGAGCTACAAGCCCGTGAAGGCGAACTGCGTGAGGGCCGGGGACTCCTTCCACACGCGCAGCGCGCGCTGCTGGACGCGCGTGGCGTCGGCGAACAGCGACAAGCGCTCCGAGAGGCAGCGCACGTACTGCACCCAGACCTCCTCCTGCTCCGAGCCGAAGAGCTCCACCAGCTTCTCGAACAGCTTCTGCACCTGCGCCACATTTACCGACGTGGCCGACGTCTCGATGTCCACGCTCAGCGTCAGGAACAACTGAGTCTCTGGAGAGGGCAGCAGCTGCTCGTCCACCATGAACTTGGTGTACAGCGAGCGAACCTGCTCCAATGTGCGCTGGGAAGCCGCGCTGGAGGCCCAAGTAACGTACTGCTGACGCATGGCGCACCAGTGTGCCGACCCACGCTTCTGCGCGTCGAGGGCGGCCTTAAATGCCTTCTCGACAACACTCGGAGACTCTGCACTGCTAATTAGGAGCTGCACCAGGCGGTTGTGAATAGCAAACTGCGCGTCAAAGTCCTCCGTCGCAATCTTCGTCAGCGCCGTCTTCAACACCGACACGGCCGAGGTCAACGGGTTGGCGACAGCAGTCACAGTCTTCGAGATCGACCCACGCGACGTCCGGCGTCGCTTAGCGGACGGGGAGCGGCTCGTGCTCGTCTCTTCGTGGTCCGCGTGAAGCACGAGCTGAGACTGCAGCAGCCAGACCTCTGATGACTGGGGCAGACACTCGTCGCAAACCTTGCGCACAACCATAAGCGCATCATTCGTACCGTCCGTGCGGTGGATCAAATCAACATACTTAATAGCAAGCGACGGAGAGGTCGAGCTCGACGCCGAGAAGGCGAACTCTTTGAGCTTGGCGCGCGCGTACTCGAGCAGGAACGCCGTTTGGCTGGAAGACGCCAGACGCGCCACGAGCCAGTCCGCGAACAGCTCCTTCATGGAAAGCGTGTCCAGCTGCGAAACGCTGGTCTCGAAGTTCTGCACGACCAGCAGCTCCGCTTGACGCTCGGCCTCGGACACGTTAGCGCCATCCACCTCCGACGACTCGCCCAAACGGGACGCATCGCTGTCCTCGACCGCCAAAAATGGGCGCAGCGCCTTGGCAGCATGCACCTCCTCGCTCTTGGGGAAGTTCTGCAGGCAGTCCTCCAGAATAAAGTCCGACACCTCCGCAGCCGTGAGCGAACCGAACAGGTCGCGGATCTCCACAAACTTGAGACGGAACGCCACGTCGTCCGCAATCGCGGCCACAGCGTTCGAGTAAACGATCTTGGCGATAGCTCCCTGCAGCACAAGCTTCCTGGCGTTCATCTTGGCTGCCATCTCCTCCGACATCTCGTCGTCAGCGGCCCCTGCCTCCTCCGGTAGCTCGTCGATAAGCACGGTAGATCCGTCGTCCTCGGGCTTCTCCACCTCCTCGTCCAGACGCAGCACCTGGCGACGCATCGTCAGCTTCTGCACGTACAGCAGCTCGAGACGGAAGTACTCGAGCCAGAGCTTCTGGTTATGCTTGTTGAGACGGATCGCGCGCTGCATGAGCACACGCGCCGAGTCCACGTTGAGGTTGACGCCAAACTCGTACGACGCCGCCTCGATCCAGAGCTCGGCGCTGCGCGGGTGCGACTGCAGCGCGCGGGAGAAGACAGCGGACAGCACGCGGCTGCTTCCCTCGCGCTTGCAGAAGGCCACGTACTGCAGCCAGAGCTCCACGCTGCCGCGGTGCTTGAACAGCACGCGGTCGAAGATGTTGTGCACGCGCTTGACGCCGGCCGTGTCGCCCAGCGTGACCTTGGCGAGGCCCAGACGCTCCTTGCGCGCGGCGCGCAGCGCGTCCAGCTTGATCTCGTACTCGATGTAGCGCATGGCGTCGATCTTGCGCAGCGGCACGCGCTGCAGCGAGTACTCGAAGCCGCGGCGCTTGTCCACGATCTGGCGGATCTCGGGCGCCGAGAAGATCTTGCGCGCCTGCAGGTCCTCCAGCTCCGGCACCATCTTCTCCATCGTGATCTGCACCGTGTCCGCCATGGTCGCCCAGCTACTGTGTGTCGATGTCTGTAGGGATGTACGTCGTCTGGGTGCAGCTCCACCTCGCCGCTACTTGGTCGAATGGCAGTCAATTGGTTGGGCGTGGCGTGAATCGCACTTAGTCGCGTTTGTGTACCACATATGTGGTACATTTGTACAGCGTGTTTTGGTGACCCCATTACATTTGGACGAGTGGCCAAGTGTGTCAACATGTTCCCGGAGGACCGCTTCCACCCGCTGGGGCCGGACGCCGACCGCCTGCACGACGACCTGGTGGAGGCCACGGAGCTGGAGAGCACGCCCAAGACCTCCAGGGAGCTGGGCTCGACGCTGGTGCTGCACCAGTTCCTGCCGGCCTGGGACGTGCAGGCCTATCTGCGGGTGGCGGGCATCCGTCTGCACGTGCACAACTCCAAGTACCCGGCGTACGAGGCCACAGGTGCGGCAGCAATGGCGGCTTTATGTGGCGGTTATCCGTTATTTTAACAGTGGCGTTGTGCGTTGCATTGTATGCGTTGCAGGTGAGCTGCCCCAGCTCAGCGATGGCAACTTCCTGCTGCCCAAGGAGGAGATCATCATGCACCTGCAAACGGTGCGTTGGCTGCAGGCGGTGGAGAACTCAATTGGACTGTGTTGCTGATTGGTGTGGGTTTGTGGTCTTGCTTTGGTCGTTGCAGTTCCACAAGGACATTGACGAGTTCCTGAGCGACGCGCAGCGCAGCGAGTCGTACGCGTACCGCTCGATGCTGTCCGAGAAGCTGCAGCGCGTCATGCTCTACTGCCGCTGGGTGGACTCGGCCACGTACCGGGAAGTCACGCGCCCGCACATGAAGCGCAACATCCCGTTCCCGCTGAACCTCTTCTTGCCCAAGAAGATGCACCTGGACACGATGGAGAAGCTGCGCATGTACGGCATCTCGACCAAGGAGCAGGCCTACGTCATCGCGCGCGACTGCTACACGGCGCTCAACGCGAAGCTCGAGAGCGCTGGCTCGCCCTACTTCTTCGGAGAACAGCCCAGCGCCCTCGATGTTGCCGTCTTCGGCCACATCGTTGACGCTCTCGGCAACTCGCAGCTGGCGGCGACCGTGCACCAGCACGCCCCGCTGCTCATCACACTGTCGGAGCGCATCCGCGACGCGTACTTTGGCGCGCCCGGTGAGCAGCCCACAAGTCTCAGTGAAGAAGCTATGTATTCGGAAAACCAGGCCAACTACTTCACCAGCACCTCGCTGGACAGCGGCTTCATGAAGGTGTCGCAGCCCCTCCAAGTGGCCTTCCTCAAGCCTTACCGCAGCCTGGACTGGAGTCGCCGCGAGCTGGCCTCGGAGGTTACGGAGAAGAAGCGCGAACGGGAAGCTGAGATACACGCAGCAGCCGAAGGACAGGACAAGGCATTTGAGAAGGGCCCCCGTAACGTTATCATCGGCGCCATTGCTGCGCTGGTGCTGTATACTCTAGCCGCGCTGCCTGTAGCTGTGCAGTTCGGTGATGAGGACGACGATGAGGAGTATTACGAGGACGACGATGACGACGACGAATAGAGACCACCCCCACCTTGAAACACATCAATATGACGTTGCTGTGAGTTTTGATCTGGCGTGGAATGGGCGAATAACTCGGACCCAATGATTTCTCAAAGTATGCCCCGTTCAGATGATTCGACGGCAAGAATGTGGTCGCCAACTTCTTTCCGCTGATCGATTTCAATAACTTTAACTTACACGGTGCCATGTACAAATAAAACAGCGAGCAGGGTGGTGGTTGCTTGTGGACGCTTGTCCCTCGTTGATGCAATTGAGTCAGCGAGAGCATCATAGATCCACGGTGTCATCTGTCCCATTATTCACTCACAGCATCAGCTCCCTACGTTCGTCTTTATGAGCGAAAATGGTGGCGTACGTACCTCCCGAGATAATGTCAACAGTCTGGTCAAGCAGTTCGTCATCAGTTGGATCGAGAGCGGACAATGATACTTTCTCCAGTAGCCCGTCAAACCGTTGTTGGTCATCAAGAGTAGATAAGTCCTGTGAAACAAAGCACACAAAACAGTTAGATCAGTAAATTCGGGATGACCAATCCATACAAGAAGTGCAGCAGTCGTACGCTGACACTGTTGAACGAGACCATTGACTCGACGGCACTTTTCCACCCCTTCTGCATGATCGCCTGCCGTGCTTGACGCTCCTTATTGGCCTCCAGCTCTTTTGTGAGCAATGCTTGGCCAGGAGACGGAGCTGAAGATAAAGTCATACCCTGCTTGTCTCGCTCCTGAAGCATTAACCTGAGTCGTTGTTGATGGAACAGCTCGTACGCAGAAGCGTGACCCTCCGTCATAATCATCTGAGACCGCGGAGTCTGTGAAGAACCCCACTCTTCCCGTGGCGTGTTCAATCCTTTCCCTCCCGCAACCGCTGCCGCAGCTGAAGATGGCGGAAGACCAGCACTCGTCCCACCATTTAAATTGTTGCCGCTATTTGCCATGACACCAACACTAGTGGCGGGTACTACCACAGGCTGCGAAGACGCCCCTGATGGAGTACTCATGGATACCACTCGAGGGTGAAGCGGTGCGCCGCTGAATCCTTGATGTACTGGTGGTGGATGCTGAGAATTTTGCTGATACTGTGCATTGGCCATTGCCATCGCCATGGCCTGAGACGAATACGTATTAGGTGCTGGAGGCATCGATAATGAAGGCTGCATCGAAGACGATACCTGCCACACGCACGACGAACGAAGTCGAAGCGTTAGATCTCAGCAAAATGGTTCCATAGGATCGCATTCGGGACCGCGGGACTTACTGGCATCGGCATGGACATTTGCATTTGCATCTGCATGTGGCTCGATGTCGGAAAATTCGTAGGCACCGCGTAGTTCGGCATCACAGGCATGCTTTGTTGCATTGAGTACCCAGCGGGGTACTGGTACGACGTCGGAACTTGCTGGGGCTGGATGTGTTGCTGCGGTGGATGTTGCTGCAATGGTATTTGCTGTGGCTGAAGGTTCATGTTGTAGCCCACTCCATCGGTCATCGCGTAGACAGGGGCAGGTTGCTGATTACCAGGTACGATGCCGGTCATTAGTTGGTTGGGGTTCCCAGGGTACAATGTGTTGCCAGCATGACCTGCCGAGCTTGGGTGAAATCGTTGGCTCATCTGGAAGTTGTGAATCGAAGCAGCCACCAGATCGTTCACGTTTTGCATTGGATTCCCGGAAACACCCATCGCCGCCACTATATCCGGTTGCGACGCCGGAGCCAACGCCTGCGCACTCTTCACGAACACCGTACTTGGCATGTTCCCTATAGAAGAAGCCTCCGTTGCGGTAGCTTCGCCAACCACTTTGGTTTCCGGAGCAACTGCCACCTCTGTTTTTACAGTTGCGCCAAGCACTGCATCCGTCGCAGCAGAGGCTGGTGGGGCACCGTTCTTCTGTTGAGACGGACTGGCCTTCGAGGGTTTAGCTTTGGGTCTCTCCACATCGGCAGGAGAAGACGAAACTGTGCTCGCAGCGGCAGTCGCAGGTGATGCTGAGGCGGCCGTTGGCGATTTCTCTTCTTTGGAAGCAGCGCGGCGTCCTCGCATTAGCGATTTCCAGCGAATTTTAACTGCATCTTCTGTCCGGCCCTGTTCGGTAAACAGCGTTAGGCCATTGAAGCCACGTAAAACGGGGTCACTCTACTAACAAACCTTAAGCTGTTGCGCGATAATAGACCACCGATTGCCAAGCTTGGCTTGCATCTCGACAATAATCTTGTCTTCGTCTTCTGTGTACGACCTGCAAAGCGTTGAAGTGAACAAATGCACTCATTCGCCATACCGATGCAAGGTACAAAGTCTTACCCCTTGTTGATGTTCGGGTCCAGGTGATTACACCACCGCTCTCTGCATTGCTTGGACCTGGATCAATGAACCTATACGATTAGCATGGTCCCTACAAGCATTATCCACGACAGTCTACTTGAGAACTCACGTTCGCCCGGGAATGAGGGAGGCAACTTGTCCCCAGTTCTTTTTGCCCTCAGCGACCAGCTCCCGCAGCTTGGCGTCTTCTTCGGGAGTCCAATGGCCCTACACACAGATCGATACACCATCGCACGTGAGCGAGCTTCAAGGCAAGTAGCTACATCCCCAGCAACCCCCTTCACTCACCTTAATCAAGCCGGGCTTGAGCACTTTTGTCCACCGCTGCAGACACTGCGTGTGATTGCGTCCGGGCACCTGATCGGCGATCGCCTTCCAATTGCGCTCGCCACTGCGCTCCACCGCCAGCCTCAGCGACTCGTCCTCGTGCTTGGACCACCGTCGCGGGTTGGACTTCTCCTTGGCGGGGGGCGCCTGGTTCACCGCGTTGAGGATCAGATGCGCGCGCGGCACGCCCATGCCGCTGCCCCTCCGATCTTTCACCATGAGCTTCGCCGGCTGCGCGTGCGGCCGCTGCTGCGGCGGCGGAGGTGGCGGCGTCTCCTGCGTGGACGCCGCCGATTCCTCCTCCGTGGTGCTGCCCTGCGGCGAGCTCGTCACCTGCTTGTGCCGCTGCGAGGCCGGCGCCGGCAGCATCTTCTTCATGCTGTCGGTGCGGCCGCGCTTCTTGGGGCTTTTGGTCGGCAGCTTGGCCAGAAGCTGCGGCTGCGACGGCTCAGCGGCGTCGGCCATGTCCACCTCGTCCTGGGCGCCGCCCGGGGCGGACACGGAGATGGACGTTTGGTCCAGCGCCTTGCCCAGCTCCGTCAGCTTGGCGGAGCTCACGGGCGAGTCTTGTACGGTCGCCATCGCCTCTTGCGTCGCGTCGCGCGCGGGTCTGCCAGAGTGCCGCGCGCCGTGTTGATGGGGGGCGGAGGATCGGAAGCCTGGGGCCTGGCTGGGCTGGGCTGGGTTGGGGCTTGCTGCTAGCTCGGCGCCACCTTGCGGGCGCTTGCGGTGATTGATTTTTCTCCCGCAACAGAAAGATGAGGAGCGAAAGGACGATTTGTGTGCGCCACGCTATGAAACCTCGCAAACATGATTTGGCTACACCCGTTTGGACGATAGCACGACAACAATACTCGGAGGGTTTCCAGCGGTGGAGATGAATTCAAACGTCACGCCAGGAAGGGAGAGAGGGGGCCGTGCGATGGCTGGTGTGTTTGTTGCGTAGATCACCATCACACCCCGGAGCTTAGCTACGGCAACCTCGTCCTTGGAGCTGTAGGGTGCCGATACTGCCGCAGGCTAGTCGACTTCAAGGAGGCGGACCAATCACAGGCGACTATGCGAGCGACAGCGGTGCGGAAGCGAACGAGCTCAGCAGCCGAGCCGCCTCGCGGCAGCCAGCGTCGGGGTCGTGGTTCTGCACCTGGTGCAGCCACGGTGCGACCTCCGCCAGAGCCTCGCCCACCTCCCGCCGCAGCAAGTTCGGAGGCACCACCAGCAGCACGCGACTCAGACTGAACAGGACTTGGCGACGCACCTCGGCGTTGGTGTTGGAGCGCTCGCTCCACGCGAGCTCGAGCAGGCACTTGGCCATGGCCAAGCTCTGCGGCGCGTGACCCGCGCACTCCACAAAGCTCGCCAGAGCGTGCAGCAAATGCGCCAAAAACGTCTGCTCCACTTCGCTGCGGGGCTTCCCCGATCCGGCCGAGTGCTTTCGCACATACTCGACGTACCCGAAGAGCAGCGGTGAGAAGAACTCCAGCACGTACGGAGCGAACCCGTTTCTCTTCGGTGCAGCGAGCGGGTCACGGCGGTAGCCCCAGCGACGAGTTTTCAGGCTCTGCATCGTGCGCGTTCCCAAGTCGCTTGTTGCCGCGTTAACCTCCTCCTGAAGCAGTGCCTTAGGGGCTTGTGCTCGCCGGTACCCACCACCTCGCTCGGACAGTTCCTGGGCGGCCGAGGTCATCGCCTGCAGCGCGTCAATGCGGGACTGCAGCAACTGTTCACGCTCCAGTGCCTGACTACACAGATATGGCACTGTCGCAGTCGGTGCCAGGGCACACGCCGAAGCGAGTGCCTGGGAGCGCAGCTTGGTAAATTGTGGTGTGCTGAACTTGTCTTCAAGTCGCAGCAGCGCCCTGACAACGTCGTGGGCTTTATCGTTCAGATCTCGCGGCCGACGACGCAGTAACGTTTCAGCTTCGTTCAATGCAGCCTCCGTTTTCTCGCGACCATCGTCCGACAAAAGACCCGCCACCAGGTCCTTCAGATACAGTGGCCGCTTGGCTGTTAGGTCTTCCTCGTCGTCCTGCAAGTCGTAGGCTTCTAGGCTCATATCGGAGTCAGACTCGTCGCCGTCGACACTGGATTCGGAATCGACATCAACGTCCGAAGCGTCTGCATCCTCGTCGTCACTGAGCACCAACTCGTCCGGATCAAGGGCAAAAGGCTTGGACTGGCGCTTGTCGGGGCTCTTCCTGTGGACTCGATTCTCACTACTGGAGCTACGGTTGGAGCTGGACTGGGTATCACGCGGCGAATCTTTCGTCGTAGTCTCGCCTAAATTCAGGTCTGTGATGCCTTGTTCGAGCTCCTCAGGTAGCACGGGGCATCCATAAATCGTCAGGGGGTCTTCATCCTCAAGCCCGAAGTCCAGCGGGTTCTCAGATGCAATAACGTGCGACAAGCTCTCCCCCACACGCATTCCCAACGCTCGTACACGCTCCAGCGAGTGGCTCATATGATCTTGAACTCCCTTGCAAAGCTTTGTAATCCAGTCTTGCTGGGAAAATGACGTCCCTCCATCGCTCATCGTAAGCTTCTGTAGGCTGTAGCGAAGGAAAAAGCACACGGAGGCATTGACGGTATACTCAGTGTTGACTGCAAAATCGCTTTGACTCCAGCGCGAAAGTACCACATCAAACACGGATGCTAACGGAGACCGGTCATCATCGGATAGCGCCAGTACGTCAACCAGTGCGCGCCAAAAGAAAAGGTCGTCTATCGGCTTCCGAAGGAGCAACTTGTGCGCAACCACGTATTGAAAGTGCCTATTGGCGCACAGGTCCGGGGGAACTTGAGCTAGAAGCCTGTACTTTGGGAGACACAGCGCCTGCTTAGCGGGTGGCGAACGCGGAGTCTTTTCACTTGCAATCTGGAGCAAAATCTGTTCATGGCACGACTCTGGAAGGCTTTGGAACAGCACGTGGTTCATCTTTGTGTTCGGCTTGGAGTCAATAAATCGCATCCAGCTCTGAACAAGGGCTTGTGCTTGCCCAATACGTGTGAGCTTGTCTGCAAACATCCGAAAGACCCGCGACTGCCCCACAGGAGTTTCGGTGCGGAACAAACTGTCAAATAGACCATCGCAAAGCATCGGGAAGTACCGTCGCGGGCGAAACGTTGCCGGAGTATCGCGCTGTCGCCGATTGTAAATGAGATCTGCACGTACAGTAGTTTGACCATTCACGCCTTGAGTCAGTCAATCACAGCTAGACAACAACTCATCTGGCACGGTGATGTACCTGGTAACGAAGAGAGTTGGGCTACGAGAACCTGAAGACCGATTACACTTTGACCACCCCCACGCACTGTCGGTTGCTAATACATCAGTAGTAACTCAGCACGTGGAAGCAACTCGACACCTAATGCAGCATTCCACCCACCTGTTCCTGCGCCAACATTTCTGCCACGATGTCATTTACGGGACCGTCGGCAAAGGCTTTCTCCAGGAGCCGGGTGCACTGCGTGATGGAGGCCTCTGCGTCCTCTTCTGCTGTTTTATCCGCTGCATTTGCTCCTGATTTGGTGGCGGACAGCGTCGACACCAACGCGCCAATGGCTCTGCTTGCCGGCACGGATTCGCGCTCGAAGAAGACGTCGAACGCCTGCAGTCGGTCTGTCTCGGAGAAGCAGATCTCAAGGTGGACGGCCACGAAGCCCAGCACGAACGCTGTGACATCTCGGTAGAAATGCTCCAGGTACAGGCTCTGTAGCAATTGGAGCAGCGAAGCAATGCGTCATATTAGATGTAGCCACCGCGAAATGATGAGGACGTCGAGCTGATACCTTCCACGCAGAAGAGAAGCGCTCGGCGCTGTGCAACGGTGCGGCCAGCTCGTGTAGCTCGGCGACAGCAGAATGCACGTCGTAGCGCTTCTCAGCGGCCTCGACGCTCCGCTTCTTGGCGTCGACGAGCGCGCGCAGCCGCTGCACCTCCGCGTTTCGCTCGGAGGTCATCGGCAACAATTAATTGCAAATAGTTGAGATTGTCTCAATTACCAATGTCAATAATCAGTATTGCTCTTTTAGCATCAAATGGACGTCGACGAGGACGTCGCGGCGGCGGCGGGCCAGCTCTCGCAGGCGGACATCATCGAGCGGCAAGCGGAGACCATCGCGCGGCTGCAGCGGCAGGTGCGCAAGGGCAGCGAGTACAAGCAGCTGACCAAGTCCAAGCTGAAGGAGGCGGCCGCGCGCCTCAAGGAGTACCGCCTGCGCGTGGAGGCGCTGCAGGAGCAGCAGGACAAGGCCAAGAAGCAGCTGAAACGCGCGAGCTTAAAGGCGAAAAGGTCCGTGAAGGACGCTTTTACTCAGACGGACGAGAAGAGGAAGCTGACGCGTGCGAGTCAGACGCAGTTAAGTGGTGCCGTGCAAGGAGTTTACAAGAAGACGCTGGTGGACAATGGCGTGCAGACGGTGGAGATTTCGGTGGACAGTGGTGTGCCCAGGAAGAGAGGCAGAGACCTGGTGCCCAGGCTGTCGCGCGACCTGAAGGAGGTGGACACTCAGGCGCTGATGGAGGACGTTGCTGCTGCTGGACAGGACGCAGCAATGGTGTGGACGTCGACGGAGCCTCTGCAGCTGAAGATTCCGATGCTTGGGACGTCGGACGCAGCCTTCCCGCACGAGACGAGCGCAGCGTTGGACGCCGAGTTGGCGTTCAGTGACTCGGAGGACGGAGAGGAGGACGCTAGAAGGGAGAACGCTGCAGTGGAGACGAAGGAGGCTGAAGCTGGTGGATCTGGATTAATTGGGGGCTTCGACCCGACGGTGTTGGACGAGATCGACAAGGAGCTAGCCAGTAGCAGCGACGAGGACAAGGGTGGAGAAAGTGACGAGAAGAAGAGAGTGGACGCTACCGTGTCCAATGGCAAGCGGACACTGATGTCTATCGACGATGAGCTTGACGATGAGTTTGCAGCTTTGGATTCCGAGTCTGAGTCAGAGCAGGAGAAGAAGATGACGGATGGAAAGAAGGAGGATTCAGGTTCCAGCTCCAGCAGTGGCAGTGATTCAAGCGACAGCAGCGACATCGACTCGGATGAAGACGCGGACGATCCAATGATTGGTACTGCGGACAAGAAGGGGGTGAGGTTAGCGCGCGGTGGAATTGCCATCGAGAAGAACGCAACATTGGGAATCAGCAGCTTCACAGCAACTCCAGTTGTTGCTGCGTCCATAGAAGAGATTTACTCTCCAATAGTGGAAGTCGAGCCCCAGTCAAAGTTCCCCGAGCCTCTACAGCTGAATGGTTCAGCAGAAGCAATTAGCCAGTCAGAGGAAAAGCCCAGCGTTCATTCTGCGTCTCAGCAGACACCAGTTCTAGCAGACGCTGTCAACGCGAACAAGGCTGCGGATGAAGACGTCGTCAATGCTTCTGGAACAATCGGAGCCATGGACATCGAACCTTCGTCATCATTTGCGGACTCTTCAAGCATATCACCATCGGAGCAGGCAACAGTTGTGTCTCCACCAAGCAACCTGGATGAACTAACAGACGCAGCAGATTCTACTCAGTCAAGCGCAACTTCGGCGGTTGTATCTCCCAATCCTGCTGTGAGCTCGATGATGATGCTTGCTGAATCTACCGACCAAGCCGAAGGATCTGAAGGTAGCCCTACTGATCCAGAGGCGGCTTCGGCGGTTGTCTCGCATGATTCTGCGTCGATCTTGATGGTGGAGCCTGCCAAACGCTCTGAGCAAGATGACTCTCATGGTAGCAAGACTCCAGCTCATGCGCAGCCTTCTGCTCCGACGAAAGGCGACGTCATTGGAAAGACCCGGAAAGCAGAAGAGGCAAATCTGGATAGCAATACTCAAACCATCGCTAAGAAGAAGGTAAAGGATGGAGGGGGGGCCTCTGTACCAGTCGTGGACGCAGCGCAAGAGCAGACAGCATATCCGCCTACAAGTGCAACTGCAGAGATCAAAAAGGCTGACAAGAAGCCTGCAGCGAGATCCAAATCCAAGGAAGATGTGCAGATCAAGAAATCCCTCACAGGGTTCATGAAATCCATCGCCCTGACCAAGGGGGAAGAAGCCGATAAAGACTACGCGAGGCGCACCATCGCTCAACTGGTTAACCAGAGCTCCAAGTTTGTCGATACAAACCTTGCTCACGTGGTAAGCTGCACTGAACGTTGTCTGTATGCTTGTGTATGGCACGAAGTTCTAACCTAATTATGTATTGTTATTATTATTTGCAGAGAACACTGTGTCAAGTTCTTGCCGATTTCTATCGTGAGCTGGGAGTCGCACCAATGACCGTGCTGCGTGGAGTGCTAGGGATTTTCCGGGCCCCACGATCACGACGCTTGTTGCAAGACCGAAGGCTGGGCCTTAGCTGGCTATGTAATGAGCTGCTGTTAGAATTAGTGCGTATCGGCGACGCAACTTCGGGATCGCTGTGCCTGTCATCGGTGGAGGAGTGCTTAGAGCATTTACGAGGATTTCTGGTCGAGGAACGAGCAAATATCGGCGACGCTGTGACATCCAGCAAAATGCAACTACAAATTCCACCTCGGCAGAACTCCGTCAGTCACGACAAGGTGTTCTTGGCGCACATCTGCGCTCTACACACGCACCTTTGCCAGTCAACAGAGCAGGTCAGTCGCTCTCGAGTGCTTCTCTTCGATCTACTGCGGGGCAATATGGACATCAGGGGGCTGTACTTCGCTGCGATTATGGTGGAGACCTACCCTGCGATAATGGAGCGAAGTTTTGACCAGCACTGCGTCGAGCGTCAGGATATACTAAAGGAAACTCTACTACAAGCTCTGACTGCTATCGCTTGCGTGGCTGCTGAAAGGCAAGAGCTGTTACTGCACCAGTCGAGTCATACGATGCTGCATCGCATCGCTGATGCCATCCAGATGCCTGAGCTGGAGGAAGTGAACGGAGCAGACCCAAACTTTGCGAAAAGATGGGTGCAAACACTGTACGATAAACTCGCGATTACTGTCACAGCAGCGGAGTACTACGAGCTGGCCAAGAGTCTGGAGATATGCACAGCAGTGTTCGGCCTTGACGTCGTCACGCAGATCTTTAGTATCGAACGGTGCCAAGAGCTGTTTAGTTGTGGAGCTTTGGAGACCAAGGGTGGGGTCATTTCGGTGATTAGCCATGTAGCGCTGGCTGTCGCATCAAAGGCGAGTGATACGCAGAACCCCAGGACTCGGACCGAGTGGTTTGTGGATACCGTCATCGACTGGCTGTACCACATCCTAGACACAGAATTGAGCGGTGATGACGCTTCAACAGACGATGGCTTCAAGCTGCTGGCCAAGTGTGCGGAAGCTTGTGTAGAGTTGACGCTGGAATACTCGGGAGCGGCTGGGCTGGATATGCGTCGCCGGGTGTTGTCTGCAGTGGCACGCTGGTTTGACGCGGCATCATCCGATCAACTTGTCGGTTTGCCGGCAGCATTTTTGAGGCGACTTCGTCTAGCTGTGGTGGCTGCACGCCCACAGATCATGCGAGCAGCAGGCTAAGTAAGAGACTTGGCTGCTGAGCCCGTGCTGGTTCCAAAGCAGCAAAGCCGTCTGATCCAGGCGCAAGTTCATTAGAGGAGCTCGTCAAAATGACAGAAAGTCTGGGATCAATTGTCTGCTGTAGGTACCTCACTGTGGGCAAATTTAGGTTAATGAAGTACAGCAAGTTAGAAGTTTTAGCTGCTGCTTTAGTTACGGCCTTAAACTCTATGGTCTTTTTTTGTTAGCTCTTCATCATCTTACTGCGTCTTCTTCTGCTCTGCCGGAAGATCAGCCTTGCCAACTGTCAACAGCGGGCGGAAGGTGTTGATGAAAGTGTAGCGCGAGAACGCCACGAAGAGCCTGTGGTCCACACAAACTGACTCTGGTGCAGCGCCATCGCGTTGTAGTTCCATCTCGGCTTGCAGACAAACACGAATTGGCGCTCCTCTTCCTTCTCGTCCTCCTTCCGGCACGCCAGCCAGTACGACAGCGCCGCATCCAGCAGTCCGACATACTTCCTCAAAATGTTGGTGCTCTCCAACGCCCACCCACGAACCACCTTCGTCTTCTCGGTCTTCGAGTCGGCATTATCCTCCCCATCAGCAACAGCAGCAGAGCACTTCTCCTGCTGCTCACGGACCGCTCGCTTCACTCCGTAATGCGTCGCAATGTGGTTCGCATGGCCCGATACGCCATAGTCATCGAACGTGAAGACCTACAGCCAAAAACAATAAAATAACATGAATAACTCGAAAACTATGCGAATGCTTCATAACTTCCGATGTACTCACCGCGTCGATCTTGTGCTTTTCCATATACTCCGTGACAATAGCGGCAATGTGCGCCACATCCCACTGGTTCTTCATGCCGTCCCGAAGCTGCGGGTCTTCGAGTACTTTGACATGATGACAGGCCGATGTACGTGGCGCAGGCCAGGAGCTCCTTCACTCGAATATCCCCCAACCCATCGAAGTTGCCGCGCGAGAGACACAGCAAGTGCGCGATCCACTTGTCGTTGCTGCCCTCTTGGGGCTGCTGCAGCGAGTGCACTAACGGCAGGAAGCTGGAGATGTTCAAGTACCTTTTGCTGGGCACGAACGTCTTCCTATTTCTCAGCGGCCACCGTGTTCTTCACGGCCTCAGCGTCGGAGACTTCCGCGTCCTCGTCGGGCCCCGCGCAGTTCAAGCGGGCGCTCATTGTAGGTCACAGCGGCATCGTTGCCGCGGACGCGGTGGCAACGTTGAGCGCCGAAACGATGCAGTTGCATGGTGCGGTAGGGTAAGTAGCCTCTTGTTCACACACGAAGCGATGTGCCTGTAGTTGGCCGCTGGCAGCAAGCTTAAATATCGGCATAATGACTGCACGAACGCGTGCATGCAGTCCGTGGAGCTGTTCCACTCAGAGGTGCAGCCGTTGTAGGGCACGGAGTTACGATGAAGTTGGCAGACGTAAACTAAGAGGGACAAATAGCTCGTAACGGTTCTACATGTACATTTTAATGTAGTAAATTTTATGCTTGAGCGTACATCATAGTAGTTGTGAAGGCGTGGCAGCCAGGGAACGGTGTTGCCAGTGGGCTTCCCGAGATCCTCCAACCCCCTCTTACCTAATCATTACAGTCCAGCAACAAAATGCAACCACGTATTCTGCAACGGCGATAATACCTAGATCTTATACCTACGACGCTGAGGTGCGGAGGAGCTCCACACTGCTGCGCGGGCGCTCGGCGCGCGCCATATCGCTGCTGGGCTCGACCTTCGGCATCGGCGAGTTACTCAGTATCTCCTGCAACTAAGCCACTGCCTGCAGCCATACTTTTTGTCGATGCTACAGCGTAGACTGGTTTGCGTATGCGCGCTCTATCCGAATCTCCATCTCCTATGTAGTGTTAGTACTTTACTGAAGAAAGGAGAGTTGGCGTGGTGGGGTGAACGACTGTTGTCGTTCACCCCAGTAAAGCGAAGAAACATTGCTCCACTACGGGAACAAACGGTCGCATGATAACTGTGCTATGATGTCCTTACATTCCATTCATGGCAAGTATATTTAAATCTTCTAGCAGGAAGTTAGTGCATGGCGTCAGGATCAAAGGCCCGGACATTTCAAGGGGCATTTTTCAAGTGCGCTGCCTCTAGTAAAGGGGGCAAAATGCGCACACAGATAAATCAGTCCAATTTACGAGCCGAGATGCAGCAACACTCGAGACTACATAATACAATATTAACCAATGAAATTGCTACATTTGATTTGTCGTCAAACTGTCTTACGAATGCTCGACACAAGTGATTGTAAGCATAGTACATTTCGGAAGTGCTTGATTAGAGTTAATATGAAGTAATAGATGGATGGCTTGATACATTCTTATCACTACTTAGCCACGTACAAAAGCAATATTGTACAGCAAGACATATGAAATCACAACCAAGCAAAGAAGCGTGGAGTAGATACCGAAGATCTCAAGACTATTCGCTAACTCAGCTGGTGTTCCTGCTGGTATGACCCGAGCCCGATTCACTCGCTTGACCAGATGCAGCGCAATTAGCAAACACGTTTCACAGCTGATCGCCTTTAATACCCTTCATTTAATCGCAATATACTATACCGGCATGCTATCGAGGCTCGATCGGACAAGATCTGGCAAGACAAAAATCACAGTTATGATACCTAAAGATCGTCTGCAGCGCGTCCTCGTCCAGCATCTTCGGGAAATAAGTACGAGTACGATATCATAGCTGTATGGAGCGTAAGTTATGCAGCTCCTGGTTGCGTGAGAGGAATGCAGCGGCCGCGTTGGCGACCTGGACGATGGAGTGCTGCTGCAGGGCCCGCATCTTGGTCATAAACCTCTGAGCAGTAATATCTGCGAATGCGCTTGAGTCCAAGAGGAAATAGGCAGTGGTCAATACGGAGCGTTGAGCTCCGAAGCTGTTGGCTCGCTGTCGAGCTGTGACTCGAGGATGTAGGGAGAGATGATGTCGATGCCCTCTCCGTCTATGACTTGCTGCTGCAGTGTCGGGTCTGGGATGCAGTTGCAGATGCTTCCGAGGGAAATTTCTACCATCTTATGCTTCAGTGAAGCTCGAGCCGATGTGGTCGTTGCAGGTCCTTGCTGCTTGGCTTCATCCTCGTTGTTGCTGTTGGTGGTAGAGTCTTAGACTTCTTGGTCGGCGTCTAGGATGTCGAGGAAGAGGTCCAGGATGCGCAGACGAGCTAGCGAGCCATACTTGATGGGGTCAGTGGTGAAGTTGGCCAGGTTGGCCACGACTTCTTCCTTGCGGAGTATGTCGGGTGAGCGCTGGAACTCGCCCGCCAACAGCTGCAGGTATTCGAGGCGAACAGCAGCTTCTCGTAAGACTTAAAGGGTTCACAATGCTGCGGCACATGGGGTTGGCGCAGCCAGCGCAGTTGAGCGGGTATGCGGGCGAGTGCAGCTCCTCCGTGCCCAGGTGGTGCTTCACGAGCTCGGATCTTTATCAAAATTGGCCACAAATCCATCAGCTTGGGGCCACAAACCTCACCGAAGAAGTACCGTCGATAGCCGATTGCTGTCCAGGCGACCGGTACAGCATTGCAGCACAAGTGTCGAACTGCAACGCAACTCAAGTAGCGGAACGCGTCACAACGAAGTCTAAGCTAGTGCACGTTTTGCGGTTTCATTACAGACTGCTACAGATAAGTATCAGCGGCCAAGTCACGACTAGGTCATGACCTAGACACATGGTATTCGTAGGTATCACCACATTAACCCCGTGTTACCTGGCAAATATCAAAATCAGGTCATCACCTAATTGCTGTGTTCCTATTGGCTCAACATTCGCGTTTTCTCAACAACTCTTCCAGAACCAGTCGACCCCGCGACGCTGCCGCCGCGTACGACGTCCGTTATGGACGGTGAGTTGCTGTGCATGCATACTCTTTTCGGCTCTCTCTTCGTAGCCGTGGTGATGAATCTAACCTACCTCATTTTGCTTTGCTAGCGGGACCGTCCTCTACATCACGAGCGCCGACGCGTGGCCAATAGCCACCAAGCGGCTGCGGCAGCCCCACAAGAAGGTGATCGTCGTGCCCCATCACGTTTCAGTTGCTGTATGTGAGGGAAAGCTTACATAGCACTTCGTGCAGGTGTTCGTGCAGGTGCTCTGCAGCTTTGGCTCGCTTCCGCTCGACCTGCAGGACAAGCTCACTAGGTGTGCATGTATCCACGAGCATGAGGCTGGACGTGCACTAGAGCAAACTACTCTTGTATGAGCACACCTACCTTGTGGTGCTGAGCCTACCTGAGCCCGAGTCGCTGGACTTCGACTTACCAGGCCCAGCGCGCAACACAGCAGCACAGCATGTAAGTGGGTGGGTGTAAAGGCCCTCTAGTGTCGGTGAATTTTAATTGGAGGCTAACCAACGCATTATCGGATTCGGTGACATGGACATCAGAAGATGAGAAGCCATTGACCCTTCAATTTAGACACTCAAGCCTCCAGTCAGGTAAGAAGTTGATTTATTAGTATGATGTTATGCTACACGAAGGGTACTAATTAACTTGTTTGCTGCGCAGTAACTTCGAGAATCCATCTATGCTTCGACGCCCCCGTTCAGAGTCAGCCTTGGCGATGGCTACATCGGCTGTCATCCCCCCTCAACCAACTTGCGTACGTACTTGATGACATACAACCGTCTCGAGAAATACTTCGTTTCCTTTGCTGATGATCTCCATTTTGTCCCAAATGTCGACTCTAGATATTTAATAGAAGGTCGGTTGGCCAAGCCTTCATGCCATTCAACCCACAGCTCTTTTACCGTTGATGTTTGACGACTCATACTGTATTGTGGTACAGCCGATGAGCTGAGAGGCGGGGTCAGTTGTTGCTGCTGTTGGGTGTCAGCTGATTGTTCAACTCCGTCACCACCTCGTATTGTCGTCTGGCTGTGGAGTCTGCCTGAGGAGTCCGGCACAGGTTGCAACCGGAAAGTAACCTCGCCCTGGAGAAACGAGGTAAGTTGCTGCTGCGAGTGTTCCACCAAGTTGACTAGTTGCCGGTGACCTGATAATATCGTATCCATGACTGCGGAGTGCTGTGTACTTAGTTGCTGCGCGAGTAAAGGCATTGCAACTCGAAGTTGCATCTCCACGGGGTGCTCAGTTGAGTTGGCCCTGGCAAGTGCCTCAGAGCGGTATTGCTGGAACTGTTCACCATATATTTCATGCTGTTGAACAGTAGTGGGCAGGAGCTCATACAGGAATGCAGCGTCCTCAAGCACGACGATCCGTAAGTACTCCAGCAACTCGATAAATCCACGTGCTGCCAAATTTTGTTCCCAGTCTCCATCCAATTTTTCTTCTTGTATGTTTCAAGATCAGGGGAAATCTTCCGTTGCAGGTCTTGGGGAGGATCCACACAGGCTCGCTCCAGATAGTACAGCCGCGAACGTGCGGGGTGCCCTGACAAGGCGCGCATAGCTTCCCGTGCGAGCGGAGCTGAGTATACACCCTCCATTGTGTCTTGCCCCCATCTGCCATGTCTACGAGTTTGGGAGCTGTCCACATCGCAGTGTTCACGCTGCCGAACGCCCTGCTGTCTATTGATGTGCGTCTTGTTGTTAAAAGTTAATCCGAGACGATTGAACACACTCTCGTAACTTTTCTTGTGGGTATTGTACGAAATTGACTTCGTACGAGTGCGACCACGCAAAAACTTGACGTCATACCAATCTTTTGCTGTACGAAAAAAAGGAAAGGGCTCCAAATCGATATGAAAGCGCTAGAATAGGTAAAACGCAACTGCACCCACAGGGCATACGCGAACATCTTTGTTGCGAATATAGCCGACGTGCTGGAGCTTCCCGTACGTGTTTGTCTTTCCGTGCTGGATTAGTATCACCAGAGCGATACAGGTCTGAAATCCTTCTCCATCCAGCACCTGAGAGAACATGTCGGCCAGCTCGAGGTCACGTGCGTTCTCCCCGCGTAGCAACCCAAAGTGCGATACCAGAAACGCCGCCTGCCCACGCAGATCGCCCAAAAGAAAAAAAGTGTCACAAATCTGTCGGAATTGCTCCTCAGAGTGATACCCATCGAGCAACGAACCAACACCACGATCTTGGTAGTTCTTTTTCCGTGTTTCTGTTGTTTGGGCTTGTACATTCTTTATCAGCTGCTTGACTTGAGCAGACCGGGGATGGACATTCGAGTTAATCTTCAGCGCGACTCGTTGGTTGTAGAGATCGACGATTGCATTCACTTAGCCGCAAACAGTCGAACCGCCAACGAACGTGCCCTTCTTCTTCTTGGATTCTCGACCTACCGCCTGCTCCGTCAGGAAAAGGTGAAGCTTCCCTTTTGTGACCGTAGCTCCATCGCAGAAATGCTTTTCACTGCACCAACTCTGAAACTCAGTCTGATAGCTTTCATACTTTCTCTTCGTGTTGATCGGACGCGTATCTAGAGTTGCCTGTACGGTAGCCCGTTCGCTCGCTTCTATCTGCATCTGCACCGCACTGTCATCAGCCTGCTGCCCCTGCCCCGAAGGTGCCGTTGCTGCCGCATAGGAGCGGATTGAGATGCCAGACTTCCTCCCCATATTGCGACCTTCTGTGTTGTCCCGAATGAGTTCAGGTAAAAAAAGAAAAGTATCATAGTTAGGTCCCAAATCTGATAGTGACTCGGGTCATGACCCCTGTACCCAGCTGTGATGATACCCATTAAGTACAAACCGAACAGGGTGACCCAGGTCGTTCCTCCCCGGGGAAGGTCGCAGTTCGTACATGGCAAAACTTCGTTTTAAAAGTATGTGCTGTGCACGCATACGTATTGATCGTACAGAAATCGAGACCCGATGTGCAGACCTTGTCAATTTCTCCACTTTTTGCTTTAAAGTGGCACTTTTTCTCAGCAGGAAGTGGAAAAAGTGGAATCCATACAATATCCAAGTATAATTACTAGCCCTCTGACTAAGTACATTGCAGGTCAGTAGTAAGTACTTAAGCAACCTTTGTGTTAGACTGCGAGCTCGCTGTGCATCGGATCGCTGCCCCCGCTGGTACATCCAAACCTCGTTTCGCATCGATCAAAATATATACCCAAATGTATAAATTGACAACAGTGGCAACCGCATATCTGCATACGCGTGGCGGCATGGTGCCCCCCCCCCCCCCTTCGTGGCAGTACGGGGAACCCCGTCTTGCTTCCTAGCTTCATTTACCGCACCTATGACGCCTTTGCGTCGATGAATCATTCACTTGTGTCGAGCATTCGTAAGACAGTTTGACGACAAATCAAATGTAGCAATTTCATTGGTTAATATTGTATTATGTAGTCTCGAGTGTTGCTGCATCTCGGCTCGTAAATTGGACTGATTTATCTGTGTGCGCATTTTGCCTCCTTTACTAGAGGCAGCGCACTTGAAAAATGCCCCTTGAAATGTCCGGGCCTTTGATCCTGACGCCATGCACTAACCTCCTGCTAGAAGATTTAAATATACTTGCCAGGAATGTAATGTAAGGACATCATAGCACAGTTATCATGCGACCGTTTGTTCCCGTAGTGGAGCAATATTTCTTCGCTTTACTGGGGTGAACGACAACAGTCGTTCACCCCACCACGCCAACTCTCCTTTCTACAGTAAAGTACTAACACTACATAGAAGATGGAGATTCGGATAGAGCGCGCATACGCAAACCAGTCTACGCTGTAGCATCGACAAAAAGCATGGCTGCAGGCAGTGGCTTAGTTGCAGGAGATACCGAGTAACTCGCCGATCCCGAAGGTCGAGCCCAGCAGCGATATGGCGCGCGCTGAGCGCCCGCGCAGCAGTGTGGAGCTCCTCCGCACCTCAGCGTCGTAGGTATAAAATCTAGGTATTATCGCTGTTGCAGAGTACGTGGTTGCATTTTGTTGCTGGACTGTAATGATTAGGTAAGAGGGGGTTGGAGGATCTCGGGGAGCCCACTGGCAACACCGTTCCCTGGCTGCCACGCCTTCACAACTACTATGATGTACGCTCAAGCATAAAATTTACTACATTAAAATGTACATGTATTACCGTTACGAGCTATTTGTCCCTCTTAGTTTACGTCTGCCGACTTCATCGTAACTCCGTGCCCTACAACGGCTGCACCTCTGAGTGGAACAGCTCCACGGGTTGCATGCACGCGTTCGTGCAGTCATTATGCCGATATTTAAGCTTGCTGCCAGCGGCCAACTTGCAACGTTGAGCGCCGAAACGATGCAGTTGCATGGTGCGGTAGGGTAAGTACCCTCTTGTTCACACACGAAGCGATGTGCCTGTCCACCGCGTCCGCGGCAACGATGCCGCTGTGACCTGAACACTTTTGGCCAATTGTATGGCGCAAACTAGTGTCCAAACTGTCTTATGTTTTGACAGACAATATGCAATGTAGCCACTGGTATACAAAAACCAAGATGTAGTCAAAACGCGTTGATCGGAAAACGTAAGACGCTTTGTCTTATGATAGGCATTCTGGGGCTAAGTATCGTCTTACGAAAGAGCATGAATCTGCGTTGATGAGCTATAACGTGCCGCACGTTCGGAAAATAAAATATAAAATTGATTTGGGAATCTAAGAAAAAATAATCCGTTATTCCATTTCTTGAGGCTCCCGTAATAATAATTATAATTATTATTGTGTATTATTGGGGCAATACTGAACCGTAAAACTAACATTTGGGGCGTATAAATGGGTTTTAACCGGGAACTTTAGTGTTTTAGCGACTGAAGTCTGGTGAAAACTCAATACAGTTACACCTCCCTAAATGAACCCCTCTAACTGACCATGTGTTCCCTATCTGGTTAGGATTCCTCGACTGCAAATGGGATTATATGGATTTCACTATAGGTGTTCTATAACTGATCAAAAACCTCTTTATTCTCTAAATGGTCGCAATTGTTGGCGCCTCAACCCTCTAAATGGACGCCGTACTAATAGATCCAAACTCATATATTTTTCTCAATCACTTGCCAGCCTCCTCCCACGTATGCCATTGCTACCACTACTCCCGCCACAAGAAATCGAGCGAAGAAATTGTATTTCGGATGCTAAGTTGGAACAAAGAGTTTGCAGTAACTGCAAGCTTGTGATAAATAAGCTAGCCACAGTATTTTACAATCAGCGCAGCGTACATATATATTTTACGAAAAACTAAAATATTATGATGTCGAGACAACTACGGGCTATGCAGTAGATACCAAGCAAAAGATAAAACTGCAGGCATGGTGGCAGGATATCGGGACAATAAATATTCCAATAACCTCGCTATATTGAAACTCACGTACAACCTGAGGGGATGCGATTCTGCTAATACCAATGAGAAGAAGGAGTAGGAACAGACAATGCCGCGCCTACCGTTATTGGTTGAGTTCTGTTTGTGTGAAGACGAAACAAAACAAGAGTACGAAAATGCTGGAGGGGTACCAGGTAAAGAAAGCCCTTGTGTACCTAACATTTGAAAATGTAGCCATTAGAAGTGTAGACATTTCTTTATCTGACCAATTCTTTAACTGAAACAGCGTATTAGACCGAGCGAACTGGGTGTCATTTATAGAGGTGTCACTGTATACTTATTATTGGTACAATATCATATTTTACGGAAACCCGGAAAATCCAATAATAAGTTATTCCGTCAATATAATACTATAATTATTATATTATACTCATTTTTTCCGAGCCCTGAACGTGCGAACTTCGCTATTGCCGTGAGTGTAGCTTAGCAAAAGTTACGGGTATTTCGTTACGAATAGAAGCACAGCCGTGTTCGTCAACTCCAACAGCATTTTTGCAGTTTCCGCCATGTATGTCATGCATCTGTACTGTGTCAGCGCCCTTTTGACAGCTATGTGAGTTCTATTGTACGTGGCATCGTCCAGAAAAGACTTGAACTTTGGTCATTCTTACCAAAATTTGTTTCACCTTTAAGGTTCGCCAGAAAGTGGAAAAGGTGGAAATTGTTCTGATTTTGCCACTTTTAAAATGATCTGCGGATGTGTATACAATTTATTGTGCTTTGCAGACTTTTTGGCGCTTTGAACTGTAACTCGTACGACTTATCGAGCACGACAAATCTATAAATCGTACTTGAGTACGAATTTTTGTAAGTCGTGGATGCTCGATCAGCACTAAGTAGTACACATATGCTATCTCCTGCATGATCTAGGACATCTAGTACGGATTAACAACCTTTTGGCACTTTTAGAAAGTGCCATTTCCAAGCCAAACCGGCTTCGAAACACGACTTATTCATATGACCACTATGTTTTACTAAGTACGAACACTAAGTAGTGCACTAAATAGGAGGGCAAACTGGATGCAAAGCACAATACAAGATACTGTAAATAAGATATCAAGGGCTTTGTAGGAGTTCCTTATCATACCAAATCAGTACAACGATGTGATAGAGTTTTAATGGTTACAAGATTTATCATCTTCTTTATTGAGGCACATCACCGTCTACTGCTGTTTCCCAAACCGCGGGATCTCAAAGTAGATTGGAGACGGCATCAGAAGAAAGTGCTGCTGCTTTGGAGAGTGCACACCTCCACAGCGTTTCATGGTATATGGAGGCTTCGTAATGATATCTACTTTCATGAGACGAAGGCTGACAAACCAAGCACACAAAGCGTACATTCGGCCGCCATTGTCAATTTCTTTTTTCGGCATTCAACAGAGCTTGGGTTATATAAACATGCAGTCTGTGTTACCCTCCGGAGATTGGGATTCGAAGAACCCTGTGAAGAACTTATTCCCCCGCCATCAAGACGGATTTGGATTCCCACGTTGAATGGCGTACGGTAGTGCAGGTCGAGTGAGGGATGGCGACCATGATCGAAGTTGACGTTACATGTCACTATTTATATGATTCGATGTCACTCTAACGGGGTTTACAGACGCGTGTCACCCCGTCAAAACAGGGTGACCCGGGTCGTTCCTCCCCGGGGAAGGTCGCAGTTCGTAACATGGTAAAAACTGCACATAATAGAAAATGTTACACCTGCACGCATAAAAAAAATCATGGCGTTAGATGGCATCCGCTGTGCGAATTGAGTGATGAAGCCATTTTTTGTTTTTGTCGCCATAATAAATTGAAGAACATGCTTACCATTCTTTCTTCTTCTTCCTGCAGAGTATACGGGTAAAAATTGAGCTAAGGACAATAAACTCAATAGCTCGCTCATACTCATGCAGAAGCAAGCATTTCCAAAGCACTTCATATTGGTAAGCAGCTGCCCTTTCAACAACAGTCACCCCGAAGCAACATTTATTTTTCGAAAAGAGGAGCGGTGACTCGCCATTTCGCGACTCGAGAAATTCTGACCTGAGAGCTTCAATAACATGCCTTTGCGATATGCTGCATTAATTAGTTCATGGAGCGATCCCCGCACCGTTTTGGCTCTGATATCTCTCCCATAAACTAGTACGTGTTCAAAATCTAGAAGATGGCCTCTTACGTATTCGCATTTCTGAGCTGCTTCATGGAAACTAAAGCCTACGGTATCGGTCTGATAATAATACATGTACCGACATACTCGCGGTGAAACCGATATCAACAAGATACAGTCGTAATGAGTCTAAATAATATATGTAGGCCATAGACTCGGAAAAACACTCTACTAACTAACGCGATTAGTGGTCGGTCAAGTGAGGGGTAGCGACTGTGATTGAAGTTGACATTGCATGTCATTATTGATTCAGAGTCACTCTAGCGGGGTTTAAAGACGCGTGACACCCCGTCAAAACACAGTTCTTCGAACTGCGAATTTGAGATTTCCTACAGCAGAGATTTCTCCAAGGTGACACCGTAAAAAAAGTACAAAATTGGACGCAGACGATCCTCTGGCATACAATTTTCAAGATAAGGCAAAGCGCCAATTTAAGAGTGGTTTCGGAGTGCCAATTTTGTTTTGTCACACCGGCGTCATTTTTTGGCGCATACCGCTAGATTTGGCACCAGCAGAAAGAGGACGGTCTCGACTATTTATGGATCTACCAAAGACGTTGCGAAGGCAACACAAAACAAAGCAAGTTATAAAGACGTCTCGTATAGCAGGTGCGCCAGTTTAAGAGAGATTTAAGCTTGAAGTTTGTATGCAAATGCTATGTGTTTGCCGTTCATAAAATGTTATCGACCAATCATAGCGATTTGATTTAAGAATACTGCGCTATTACTGGTTGAAAATGGCTCTCTTAAACTGAGCACTCTCTCCTAAATTGGCGCTTTGCCTAATAGTGTGAAAAAGGGGCAACTTCAAACTTCCTGGGGTATCATGTAGGAAATCTCAGATTCGGTATATTAACACGCAGTGCCTGTAACAACCCGCCATTTTTGGTCATTTTTAACGAAATTTCAAAACGCAACTTAATCCGGTAGTTTATTAGCCCTCAATAGACCACAGGGTAAAAAAACAGGGGTATTCGTAAATTATGGGAGTGTACCGTAGATACCAAAGTTATTTACGAGACAATACTGCAGTGCGCAAACAGCTCCTTTTTATAGATATACCGCCATAATTATTATAAGATGCGGTATTAACACATCTAACTCTTTCAGTTAGTATGCAGCTGAGAAAAGCTCAGAAAAATATAATACGATCGTGCTTTATCCATATTTTTCTATAGATATCTATTACGAGATTGCCTTATCTAATAAGTACAGTTCTTTCGTAACTGGCTGGTGCTAAATACCAGCCAGTTACTTACGAGCCACGCACGACGCGCGATAAGTCAGATTGACCCTCAGTTTTGAACTTTCCATCAGCAAGATGCCATCCACCGCCGACCAAGTCCTCGACCGCCTCACGCGCCAGTGGGATGACGAGGTTGCCAACCTTGTGACCAGCCATGAGAACTTTGGCGACGTTGCCCGCCATGTCGAAGACAAAGCGTCGGACGCTGAGTCGCCTATCCTCGCTGACTACACCGCCGCCGGGGGTGACGACACGCTCAAGGCGATGACGAACTTCTCCGCCCCGGAGCTGGACGCTCTTTGGGCTATCGTGGAGCCCGCAGTAACGATTGCGTACTCAAGGCCGCGGGCGTAAGCCGTCAACCTCTGGAAAGGAGGCGTCGTTCGTCACGCTTACCGCGCTGAAGCACTTCGACACATGGCACAAGCACGCTATCGACTTCAACATCGGCATGTCGACGCTGGAGAAGATGGTCCACCGAGTCATCCAGACGGTCGAGCCCGTCCTGTATCACCAGCTGGTTAAGCGGGTCAAGATGCCAACTGAGATGGAGGCCGGCAACACCTTCGTCAACTACCCTCATGCGCTATACGCGACCGATGTCAAGTTCCAGCCGGCCTATCGTCCAAGCGGTCGTTTTACGGAGCAGAAGGTGTACTTTTCGGCGAAGCACAAGCTATACGGCTTCAAGATTGAGTGTTCGGTGGCGCCACCTGGCCTCGCAGTTGACATCTCCGACCACTCGCCTGGGTCGTGCTAGGATGTGACGATGATGCTGGACAGGCTCTCAGTCCATCGCCAGATGCTGCGTAAGGACGACGCCTCGGCCCCTGAACTTGGAGCTGAGCCGACGCAATTCCCGGAAATGTGGGCAGTGCTCGTGGACAAGGGGTACCAAGGTTCTGGGCGCGTGCTTCGTACTATCCAGCCAAAGAAGAAGCCGCGTGGAGGAACACTGGACCGGGTAGACCTCGCTCGGAACAAGGCCGTCTCATCGGATCGAGTGCTCGTGGAGAACTTCTTCGGCCGGATGTGCATGCTGTGGAAGGCTACTTACGCGACGTTCAAGTGGAATGAGAACCGGTTTGACTGTGTCGCTCGGCTGTGCACCGCGCTAACTAACTTTCACGTCGGTCTAATGCCACTACGCGCTCGTGACAGCGAGCATTACGACATGGTGCTTGCCAAGTACCAGTCTATGGGTGACCGCGTTCGGACGCAACGGGCTAGGGCCCAGCGCCATTACCGCATGCGCCAGCGACTGCGCTCCCGCCCAGCGCCTTACAGCACACGGGCTTCCGCTTCTCAGTGCGAGACTCAGTACGACTCTGAGGAGTCGGTTTCGTTCTCTATCTAAGGACTGCTTTGAGCTACTCTAGATTTGCTTCTACTTTGTATGCAAATAGAATAGAACGCTTTGAGACTTGTTGTTTGTCCTACTTTACTTCCCTATGAACTAGTATGCGGACTAACCAACTTGCCACCGAATGGATGTAATCAAGCTCCGTGCAGCTAGAAAGGATTAGGCTGCAACTTCAAAGCGGTAAGAACCACGGAAGCCACAAATGCCAGTTGTCCACTAATACCACACCACGCGCCCTCTTAAACTCCATAATGCACGACAGGGGTTGGCGTGTGACGAACGCAGTACTTCGGCCCGTCACCCCCTTGGCTTGGTGTCAAATTGGAAAGTGAGGTGAAGTCTGCTCGCGGTTCCAGTGGGTGTGCTATTGGCAACTTGATTTTTAGCACGATTACCATTTTCAGTAACAGTTGATATTGAAGCACAGCGACACGTGCGTCGTTTCGTGGATATTTTTTGATACCCGGAACCCCTAAAAATATTTTTTTGAACCACACATGTAGCGAACTGTTTTTCATAGGATCGTACTTATTCCGGGCACTCACTCGCTGGTGTGATATTTGTGGCGAGATTCAAATCTATTAGAAACAACAGTTGTATTGCAACATAGCTTCATCTGCTTTATGAAAAAATCTTGCCCTGAGAAAAAACGCCTATGTTCGCATTTTCATAAGTTTTTTGTGAAACTGATTATCATACGCTAGGACAGACTTTTTGCATCTGTTATCTAATAGTACTATTTGATGCAAGACATTGCTATTATAACAAATGGAATCCATCGGGCACATTTGTATTGTTGGCTTAGCTGTTGAGAAAGAGCTCGCCGAAAAAGACGTCTCTGGGAGACGACGCCGTGTGCAGTAACGTCAAGCACATATATCGCAATCAACCGTTTACAAATGTAACATAGAACGTGTTTTTCGTACATATGTAAAGCCGTATAACGTGTGCATAAAAAACCTATAACACCAGGATTTGGGGGCAATTGCAACCTCGGCACTTGCAACAGCACTGTAGCTCTGCCTTACGGCCTTTGATGCCGAAACTTCGCCAATATTCTAATGAGACCTATGTGAACACCTGTGTCAATTTTGAGAGTGATAGCATTACTCCTTCAAGAGTGACCATGCGGTCTGTTAGGGGCATTGCGTGTTAAATCAATTGGCTAGTAGTCCATTACGTACTTACTCCAGGACTTTGTACGATCTCAAAGAAATATCACGATCCAGTAACACCAATGGATCTCCATCAAGCTTGCTAGATTCGAGGCTTAGTCAGCATATGGGGTACGTCGAGCATTCATATTGTATACTCACTCCGATTCAGACTACTTGACTAGAACCCTCTGAACTTTGTTTTGTATTACTTGACCAACAAAAATCATTGGTGTAAATTTAGTTTGGCTAGATATTATTGGCTAAGACCATCCAATCAGCACACAAGTAGAAACCCACAACTGGTGTTAATGTACTGCCCACAGAATTAGTGCGGGCAGTTTTAGCGCGGGAAAAGCGAGCTCAGGTCGCCACGCAGTTAGCATTATCACATTTCAGACATGGCCGAAAGCCAACGCAAGTCCAACAAAGACCTGACTCCCGATACGAAGCTCAGCACAGCGACATTTCCGCTAGAGCACTCTGCAGATCTGAAGGTGCCGTATCATTTCGTTGGGCAGGCTGCGGAGCGCTTTGGCTGGAGTGAGAGCTCTGTGTTTCGCACGTGGAGAGTGACGGTAAATCATCGTCGGGTAGGTGGTGGGCTGCCCTCCTTTGAAAGCAAAAGGCAAGGGAAATGCGGCAGGAAGAAGCAGCATACTGACATTCCAGAGCGGGTGAGCGCGTTGCCATAGAGGAAAAAGCGTACAATGCGGGCTATCGCGAAGGCCATAAAGGTTTCACCTTCACCGTCAACGGTCCAGCGTGTGGTTGCTGCCGGCGAGATCGTGCGCGACACCAACTCCATCAAACCTCGCCGGACAGAAGCCAACATGAGTGCGAGGTACGCGTGTTCTAGCTTGTGATGCAACGTCCTAGTGAGTAACCTTGTTGCGCAACGTAGGCTGGCGTTTTGTTTGTCTTTTGTTGATACAGAGACTTACGAGTTCAACTCTTTAGATAATCGAATCTACATTGACGAGAAATGGTTCTACATGACGGAGACCGACAGAACGATCTACATGGCGCCACACGAGACGCCGCCACACCGCACTGTCCAGTCGAAGCGCTTCATCACGAAGGTTATGTTCATGGCTGCTGTAATGCGTCCAATATACGGTGCTGATGGGTCCATGGTCTTTGACGGGAAGATCGGCATGTGGCCCTTTGTGGAGCGCGTTTCTGCTCTAAAGAGCTCTCGGAACAGAGCCGCGGGTACCCTGGTGACCCATTCCGTCAATGTCGGACGCAAGGAGCAGATTGCAATGCTGGTTGATAACGCCATTCCTGCCATCAAGTCAAAGTGCCCGTCTACACTCCGTGGTACTGAACTGATCATTAAGCAAGATGGTGCTCGCTGTCATGTCAGCCCCCACGACCCTGTCATTCGTGCAGCATGCAAAGAGGGCGGTTGGAACATCACACTCGATGTACAGCCGCCTAACAGCCCCGACCTAAATACGCTTGATTTGGGGTACTTCTGCTCGATTCAAGCGCTTCAATATGAAGAGTGTCCACGCAACATCGACTTTTTCACGAGCCTGAAAGACAGCGCACTTAAAGACACATTTGTGTCACTGCAGAAGGTCATGGAGTGCGTCATTCAAGACCGCGGAAACAACAGCTACAAGCAACCTCACATTGGTAAGGCCAAGCTCCGCAAAGCCGGTCTACTCGGGAGAAACTATGTGTGCAATTCATCGGTATACTTAGAGGGTGCTGCGTACCATTTGCTTGCTAGTCACGATATAGATGAGAAGGAAAAACTGCTGAGGCTGCAGGTAGAGGCTTTCAAGATTCTAACATCGCAAGAATAAATGCATTTTATGGCGATACAAAGCGGGCTTTGGGCACGTAGCTCAATTGGAACTCTTCCAAAACTAACACAAACGCTGTCACAAAACGCAATTTATGTGCCAAATATGTCCAAATTTGCGTCGCGTTTGCTACTATGCATCAGCCCGACCAAAACCAGCACATTTGAGTACATGGCTACACTCACAGAGTGGCTTCAGTTTTGGTGGAGACGAGCAACTACAGTTCGGCTCCATGCGAGAGACCACCAGCCGCCAGCTTCTGCTGGCAAGCGAGCTCCAAAAAGCTCGTACGAAGAAGCGAGTGTTACTACGCCTACGGCTGCGGTGTATGCTTACATTTGACCGCAATATGTTAACTGTTGATGCGTTGATCGATCCTTCTAAATCGCCTTGGCACACTCTGTATGCAAGTCAGGATCGTGGAAGCTTTATAGTGGTTGTTTCCATTGATCCCCAGTCATTTGAGTGTTTGATAAAAGCGTTTAGTGTGCATTATGTTGTTAAGAGTGGAGTTGGAAAGTCTGGCCGGCCGCCCAAGTTCATTTTCAAGCATGCTGTGCTCGCTTGTTTGCTGCATTATTACACACCCGCTGTAGAAAACAAAACTTTGTGCGAGCTTTTTGGAGTTCCTCCGGCTACGTTGTCGCGTGTCCTAGCTAAAGCTGAAACTGCACTTTGTGCCTGTCTTAATGAGCCAGAATCCGCTTTCCTTCAAAGGAACAGCAACTCGAATGGTCACGTTTAACTCAAGCACGGGAGCCGCTAGTTGAAGGAATATGGGGCTTCGTTGATGGCAAGAATTATCGCGTGCAAGAACCGACAAGAGCTGACTTGCAAAACGCTAACTACAACGGTTCGTAGCACACCTTGCAAGGAATTAACATTTTTTAACTATTTGTTTTGAAGGGTGGCTTCACAGCACTTTGGTGACTGGCACACTGTGCTACGGTGTTGATGGTACATTGGTGTGGGGGCGCCACAATTGCCCGAGCTCGTGGAATGATGGCGAAACAAGCCGGCAATTACAAGAAAAACTTACCAATCCTGATTTTACTGTGCCTGGAACCGGTGTTGCCGCCGACTCCGCTTTTCCAGTGGCTCGGGAGGCAATCGGCAAGATCGTCACCCCTCTAAAAGATGGGGATGTTGAGCGAGCGTCGGCTGACTTCCGTTTAGCAATGCTCGCATTGCACAACGCGATAACATCTCTGCGTCAAGCAGCTGAATGGTGAATGGGATCCGCGTCTAAGTGTTACCGTCGGCTGCTTCTACCTCTTCCGTACAATGCAGACAAATGACATATGCGCCTGAATAATATTTACAGGCTGTACAACTTTCGTGTGCGTCGAACGAGTATTAGTCAGATTAGATCGGTCTTTAAGTAAATCAACTTCAGCCAGGTTCACGATTTGCATTTCTATTAGCTGCTCAGCAGCTTACCCGCCTTAGCGTATTTATTTGCCAAAGCGGCAGCAAGCATGGTCATAAGCATCTCGTGACGCTGGGCATCTCGCTCAGCACGCTCGTTTTCACGACGCTCGCGTTCTTCTTGGGCTCACAGCCGGTCCGCCTCGCGCTTCTCTACTCGAGCCTCTTTTTCCTGGCGATACTGAAGCTCGCGCTGGTGAGCACGTACTTCCATCACCGGCAGCAGCTGTGGTAGCTCCATGCTTGGCTGCGCCATCTCTTCCAGGAGGCTGTCAATTTTCACTCGCGTTTTAGCAGTCTGAGACATCGTGGGGTTATCGTCGCTCTGTCGCTTCAGCAGCTTGCTGAGTTGTGCCAATTCCTCTTGCGTTTTCCCGGTGCGAGACGATGCTTTTAATTTACCTACATAATAATACATTAAACACTTCAGTAGAAAACACTATTAGTAAAGCAGGTATCAATATTATACCTTTAGCCCGTTTGGCCTTGGTGTCGGGCACCATACTTTCGGCGGCGGGCGTATCATAAACCTCCGAAGTGGCGGCAGCCAATGGAGTAGAGATGCGGACGTCCGCCACTTCGTGCGCAGCATTGACCTGTCCTCCACCGCCCAACTGGGCATCGCCATCGTCCTCCACGGCTGCCATTGCTTCGGCGTCAGCGTGAGCAGCATTCTCAGAAGGATCATCATTCTCACAGTTGATATCAGTTGAGACCGCACTATGGTCATCATCATCTAGTTGCACCACGCTGCATTTGCTCTCAATCTCCCTGAAGATCCTTTTAGCTCACTGGACCTCAGGAGGACATACTGGAACGCCTATATATTATCCGATAACGTTAAGCAACAACAACAACAGTAATAATGGCATGCGTAGAAACAAAGCCATATCATAGCGTACCTGTCGGCTTCCGCGCATTCTTCAGCGCGTAAAACTTACGCCGCAGCGACTCTGTATCACGCTGCGGCCAGTCCGTGGGCAAGTGCCTGTTGAACGCGTACTGCACGTCTTCCCACTGAGCCGACCCGAGAGGCAGATGCTGCTCTACAAGTGCCAGGAGACCTGTGAAGCACACGCCGAAACGCATTAGTCATTAGCAAACACCAATAAGGAGGTAGCAGTCGCACGTACGGTCAACTTGAGCGGTAGTAAAGCCTCTGCCTCTGCCGTTGGATCGGCGGGCCATGGCTTGACTGATGAGAAGCTTGAGAGCGCAGAACGTGAAGTGCCTTAGGTGCTGGCTGGAGCAAGTAAGACTGACTGGTGTGACTGGTGGTTGAGATGTGTACCTGAATATTGGTACGCTTCATTTGCGCTCGACGAAATTTGTGGAGACGTCAAATTCGTCTCCACAAATTACGACGGATTTGCCACGAGAAATACGACATATATGTGACCGTAGCAATTATCAAGTTTGCGTGAGTTTTGGTAGAGCTCCATTGGATAAGAGCACCGCCATTTGTGCGGATGGACGCGGGTTCGATTCCCGCCGTGTCCTTATTTTCTAAGAAATTAAAAACTAGGATTTACGAGGAAGAAAGCCCTAGTCGCGATTATAACTTACAGGCGCCTATCATCACTTGATTATTGTATGGGCCAACGACGTTTTAGGCACTGGAAAAGAGAGGAAGCAACCTAAATTAGCACGGTTATTACAACATGAAGCAGCAGACTGCGCTCTTTATTTTAGTGTGCGAATTATTAGGGGTCCCAAGCAAAGTATTTGCAGCACGTAGATAAAAGTGAAACCGGTCAACTAATCTGAAACGGAGGGAGTATTAATTATTAAACAAAGCTATGGCAAACCAGCAATGCAGCCGAAACGTTTCAACCCCTTGGACGCGGAGGGGTGATATGTACGGCATTAAAAAACGCTTAAACCGTCCCGGACGGCATAAGAAATCGTATGATACTCAGTATGATATAGTGAACACAAATATAAAATTGGCTTTTCTGCGCACATTTTGTTGCTAAGTTCGCCGGTAATTATTCCGCAAAAAGGTACTGGTATGATCTGCGGATAAAATCCTTTTCACAGTGCAATCATGCAACACTGATATTTAGAGAATCGGCGTGCTTGAAGAGGTAGCCTACCACGCACTCAGCGTTATTCAACAATCCATAGAAGCTATGTGACGGTCGCCACGAATGGCAGAAACTTTCAGACCCCCACTACAACACCCAGCCCATTCCTATGAAACTAGATGATGCAACCAAAGATGATGAAGAGGAAACTACCAAGTAAGTTGTCGTTGGGTTCGTGCATCTGCATCGTCGCAGTAAGCGCATCACAGGTTTGAGCAGCCAACCAATATGAAATCATTCGTGTGAGTGAGATGGGATCAAGTTGAGGACATGTATTTTCCAACGTAATGTAAATGATACACTGTATTCACTCGATCATTACAGGTAATATAGTATGCCAACTCAATGCTACCGTTGTGGAGGATGCCTTGCTTTCGAAGCAAACATGGCACCCCGTCCCAGTTCCATGCTGATCCTGTCGGCATAAAATCAAAGTTGTAAGCGGGTCTTGTCAGCATTCATTACAAAAAAATCTCTCGCTTATACCGTCAACGTATGCGCGTCTTAGCAGCTTTAGCGCTCCAGCGTAGCATGTTGCCTTGGTCGCCGAGTAGCAGTACGATCTAGTAAAGGAGTTGAGTAGACACTTGAGCGAAAGAAGTCCAATTTCAAAGTAATTCATTATCCATTACACGTACTACTCAACCGTAGCACGAGGAGGAACGCCCCTGACAGAAAACCCCCTTTGGCCTGTTGCCATCCATCGTATAGTCAACAAGTCAATCCCAAACTGTCCAAAATGACAGGTCGAGCCTCGACAACGAACTTGAGTTCATCTTTCACGGATGTTCCTCCGGACATCCTCATACTCCCCCTGAACTCATGTTCCGTTGTCCGCCGCTATCGTCACCATAGCGATCTTCTACTGCCTTGTCACCACAAGAGACTCGCGTTCATCGGCTCGTGAAGCGCTCTTCACACTCCCCCTGAACGCGTGCCCTTTTTGGCACTTCGGCATCGCCACGATGCCAACGTTTGGAATCTACATACGGCCCTCAGAGCGCATACGCTCGTTCCACATTCGACATCGCTCCGATGGCGATCCTTCATTACACATCATTCATCTTGCACATCAAATGCAGCGACTTCGCCGTATCCCTGCATTCGTGCAATACATCGCTTGTGTGCTGATTCCGTTGTTAGGCAGTACTGCCAAAACAACCGCACGCGATCAGTACTACAAGTACCCGAGTTGTATCCATTGGACCCGCAAACTCCCGCTGTGAGGTACACTCAACAGCGCATCGCATTTGTAGCCAGCGCCTCGCGTGTACAGTGTAAAGCATCATCAGCAGTGCCACCAACACCGTCACGCCCAACTCATCCTCTTCAGCCATTACACTTGGCCGTCAACGCCCCTGGGTCTCCGCGGCTCACGCCACTTGCCCCATCAGCCAATTTTCGTCTCCATCATACTGCGCCTCACGCTTAGTCTGCTCTCATGGCAATTATGAACGTCCAACTGCTGATCATGACTGCTGTTCCAGAACATCGACGCATCCTCACAGGGATCCGTGCTTCAGGAGAGCCCTCACCAAGTCCAGAGCACCGATGATCGCTACCACGTAGCCAAGTTCTTCACACTGGTGCTCCTTTGTCTCCAATCCGGCGTGTTGCTGCGCGCTTCCGTTATTCTCTGTCGCAATGAGCATCGTTCGTGGCATCAGTGACTGCTCCAATGCCGCAGCATTCAGCTTTGACCGACGTTCGGAGTTGTTCGCACACGCCGTGCGGTTCGAACTCGGGTATCCCACGGTTCTTGACCCATACTGGAAGTTTAATCATCACGGCTTCTCATCGTTGAGTCTGACGGCAAGACACCTTTGTTTTTGTATACCCCGACGCCTTGTTCGTTGCCAACACCGCCACGCGAATGATACACAGCTTGTCCATCGATGTATCCGTACCATATCACTACTGGCGCATACATAACCGTGTATAGAACTGCAAACCGGTCTTGACGTTCCTGCCAGCGACGACTGCAGCGCAACAGCTCTAGCCACTTAGTTACTGCAGCCGTAATTCGATCCCAACTTGTGTCCCTTGTTGTATCACGTCGCTGTCAACGTCGTAGGTCAACCAAAATGTGCCCGTACAGGATCTGGCAAGCTATTATTGTAGCACATGCAGCCGCTGTTTTCGTATCCATTGAAACTCCATTTTGCACGATTCTGTACGGCTCACATTATGCTCCAAAAGCGTGGAGTGATGTCGTAGAAATCGGTGAGGTGATCTCACTCCCCCGTCACTCAGGCTTGTGGGAACCAGTTTAGATGCGAATTCCATAGTGCGCTCTCAACTAATCACCAGTGCTTCCTTGACACCGATGCGGCAGCGCTCCTTTGGCCTGGCACGTCACTCTCGACAGCTAGCCCCGTGAAGCTCAATGTCACACACTCGGTTGGCATTCAGTCATACCGCATGCGCTGCACAAAGCACCATCCCCCTTAAAAGACCTTCTGCCCAAGTAGCCCAACCGCTAGCCAACAGCCTCCAGCGGACCAGCCGTCACAGTTGGCTGCTTCCATAACGGCTTGCGCTCACCAGCACACCCAGACCAATCAGCTCACGCTGAGCACACAGCTCATCCAGAGCTACCAGTCCATCCAGGGCTTCCAGCTCATTTCCCAGACACTCGATCTCCGACTTCGCATCCGTGCGCGTGCAGTTATGGACCAAGTTGCACTCCACCTTGTGGATGTCTGCCACCACGGCCTCACACTGCACGTTCAGCAACAACTCATTGTATGCCTTCTTGCGACATAGTAACTCCACAGCCGCGACATCACGGCGCCCCAGTAGATGCTTGTCGGCTCGCGTTGCGAAGTCTCGACTAGTACGTCAAGCGACCACCATACCATCTTGCACAGTCGACCTCAGTTCATCTCTAGCCTACACAACTTAGCCACAGGAAGAAACAGTGCACCACATCAAAGCACCACTGTTGCAGTACAGTAGCCGAGCCTCCTTCCGCAATTTCATTCCGACCGCCTGCGGTCTGGCCTCAACTTGGCATCCAATCTGACAGTAGAAAACTTCTAACCAGTTCAAAACGGCCCGAATCGCTTTCACCGGAACACTGTCGACACCACTACACCTCGTCTTCGCACTCTCAGACACGAGTTCTAGAGTTCCAATGCTGAGTGCCACAGCGCGGGCTGGTTGATCCAGTCACCCAGCCGCGATGACCGCCCTGGTACCACTGTAGCCGAGTACTTCACCGTGCATCTTGCCTCCCACTACACGACTTACTTGATGATGTACCGACGTACAGTCCGATAGCCCCCTTGCACAAGGAACTTCCACCACTATCCAACTCCGGTTGCCTGTATTAGTTCCCCTCCGCTGCCTCAATACATCTTCACAGAGATAGTTCACGTTACGTCTAGTAGCGACGCACACTTCCATTGCCATAGCCTAGCACCACACCGCCGGGGAAAAACAGCAAAATAACCACACATTTGTATGGTGTACGCCGATCCTTTCAGACACTCGGTAGGTATTCCAACTCCGAAAATCAACCTAAAGCTGCTGCTCACGCGTCTGCCACCACCCACCGAGGGCGCCGTCAACGTGTTCAAGCTTCCGTCATCTTACTCCGACCCGGTCGGCATTCGCACAATTCCGCGTTCGTTGTCATCACCCCCAACGTAGCACCCGACATGGCCATGCGCAACGGTGTCGTTAACGGCCTTCGTCGCCACTTGTCAACTGATACTTAGCTGGTCAACCCGACTAACTACAATCCTATTGTTACTGCCAGTATGTCGACGAAGCCAACACAACTCCATAGCACTAGTCGGTGCTCTTCCCAAATTCATCGATGCGTTCGCAACTCCGTTCGAACTGCTGATCATCATCGGGGACTGACATGCGTGCAACGACGCACCGCCTGCGATCGTCACGTATTTCCTCAGCAGACTTCGCTTTAAGCACGACACCACCCTCAATCTTTGCACTCTGCCAGGCACCGGTAGTTGTTGGCGGCCACCGCACCATCACCGCTTCACACAAGTACGCGCCGACTGATGCACCAGCAATTCAATGCCACTCACCATGCTAATTATCACCATCTTGACCTTCCCAGACACGACGTTCAATATGTATTGCTAGACCAAAGACCAATGCCCCTCCGCTTGCTACTTCACGCCACCAATCATAGTCAAGACTCTAGTTGAACACATATACACTTCCGTCCGACATCACCAGCTGGCAGCGCCTGTGTCCGGTATCATCATACTTGTCGTGGCTGCAGGTAGCGAGGAGTCCGCTTCCATCCATGGTTATGTGGCTCGCAGGAACACCAAATCATCATCATCCCTGCTCTACCTTCCCGTCATCTGTTTTACCTTGCCTGTCGTCAACTCCCTGCTTGGACGTGTTGGCGACTTCAATCCGTCAACGCACCCACTCCACTCTGCAAATGCGTCAGCTCCACCGCAGCCTCTCGCCACCTTGCTCCCTTCACAATGCATATTTCTCCCTAGGCCCTAAAGTAGCTCCTCGTTGTCCATGGAGCCCAGCACCGAAACCACCAGAGTCTGGTTGACGTCGTAGAGCGTCTAGACCGAGACCGTGACCGGCACCGTGTTCACCGTGGCTTCATCCAGACGGGAAAACGGCTTTGTGAAGAGGAAGTTGGCCGTGCCCGTGTACACGCTATTACTCCGACGCGAGCAAATCCGCACCTTCCCGGCTACCAGCAAGTTTCTCTAACCATCGACATACCTCCAGAAGTCCGGCGCCACGCATTCGAACACATTCACTAAGTCCAGATCTCCTTCACTCTCATACAGCTGGACGCCTTCGTTCCGGCACCCACACGCAAATCACCAACAGCAACACCAATTGTTCATCACTAATCTGCCGTTGGGCTCATAACCTAACAGCTTTAGCGCTCCAGCGTAGCATGTTGCCTTGGTCGCCGAGTAGCAGTACGATCTAGTAAAGGAGTTGAGTAGACACTTGAGCGAAAGAAGTCCAATTTCAAAGTAATTCATTATCCATTACACGTACTACTCAACCGTAGCACGAGGAGGAACGCCCCAGACAGAAAACCCCCTTTGGCCTGTTGCCATCCATCGTATAGTCAACAAGTCAATCCCAAACTGTCCAAAATGACAGGTCGAGCCTCGACAACGAACTTGAGTTCATCTTTCACGGATGTTCCTCCGGACATCCTCATACGTCTTCCTTCCATCTTGACTGTAAACCATGATGCCAGCAGCGTGACCTACTACCGCCAAACAAGGATCAAATAAGGCACTGGTAAAAATAGCACCCAAGTCATAAAATAGAGACGGGACATTATTATTTACGGTAGTAAAAAAAATATTTGAGCTCTTCGCGCCATTGATTTCCTAGGCGCGCCAAAATGACACCCGTCCTTGCTTTTCCTTTGATTTTTATCATTCCTACTCCTCTTCGGACATGCCCAGGCACCCCAAGCAGAAAAACAAGCACAAGTTGTGTGCTTTGGCCCTCGCGGCGGGGACAGTTGTGTCTGCAGCTGCCTCCTCGGGGGTTCATCGCTTCACAATTTACCGCCGGCGCAAGGAAGAGAAGGACATCAGGAAAGCAGCGCCGAACATGTACTTCTTGGATCCTAGCAAGCACGCCAAGACGTACATCAAAAACCCGGAATTCGGAGAAAGGTACGTTTGAACCCGTATTTAGATTTGATGGAAATAATTATCTGACGGTTGGGTTGGTGCGCTATTGCAGACTCCTCCAATGGATCACGTATATGCGTAAAAATCGATCTCTCTGTGTTTCGATGGAGTGTCTACTCATTATGCATGCCAGATTTGACGCTCGCCTCTTCTCTTCGAGATCGCGAGCGGCAAACATCGAGTTTTTGCGGCGCCTCCTGAAGCGCAATCTTCTTACCATCCGGCGGATCACGCACAAAAGCCGCAAGAAACGTTCCGAAATGGAGGTATGCTACATTTTTTTATTTTCTCTTATCTATTGGATTTTTACTAATTTTTATTTTATTTTATAGCGAGTTGCAGGTGTGTTCTCACACGCAATCCAGCACGCAATCGAGGAGAGTGCATCGCTAGTTTTTATCGAGGGCACAAAGAAGTGTGAATCGGTCTACAACATGGACCAGACGGCCATCTTTATCGACATGAACGGTAAAACCACAATTAATTGTGTGGGAGCTTCAACTGTGGATGTAGTCCAAGGATTTTTTTATTTTGAAGAGTTTATATTTAATAATTGGTCTTACATTTTTTACGGTTTGATCTTTACGTTTTAGGCAGTGAAGGGAACGGATTCCGAACTTCTGTCTTCCTCGCAGCGTCTGCGACTGGGCAAAAACTGCCCCTGCTGATCGTCTTTGCTGGAATCGCCGGCGGGCCCGTCTCGCAGGCGGTTTGGAGTCCATACTTCGGGGCCCCAGACTGTGAGCACACAGTCCAGCGCAAGACACACTGCAGCGAAGAGGTCATGCTCGAGTAGATCCAACGGGTACGTCAACTTTATTGCTGGCGTTTATATTTAATATTCTTACATCTATTGTTATGTCATGCTTTGGCAGATCTGGATGCCGAGTGTAAATGGCTGCAAGCTGCTGCTCCTGGACAGCTTGAAAGTCCACAAGATGGCGACCGTGAGGGCCATGCTGGAGGAGGACTGCTGCACCCAAGTCTAGTTTGTCCCACCTGGAATTACTGGCATTGCCCATATGAACGTCGCAGTGATGAAGTCGTTCAAGGATAACGTCAGGTATAGGTTACATCACTGACATACAATTATCGTTCTCTTACTATTGTTGCTAGCATTTGTTTGTAGGAAGCGCTACCTTGCTTGCCACGTGGAGAAACAGCTTGCCCATACCCCGGATGATACTGAAGATGAGCTCGCTGCGCATCTTCATGTATTGGCCGCCGATGTACCGTAAAACACGGATCAAATAAGACACACGAACTAAATGCGACACACGTAAAAAATAAAACAAATCATACGCGAGTGCTGATTAAAGGTGACAACCCCTCTCGCTCGTATTCCGATTTACCTACTGGTCCTCTAAAATCGGCGCTTCTTCTGCTACCTCTGCGGCGACGCAGTAACGCCCAAGGCGGTCCCTCGGGCCTATCGGGATGATGCCACTCTTGATGAAGCCATTCCGAATGGTCTCAGGCGAGACATTCCGCCACGCTTCGGCGACGAAGCGTGCGATGAGCTCCCGCTTTTGGTCGGGCGTGTCGGGATTGCGCACGCTACGGTGTGCTGATTGATCGCGTGTACGTGCTGAGTTGGATTCAATTACCCGCTCTGTAATCACACCGAAAGATTATACCTGTCTTGAAGGTGATTGCCCGAACCATTCCTGCGTCGACGAGCAGCAAGTCCAACTCACTTAACAACCTAGTAATCGGTACCGCCTCACACAAGAAACAAGAGTTAAAGTAGTAGGGTAGTACAAGACATCGTATGCATGTACTTCCTCCGTTTGGAAATAAAAATCCCGTTCAGGGTCTCCGCTCGCATCAACTTGAACGCCTCCTCAACCACGAAGACCAGCTCGTCGACTCCATTGCATGGTGTGTTGTACTGTAGGCTCTGCTTCGAGGCAAACGGGGCTAACTCAAGGTCTTTGAGCTCTGGTGAATTAGCCGGTCGGAATACCAAGCGAATGTTCCAACCGTCCGCAGCAGCAGCAACGATGTCGGTTCGTGAGGTGGTACGTGGGGCTTGGCGCTGTCTTGCGGACTAAGGATCGGCCGACGGGGGTCCCAACGTCTCAGCCATTTTAGCTCGATGATTGGAATGACGTAGCAGACCAGAGAGGTCTTGTCGACAGTCCTGTAGATGGCCTCGATGTTCTTCGTGCACACCGTTCATCTGCGTCGGTAACGACTCTTCTTCTTGGCTTCATACTTCTCTGTAAACAGCCATATACTGAGCTTGCCATCCCATCGAGACTTGGTAACATCCCAAGTCATCAGCAAGTGCTGCGAGTTCTCCTCGGTCCAGAATACCTCTCACAGTGCGCCGTAGAAGATCGTGGATGACATAACGGCGTTCATTGTCGGTAAAGTCGCTCTTTATATCATCAGTGGGCGTGTGAGAAGAAGCGGGCGGCCATAGCGGAGTTTTAAAAGTGGGGAAATCGGAGTGGCTCCGGGCAACCGACTCTGGCGGTGGCTGTAGAGCGCGCTGAGCCACCCGCTTGGTACCGTTGGAAAGGGGAGCTACGTGGGCTTCTTTCAAACCTATTAGCAGTACAACCGGGGTAATATTGATTATTTTATCCAATCGTGAATCGTTTGTTGCGATTATTTCCAAACCGAGGAAGTAGTGCGCGTGACACGTCGAACCCATCTGGATCAAAATTAATATTGTTAACATCGAGCTGTCGTCATCTACCATCTCGTCGCTATCATAGATCGTGTCACTGCCTTCAGGGCTGCTGCATGCACTACTACCATCATCGCCATTTTTTGGACGATTTCGACGTCCAAGTTCAATGTACCGTTATTATCGAGTTCCTCGTACTCTCCTCATAACCGCCACCATCCACTCCCAACATGCCTATACGCTGCCGAAGTCAAAACTAATTGGAGTCTCCGCCTCTTCGTCGACAACTTCATCCAGCTCTTGTTCCCACACGATGTCACGGAAATCGTCGGCCACGTCAGACCTACCTTCTGAATCGCCGTAGGAAGTTGTGTACGCACATTAACGCGAAGATCACTGCTTTGCTGTTGGTAAGCTCGAAGTCCGCACACAAATGAAGGACAACGAATCTACGTTTTAAAATGCAAATGATGCGTTCGACCACATTTTGGGTCCTCGCGTGACCGCGCGAGGACCCAGATTACAGAGCTCGTTTTCATTTTGCGTTATTTTTCTGAAGTCATCGCCCATTCTTTGAGGTAGTAACGCACGCTTCGAGTCGAACAAGACTTCTTTCACCAGCGCAACCCCCAAAACAATCCCATGCAAAAATATTTTAGCCAATCAAATTTTGAATCTACGAAAATATAATATCAGCCAGTAAGCACACGACGATTGGTCTCTGCACCATAAACCGAAATGGCCAGGGCTCCGCACGGTAGCGCGGCGAAGAAGCTGTGCGAGAAGTGTGGCAACGGGATATCGCGCACGAATTTTTCCAAGCACGCAAAGAAATGTAAGGGAATTAAAGTGCGCGACACCCGCCGCGAGATTCGCAAGCGCTCATGGGTCAAGCACCGCGCCAAGCGCGTAGGAGACCAGCGTAGCCGGCGCGCGTCCGAGTCATTTCAACGACTTGAGGGTACCGTAAGTTTCTTTAATTTAATATGGAGGACCCAAGCTTACCATTGTATCCGAAGCGCTTCGGCAGCAGCTCCGCGAGGTGGAAAGAGTGCCTCTTGCTCTTACACCCGAGCTAGTGGGGGGGCTAATAAAGCACCCTCTCGAGGAACTAAGCCGCAATGCGGATTTGTTCGAGTAGATTTTCTCCCAGGTAGGCAACAGGCATTGTCCATAGTGATGCATTGGCACCGACAAAAGTTCATTTAGATGGAGGGCGTCGACTTGCTGTCAAAAGCATGGTTTAACACCTGACAAGCGCCATTGGATGCCTCCGGAGTTCCAAGTACAGCCTGGTCTGAGCGCGCTTGAAGAAACATGCAAGGTGTTCAGTCTTTACAAGACGGAAATGCTTGAAGCAAGTACGAACACCATATTCGGCGAGCGTGTTCGCCTTCAAAAGTACCGGGCTTACTTGCAGACGACGTACCAAGAGAAAATCGCGAAGTGAATGAAGCTTTGCGAGAAGGTACGCAATAAGAACATTGCACTTGAAGCGCCAATCCAGGAGATCGACAGATTTGGAGAAGGTAAAGCTTGTGCGACCCTCGCTGAGTTTGAGGCAGTTGACAAGGCTGGATTCATCGAGAAGGATAACGCATACGAGGCCAAGTAGTGCGTGACAGGCTCCAGGCACACCACCGTCACCCACAGACCACCCATAGCCAAAAGCTAGCACGGATTACGGCCGATAGCGGCGCTGAAAACGAGCGATGACCCAGGAGGTGGAGGCGGGGATCGAACCCGGCTGGCCGGCGAGACGGGTGGGTGGGCATCGGTACCGGGTGGTGCAGGTCCGTGGTGTATGTTTGCGGCGGTGGCGAGGTGCGTGGCGGCCGGTATTTGCGTGGCACGAGCGGGTTCCGGAGTAGGTGCGCAAGGGCTGGGTTAGGCGCTCTTATGGTGTAATGGTTAGCACTCTGGACTTTGAATCCAGCGATCCGGGTTCAAATCCCGGTAGGAGCTCGTTTTTGCGCGGCGTTGCAAGCGTGTAGCGTGCTGGAGGCGCTGCGGTGCGTGTAGCGTTCGTAATTCGCGTTTGAAAATCGGTTAGGGGGTAGACCAGTTAGTGCTGGTCTTATGGTGTAATGGTTAGCACTCTGGACTCTGAATCCAGCGATCCGGGTTCAAATCCCGGTAGGACCTCGTTTTGCACCCATCCTACCGGCACCACCACGCCCCCGTTGTTGCTGCGCCGAACACCTGCCGCACACACGCGCTCCCCGATGCCCTGTTGCCTCTTCACAGCAGCCGCTATTACGTTCGAGTTCCAAAGACTCGTGGTCGACGCCGGAGCGGCCGCTGCCAAGGCTCACGTGCGGCTTTGCTGGCACTGCGGCCAGTCACACCACCGTCACCCACAGGTCACCCATACCCACGAGCTAGCACGGATCACGGCCGATAGCGGCGCTGAAAACGAGCGATGACCCAGGAGGCGGAGGCGGGGATCGAACCCGGCTGGCCGGCGAGACGGGTGGGTGGGCATCGGTACCGGGTGGTGCAGGTCCGTGGTGTATGTTTGCGGCGGTGGCGAGGTGCGTGGCGGCCGGTATTTGCGTGGCACGAGCGGGTTCCGGAGTAGGTGCGCAAGGGCTGGGTTAGGCGCTCTTATGGTGTAATGGTTAGCACTCTGGACTTTGAATCCAGCGATCCGGGTTCAAATCCCGGTAGGAGCTCGTTTTTGCGCGGCGTTGCAAGCGTGTAGCGTGCTGGAGGCGCTGCGGTGCGTGTAGCGTTCGTAATTCGCGTTTGAAAATCGGTTAGGGGGTAGACCAGTTAGTGCTGGTCTTATGGTGTAATGGTTAGCACTCTGGACTCTGAATCCAGCGATCCGGGTTCAAATCCCGGTAGGACCTCGTTTTGCACCCATCCTACCGGCACCACCACGCCCCCGTTGTTGCTGCGCCGAACACCTGCCGCACACACGCGCTCCCCGATGCCCTGTTGCCTCTTCACAGCAGCCGCTATTACGTTCGAGTTCCAAAGACTCGTGGTCGACGCCGGAGCGGCCGCTGCCAAGGCTCACGTGCGGCTTTGCTGGCACTGCGGCCAGTCACACCACCGTCACCCACAGGTCACCCATACCCACGAGCTAGCACGGATCACGGCCGATAGCGGCGCTGAAAACGAGCGATGACCCAGGAGGCGGAGGCGGGGATCGAACCCGGCTGGCCGGCGAGACGGGTGGGTGGGCATCGGTACCGGGTGGTGCAGGTCCGTGGTGTATGTTTGCGGCGGTGGCGAGGTGCGTGGCGGCCGGTATTTGCGTGGCACGAGCGGGTTCTGGAGTAGGTGCGCAAGGGCTGGGTTAGGCGCTCTTATGGTGTAATGGTTAGCACTCTGGACTTTGAATCCAGCGATCCGGGTTCAAATCCCGGTAGGAGCTCGTTTTTGCGCGGCGTTGCAAGCGTGTAGCGTGCTGGAGGCGCTGCGGTGCGTGTAGCGTTCGTAATTCGCGTTTGAAAATCGGTTAGGGGGTAGACCAGTTAGTGGTGGTCTTATGGTGTAATGGTTAGCACTCTGGACTCTGAATCCAGCGATCCGGGTTCAAATCCCGGTAGGACCTCGTTTTGCACCCATCCTACCGGCACCACCACGCCCCCGTTGTTGCTGCGCCGAACACCTGCCGCACACACGCGCTCCCCGATGCCCTGTTGCCTCTTCACAGCAGCCGCTATTACGTTCGAGTTCCAAAGACTCGTGGTCGACGCCGGAGCGGCCGCTGCCAAGGCTCACGTGCGGCTTTGCTGGCACTGCGGCCAGTCACACCACCGTCACCCACAGGTCACCCATACCCACGAGCTAGCACGGATCACGGCCGATAGGGGCGCTGAAAACGAGCGATGACCCAGGAGGCGGAGGCGGGGATCGAACCCGGCTGGCCGGCGAGACGGGTGGGTGGGCATCGGTACCGGGTGGTGCAGGTCCGTGGTGTATGTTTGCGGCGGTGGCGAGGTGCGTGGCGGCCGGTATTTGCGTGGCACGAGCGGGTTCCGGAGTAGGTGCGCTAGGGCTGGGTTAGGCGCTCTTATGGTGTAATGGTTAGCACTCTGGACTTTGAATCCAGCGATCCGGGTTCAAATCCCGGTAGGAGCTCGTTTTTGCGCGGCGTTGCAAGCGTGTAGCGTGCTGGAGGCGCTGCGGTGCGTGTAGCGTTCGTAATTCGCGTTTGAAAATCGGTTAGGGGGTAGACCAGTTAGTGCTGGTCTTATGGTGTAATGGTTAGCACTCTGGACTCTGAATCCAGCGATCCGGGTTCAAATCCCGGTAGGACCTCGTTTTGCACCCATCCTACCGGCACCACCACGC